AGAACCGCATTCTTCATTAACCAGCTGTATATCCCGCCATCGCCTTTTGCTCTCCTGATTCCCCCCTCATAACTGATGCGTTGCCTCCTTCCTCTACCGCCCGATCCCTCGTGATATTCGACCGTCTGATATCCACAGTGACAGGTGAAGACAAACGCCATCTACGATGTATTCGCCACGCCAACCACTCATATTCACCAATGGCGTCTCTCTCCCCCCTCAGCGCCCAATGAATTACTACGGAAAACGACATTAGATCACTAGGAGGTTCGACGCCTCGCGTGGGAAGTCGTCATAAGTCGTCAATCATTAACTGCCCGCAATCTGAGCGAAGCCTACCACAACTCTTCTTGTATAATCCAAAACGATGCGAGCCACCAAATCCGACTCCGATAAAAAAAATAAAATCGAAATCGCCGCCGGGAGACGATGCCTCGTGAAATGGCTGCACTCGTGGGCCATGAAGCTATATACATGACGTTCACGCGCCAATGCCGAAAACATGGCTCCATGTCAACCATCTCCACCACCAACCCTCTCTTTGCTGCCGCGTCATCCTGCCCGCGGGGCCATGCCACGGTGTCGCGGCCTCTTTATTCGTTCTTAAATCTGTGTCCCATTTTTGGTTCCCTCCGGAAAACGCCTCCGGTCGACGCCTCGTCATGATCCGGTAACACGCTATTACAAAAACCCACGCTTCGGCTATTGGAATCAGGGCAGCTGCCCAAACAAGAAAAGAGAGGAGGGGTCAAGGTCCCAGACACCACGCACAAAGCATAAACGAAAAGAGAAGAGGAAAAAGAGAAAAAAAAAAGAAAGAGCAAACAGCCATCCATTACCGTCCGTTACCGTTCAATCGATGCTAAAGAATCCCGTGTCAACGGGTGGCATACTTCATCAGAAACTGTACTACGGCTTCCAGATTCGTCTCCTCCTTGGCACTGATACCGTAACAGCACACCTCGCGGCCCTTGACAGTGCTGAGTTCGAGGACGTCGATCAGCTCATCGACGGACATGATGTGAGGAAGATCGGACTTGTTACCCAGGACCAGGAGAGGAATGCCAATGAGCGTATGGTTGCTCATAAGGGCGTGGAGTTCATCCCTGGCCTGAGGTATCAGCTCGGTATCGGCAATGTCGACAATGAAGACTATAGCGTTCACGCCGCGACAGTACCTCTCCCACATGTTGCGGAACCGGGGCTGGCCACCAATGTCCCAGCATTTGAGTGAAACGTGTCCCCGTTGCACACGCTTCATATTGAAACCCACAGTCGGGATGGAGCTACAATAAACACCACTCGTCAGCCTCTTGTCATATCGGGGACTTCGGATCAGGAATCCCAAAACGGTGACCGCTCATATCACCTCCCCCGGTTCGTGTTTCCAGTTTGTGGGGGATGGCGACATGGTGATACGGCTGCACTTACTCAAGCGTGAATTCTCCTCCCTACAGGACAGGTCATGGGTCAGCATCAGCCAAAATTTCTGCGGGGTATCTGGACTTGAGAACGAGGAGCGGGATGCGGGATGCGGGATGTGGGGTGCGGGGCGCAAGCTGGGAGGCCAGCACTATGTTCAACGTACAGCAAGGACTCTGAGGAGCGATGTCTTGCCAGCATTCTGCAAGCCGACCATTGTCACCTCCATCTCGAGCGACCTGGTTGGTTGTCAGCTATTAACGAACTATGACGGCGACGGACGAAATCGATACAAGGTTCAGGGACCTCGAACGGCGCGAAATGACTTACCAGAAAGTTCTCAAGAGCCAGTCGTACACGCGCCGAAATATGCCAGCCATGTCGATAATCGTATATTGGATTTCGGATAACAGATCGGGACGAAGCTTCTCTGTGAGAGGGCACGAGCGGCCTAAAGCTTAAGCAGCGGCGAATCGAGACGGCAGCAGACAGGTTTGATGGGGAGGGTGCTAAAAGAAAGAGGTCCAGACGAAGAGCAATGAAGAAGAAGAAGAAGAAAGAGGATAGGGAGAATGAAGAGAAGCGAGAAACCCTCGTCGCGCGTGCGGGAACAAAGAGTGCAACAGACAATCTGTCTCGTCTGCTTTTCTTTTTCTTCTCCCTTTTGTCTTGTTTCCTTTGTACCGGGCGGGCAAGGACAGGCGATTTGACTGGTGTGGTTCGTCGGTGTTCGAACCACGTGCGTGCGATGAAGCTCAAAAGAGTCGAGATTGTATCTGGCGTCGGGCAGAGAAAAAAAAGAGGAAGAGAGGGGGGGGGGGAAGGATCGTCACATACGAGTTGTTGGTTCCCGGTGGGGTTGCAACTCGTAAATATAATCGGGTAAGGTGACGAAGGGCGACAACCAAGACGACCGGGGGGAGGGGAGGGGAGCTATATGTGGTATCAAAGAGAGCACGTCTTCAAGAGAATATGTGAACGGAGATGAAAGCGGCGACGGCGGCGGCGGGAAGGTCGAGACAGGTCTCGGATGGTCAGGGTTGGGCGGCGGACCTTGTCAAAGGTGAGCGGTAAGGGACTGGATGGCCCATGCACAGACGTACGACTGGCGGCAACCCGGGGATGATGGCGGCGGGAGAGGGACTGCGGGTGGATTCCACTTTTCCCCTTCAGTTCTTTTCTTTTTCTTTTTCTTTTTTTTCTTGTCTGTTTTGTTGTATGTCGTTTGTGTGTGTGTGTGTGTGTGTGTGTATTTTGTTGCGACACTGGCGCGTAGATGATGTTTGAGGAGGAAGCGTACAAGAGGAAATGGGAAACGATTGATGGAAGAGGAGGAGGAGGAGGAGGGGCAGCTCTGGTTGCCCATGGGTGGCGGCGGTAGCGACCGGTGACGCTGACGGGTATTGAGAAAGTGTTGTTAAGAGCGCGTGTGTGTTAAGGCTGGTAGTGGCCTGGAGGCTAGACCTAGAGGGTAGAGTTGGCGAGTGCAACCACTGGGCTGGGGCTGTTGGGTCCTGTTTGTCCTCGGCCACGGGGCATCTGGCTCTACTGGAGGGCTGTGGGCGTCAGTGGGCCGTGAACGTCGTTCGGCATGTATAGGCAGCTATAGACAGTACCCGTGGAGTCACAGTGCCCGTGCGGTGCAGGCCGGGCCTACCTGTCACGGCAATACTGGACCTGGAGGTTCCATCCAGGCCTGCACCATTGGGAGTTCGAGTGCTATAACTCGGCACCTATGATGTACATGTAGCGCTGCAAGTGATGGCGGGGTGGCTCAGTGGTCATTGCCAGCAGGATAGACAGGCAGCGGCCGGGTGCCTGTGGCTGTGCTGCGTCTAACGGTGCCTGTGGTGCCTGTGATTGTGTTTTGCGTAGCAGTGTTCTACAGTATGACGTAACTCTCCAGCATTTTATTCATTCTACAGTAATCTCTCTCTCTTCAAGACGAGCGTGCCGCCAGGCGTTTCCAGATGTAGTACGAGCGCAATACGGAGCGGTGGTACCTGTAGTAATACTGTATTGGTACCTGTAATAGTAGCCGAGTCCGGTCTTGACTGACCATGTGCGCATCCCATCTTCCAAGCGGGGAATCTACCAACAGCTGAGAGGCCCGCGGACCTTGACCTTGACCCACCTGCACTGGGACGGGCACTGGGACGGGCACTAAATCGGACCGCGCGGGGCATCCATTGGATGAAGGTCAGGACTCTCGGCGACTGAACCCCTCTGTAGGGTAGTGCACGTTTCACTATAGGGATGATGTCAAGTCATGACGTACTGCTCATCCATCTTCCTTCTTCGCTTGCTCCATCTTCGCCTGTTCCAGCTGCTCGAGAGACTCTGGATCCATGCATCAGTGAGTGTGCATGTGCTTGGAGGGAATGAAGAGGGTGTCTGGATGATGGGGGTAGCACTGCCGGCGGGGGGGGAGGGGGGGGGGGGGGGGGGGGGGGGGGGGNTCTTTTCTTTTTCTTTTTCTTTTTTTTCTTGTCTGTTTTGTTGTATGTCGTTTGTGTGTGTGTGTGTGTGTGTGTGTATTTTGTTGCGACACTGGGGGGGGGGGGGTGGTTGAGGTTGGAGCGTACAAGAGGAAATGGGAAACGATTGATGGAAGAGGAGGAGGAGGAGGAGGGGCAGCTCTGGTTGCCCATGGGTGGCGGCGGTAGCGACCGGTGACGCTGACGGGTATTGAGAAAGTGTTGTTAAGAGCGCGTGTGTGTTAAGGCTGGTAGTGGCCTGGAGGCTAGACCTAGAGGGTAGAGTTGGCGAGTGCAACCACTGGGCTGGGGCTGTTGGGTCCTGTTTGTCCTCGGCCACGGGGCATCTGGCTCTACTGGAGGGCTGTGGGCGTCAGTGGGCCGTGAACGTCGTTCGGCATGTATAGGCAGCTATAGACAGTACCCGTGGAGTCACAGTGCCCGTGCGGTGCAGGCCGGGCCTACCTGTCACGGCAATACTGGACCTGGAGGTTCCATCCAGGCCTGCACCATTGGGAGTTCGAGTGCTATAACTCGGCACCTATGATGTACATGTAGCGCTGCAAGTGATGGCGGGGTGGCTCAGTGGTCATTGCCAGCAGGATAGACAGGCAGCGGCCGGGTGCCTGTGGCTGTGCTGCGTCTAACGGTGCCTGTGGTGCCTGTGATTGTGTTTTGCGTAGCAGTGTTCTACAGTATGACGTAACTCTCCAGCATTTTATTCATTCTACAGTAATCTCTCTCTCTTCAAGACGAGCGTGCCGCCAGGCGTTTCCAGATGTAGTACGAGCGCAATACGGAGCGGTGGTACCTGTAGTAATACTGTATTGGTACCTGTAATAGTAGCCGAGTCCGGTCTTGACTGACCATGTGCGCATCCCATCTTCCAAGCGGGGAATCTACCAACAGCTGAGAGGCCCGCGGACCTTGACCTTGACCCACCTGCACTGGGACGGGCACTGGGACGGGCACTAAATCGGACCGCGCGGGGCATCCATTGGATGAAGGTCAGGACTCTCGGCGACTGAACCCCTCTGTAGGGTAGTGCACGTTTCACTATAGGGATGATGTCAAGTCATGACGTACTGCTCATCCATCTTCCTTCTTCGCTTGCTCCATCTTCGCCTGTTCCAGCTGCTCGAGAGACTCTGGATCCATGCATCAGTGAGTGTGCATGTGCTTGGAGGGAATGAAGAGGGTGTCTGGATGATGGGGGTAGCACTGCCGGCGGGGGGGGAGGGGGGGGGGGGGGGGGGGGGGGGGGGGAGGGTACCTGATCATGAGCCGGGACAAGGGTAATGTGGGAGGGTTACTCATGTTTAGAATCGCAGTCTGTAGCCTGTAGGAGAACGCACAGAGAGAGGAAGGGAAGCATGATTCGTCGGGGTTGGGGTTCCTAACTCCCTTGGGAAGATGTCAGCAGATGAGGAATTCCTTTTTTTTTCTTGTCTGTTATTTTTTCCAGGATCTGTTGACCGGGGCTGGGACAGGTGGGCGGCAACGAGAGAGAAGGAGAAGTCATTGTTCCACAACGAACCACTTGTTACTAGAGGGTTCAGACTCGTACTCGACATGTTGGTGATGGCCGGATCTCTATCAGAATACGGGATACGAGCTCTTGATTACTCTGATACTTGCGAGTGTGGAGATGTGTCGTTACTGCTGCTACTACTGCTATTACTATTGATTACTACTATCCACGGTCAACGTGCAACCTTGGGAACTGAAACATGATGGGCCACTGCTACGCCGTGTCCATTCTCGGTGTAAGTCTGGCCATGTGAATGACGGCGTATCGCCTTCCCCCTCCTCCCCTCCCCTCCCCCTCCACTCTACTCCCTCCCTCTCACATAAGAACTCTGCCCTGGATCCTGTCGAACCCTTGTCAAGAAGTGGCGTGCGAGAAGAGAAGAGAAGAGAGAGGAGAGAGGAAAAAGTAATCTGCGTGAAAACTTAAGAGGACAACGGCGGCTAAGATGTTGAAACGACCATGCTGCTGATGCGCGATAAGCCGCAGTACTAGTGACAAAACAGAAATAGTACTGCTCTGAGTGAGAAACCGAGCATCTAGTAGCCGCCGCTGCAGTTGATGAGAGTAGTAGTAGGATGCACACGTGTTTAGCCGAGAGCTTCGTCCACTAATCATCGTGACAATCATACGCTCCCCCCCCGGATATTCGCCTGTTCGTCCCTTTCCTTCTCCACCTCACACCCTTCGCCGCCATGGTGAAAGCAGTAGTGAGGCATCAGATCCTCAAGGTCAGTTACGTATCAATAATAAAACCATTATTCGTACCTGTCAGCAACATGACCCCGCCGTTATCAATCGACCCCACTTATATCGATAAGATTCCATGTGATCTTATCTTATCGCAAGAACTTTTTTTTTTTTAACTTTTGCAACTCCGGCGTCACATTTGGTGATCATTTTCCCCCCCAGCCTAGAGAGGGACACGAGAAAAAAAAAAAAAAGAATACCGGCCTCGGGAAAACTCTACGATACCTGCAACCTCCCTGCTCGCCCTACGACCCTTCACAATGGCCCCGTCGGCCACCGCCCCGACGGATACTCGCTGGGATCACGAGTACAACACCCTCCGCCGCGAGAAGCTGTTCCGCGACCCTCCCGCAGACCACACTGCCTACCCGGCCCTGCAAGAGGCCGTCAACCCTCACATCGAGTCGTTCAACCGCATATTCAGCAGCGGTGACGATGGCGGCTCTGGAAGCCACGGCGGCAGCCTGCTGGCTCACGCCCTGGCAGACATTGGCACCAAGACCTTCCTCGACGGAGACGACTCCATGGACACGGGGTCTCGTAATGTCCTGACCATCCGATTCAAGGATGTGGCACTCCAGAGGCCCCAGGTGCCGCCCTCAAACAAGCTCGCCAAGAACAGGGAGATTCTCCCCGCAGAGTGCAGGGAGCGCCACGTCACCTACCGTGGTAGGCTGTCGGCCACGCTCGAGTACTCTATCAATGGGGGAGATCCCGTCGAGTTTGTCCGTGAGCTGGGACAGGTGCCGATCATGCTCAAGGTACGTTTTCAGCAGCCAGACCTCATACCTGCTCACGTCTAGAGGGACAAAGACTGCGGGAAGGACGAGAAAAAACCAGGAAAAAAAACCAGAGAGAGACCTCCCCAGACAAGACGAAAACGCTGACCTGACCCCTCCCAAGTCCAACCGTTGCCACCTCGAAAGCAACTCCCCACAGCAGCTCGTCAACCGCAAGGAAGAGTCCGAGGAGCTGGGTGGCTACTTCATCGTCAACGGAATCGAAAAGATCATCCGCATGCTCCAGCTCAACAAGCGCAACTTCCCCATGGCTATCAACCGCCCTAGCTTCCAGAACCGAGGACCGGGATACTCGTCCTACGGCATCATCATGAGGTCCGTCCGGCCCGACGAGACGTCGCAGACCAACGTGCTGCACTACCTCAACGACGGCAACATGACATTCCGCTTCTCGTGGCGCAAGAACGAGTACCTGGTGCCCGTCATGATGATCCTCAAGGCGCTGGTGGACACCAACGACGGCGAGATCTTCGAAACGCTCGTGGGCCCAGCGGGGACCAAGGCGTCGGAGAACGTCTTCCTGACGGACCGAGTCGAGCTGCTGCTGCGCACGTACAAGACGTACCAGCTGTACACCAAGTCGGAGACGCGCGCGTTCCTGGGCTCCAAGTTCCGCGTCGTCCTGGGCGTGCCCGAGACCATGACCGACTACGAGGTCGGCACCGAGTTCCTGCGCCGCATCGTCCTCGTCCACCTCGGCAACATCGACGTCACGCCCGAGCAGGACGCCGACAAGTTCCGCATGCTGCTGCTCATGATCCGCAAGCTGTACGCCCTCGTGGCCGGCGAGTGCGCCGTCGACAACCCCGACGCCCTGCAGCACCAGGAGATCCTGCTCGGCGGCTTCCTCTACGGCCAGATCCTCAAGGAGCGCCTCGACGAGTTCCTCAGCGTCAGCGTCCGCGCCTCCATCCGTGACTACCTCCGCCGCCACGCCGCCGTGCGCTTCACCTCGGAGGACTGGCGCAGGGACTTCCCCAACACGATCTTCCGCAAGGCCAACGAGAACCTGGGTACCCTGCTCGAGTACTTCTTGTCGACGGGTAACCTGCAGAGTCCCTCGGGCCTGGACCTGCAGCAGACGGCCGGCTTCACCGTCGTGGCCGAGAAGCTCAACTTCCTGCGCTTCATCAGCCACTTTCGCATGGTCCACCGCGGCGCCTTCTTCGCCCAGCTCAAGACGACGGCCGTGCGCAAGCTGCTGCCCGAGTCGTGGGGCTTCATGTGCCCCGTCCACACGCCCGACGGCGCCCCCTGCGGCCTGCTGAACCACCTGGCCCACAAGTGCAGGATCATGACCGACTCGGCCGACGCGCGCCGCGTGCCCGCCCTGGTCGCCGAGCTGGGCGTCGTGGCTTCGTCGTCGGCCTCGACCGACGAGTTCGTCCCCGTCGTCCTCGACGGGAGGCTCCTGGGCTTCTGCACGCCCAAGGAGGCGGTCCGCATCTCCGACTGCCTGCGCCACTGGAAGGTCGAGGGCACCCACGGCGTGCCGCTGCATCTCGAGGTCGGCTACGTCCCGCCCTCGCACGGCGGTTCGTACCCCGGCATCTTCATGGCGTCGACCCCGGCACGCATGGTGCGGCCGGTCAAGTACCTGCCCCTGCAGGAGGAGGACTTTGTCGGACCCTACGAGCAGCCGTACATGACGATTGCCGTGGTGCCGCACGAGATCGAGTCGGGCCGGTCCACGCACGTCGAGTTCGACCCGACCAACATGCTGTCGATCCTGGCCAACATGACGCCGTTCTCCGACTTCAACCAGTCGCCGCGCAACATGTACCAGTGCCAGATGGGTAAGCAGACGATGGGCACGCCCGGCGCCGCCATCCGGCACCGGACCGACAACAAGTCGTACCGTCTGCAGACGGGCCAGACGCCCATCGTGCGCGCCCCGCTGCACAACACGTACGGCTTCGACAACTTCCCCAACGGCACCAACGCCGTGGTGGCCGTCATCTCGTACACGGGATACGACATGGACGACGCCATGATCCTCAACAAGTCGGCGCACGAGCGCGGCTTCGGCCACGGCACAATCTACAAGACCAAGAAGGTGTCGCTCAAGGACGACTCGCGCACCAAGGCCAGCAAGAGCGTGACCAAGGCCTTCGGGTTCGCGCCGCACAGCCACGTGCCGGCGTCGTACCAGGGCATGCTGGACGACGACGGCCTCCCGCACATCGGGCGGATGGTGAGCGAGGGCGACGTCCTGTGCGCCTGGCACACGGTCACGCCCGACTACAACGGCAACCTCGTCAACCTGGACGGGCAGACGCACTACGAGAAGTACAAGGAGGCCGAGACGGCCTTTGTGGAGGAGGTGCGGCTGATCGGGGCCGAGACGGGCAACGAGCCGCTGCAGACCATCTCGCTCAAGCTGCGGGTGCCGCGCGCGCCCATCATCGGCGACAAGTTCTCGTCGCGCCACGGACAGAAGGGTGTGGCGTCCCAGAAGTGGCCGGCGGTGGACATGCCGTTCTCGGAGTCGGGGATACAGCCGGACATCATCATCAACCCGCACGCGTTCCCGTCGCGCATGACGATCGGCATGTTCGTCGAGTCGCTGGCCGGCAAGGCCGGCGCGCTGCACGGCCTGGCCCAGGACTCGACGCCCTTCCGCTTCAGCGAGGAGAACACGGCGGCCGAGTACTTTGGGCACCAGCTGGTCAAGGCCGGGTACAGCTACCACGGGAACGAGCCCATGTACTCGGGCATCACGGGCGAGGAGCTGGGCGCGGACATCTACATCGGCGTCGTGTACTACCAGCGTCTGCGCCACATGGTCAACGACAAGTTCCAGGTGCGCACGACGGGACCGGTGGTGCCGACGACGGGCCAGCCCATCAAGGGCCGCAAGCGCGGAGGAGGTATCCGAGTCGGAGAGATGGAGCGCGACGCCCTCCTGGCCCACGGCACGGCCTTCCTCCTCCAGGACCGCCTGCTCAACTGCTCCGACTACACGCGGTCGTGGATCTGCCGCCGCTGCGGGTCCTTCCTGTCCGTCCAGCCCACCGTCTCCCAGTTCGGCGGCCCGTCGTCCTCGTCCTCGTCCAGGAAGCGCAGCGCCCCGCAGACCGTCCGCTGCCGCGGCTGCGCCGTCCGACTCGACGCCGGCGCCGGCATCGACCTCACCGAGATCCAGGGCGAGATCTGGGAGGACGGTCAGGGTCACTCGTGGGTCGGCGGCGACGACACCACCCAGATCGTCGTGCCCGGCGCCCTCAAATATCTCGACGTAGAGCTGGCCGCCATGGGCGTCAAGCTCAAGTATCGTATCGACAAGGGTGATGAGCCGAGAAAGGGACCGCTCAGGCCTGCTAAGCCGATTTCGGTTTAACGGGTTCCTCCCCTCTCTCTCTCTTCTTTCCTATCTGATGCAAAAAGGTTCTATCTGTCTCATTTGATGTTTTTCTTTTTTTTTCTTTTTGATGAGGATGAATCGAAAAAAAAAAGGGGGGGGGGGAAGAATTGAACGTTTGGCATATTAAATGTTTTCATATGTACCATTGGTGTATGTTTTTTCTTGTCCATCAACACTTGGCAATTGAAAGAAATCGACGAAACAAAAAAAAAGAGGTCCTTATGGGATGTGCATATGTGCATCCACTGTGAAAACATGTGATTGAAATGGTGCTTGATATAAAGACAAGTGCGGTACGTAGACAAGTGTGATTCTATTATAGACAAGGGGTATCGAGTATTATTATTATCATCATGTAGACAAGTGGTGTCATGCATGTATCACTGGTAGACAAAGTGGTATTGGTATGTAGACAAGAGTCCATCTTCATAAGGACGGGCCAGGGTATATTGATATCCCATCCGTAATATCATGTAATAGAATTACAAAACACCCCGACAGTTATCGAGATCGGTAAACAGCTGTATCCAGTCCTCACCCCCAGGCACGACACCTACGAAATCGTGCCAGGAGATATCGCCGAACGCGAGCTGCGCACATGCACCATCAGCAGGCAGGACGCCGTCCCCCTGAAACTGCTGCTGCTGTCCCGTCCAGTGCACCTCATCAGCCACACCCGCCGTCGTCGCGGCGTCGTCCTGCGCGGCATCATCAGCCGGTCCGACACTGCTCTCACCACCGCGATTGCTACCGGCGGGGGGGTGGGGTTGGATGACGGCGACGACGCCGTCGCCGCCGCCCGTCTCCGCCGGCGTCCTGAAGCGCTGCATGATGTTCCCTAGACGGTGCAGTAGCCTGGAACCCCACGACGACTCGCGTCCGACGCGGCTGAGCGTGTCGAAGGCATCCTGGAGGAGCTTCCTGCGCGGGTCCCCGGCTTCGGTGTGGTGACCGAAATCCGGGTCGGAGCAGACGATCAGGCACGACTGGAAGAAGTGGGCCAGAACTACGCCAGAGGAAGCGGCGAGGGACTCTGTCGTCGTCGTCGTCGTCGCCGTCGTCGTCGCCGTCGTCGTGGGCGTGCTGGTGCCGGTGTCGCCGCCGCCGGTATCAGTCGCCAGCATGGCCTTGAGGATCGAGGTGGACACCTGGACTGCCGAGCGGGCGCTCTCGAGGCACCGGTGTCGGAAAACGAGGAAGCGAGCGTCCGAGTCGGGGACGCGCGACGAAAGAAACGTCCAGAGGAAGCGGGCGCGGCGGGCGTTCAGGGCCACGTGCAGCAAGTTTACCTGGATGGTGTACTGTTTCGTTGCCGTCGTGGTGTCGTCGTGGTTGTCGTCGCCGTCGCCGTCGCCGTCTAGGAAGAGTAGGCTGCGCGGCAAGTCGGCGAGGGGCTGCTCAAACAGCCTGTCCAGACGGAGGACCTGGTCGAACGGGAGGTCGTCGACGTCACCGGCCTCGAGGGGCATGGCGTCTGCTATCTCGCGGCAGATTTCGGCGGCGCGGATCCGCAGGAGGAGATGGGTCACTGACGTATGGGTGGTAGAGGGTGTCGGCGGTGGCGGCGGCTGCCGTCGCCGTTGTTGCCGTTGACGTCGATGGACAGGAGGCACCTTCTGGGCGGTGGACATGGCGTCGAGGACCGTGTCGTCAATGTCCAGGGGTCGGCGGACGGCCATGTGGCGCGGGTGGATGGTGTAGGTCCTGTCAAAGGTGCCGCCCATGCAAGACATGCACCAGTCCGTGCCGACGAGGTACCACCATATGCGGCGCTTGATCTCGAGCGTCGCCGCGTCGCCATCGCCGTCGTCGCGGCACCCGCGCGTCGGGTGGTCCACCAGGTGCAGGCCCATGTCGCGCGCCATGGAGATGCTCGCCGTCACCGCGCCGCGCATGTTGGACGTGTACCCTTCCACATCGTACAGGACGTCGTTGAGGACCATGCGCGCCTGCAGGCCCTCAAGCGTCGGGCGCTCGTCGCATCGGCCGAGTATCTCCCACGCTTCACGGATCCAGTCACCCGGCCGCTTCTGCTCCTGCTGCTGCTGCTGCTGCTGCTGCCGTCGGGGTTGTGACAGGAGGAGCGAGGATCCGGTACTCGTCGCCCTCCACGAACTGCAGGCCGCGCAGAAGCTGAGCATGAGCGCCAGGCTCCCCGCGTCCGCCGGCTCTCCCCGCTCGACGGCGCCGTACATGTCTTCCACGCGCGCCACGGTAGAGGCTCGGTGGAACAGCGCGCGCGTGTAAACGCTCGTCTGGAGGTACATGTCCACCAGGGCCTTGGCGCTGGACCGATGCGGCAGCGTGATGCGCCTTCGTCCGGGGGGAGAGTACGGACCCGGCGTACCGCTGACCGGGGCGATAACACCCTCTGGCGAGCAGACGGTGACGTCGACGTAGTCTGTCGTCGATCTCCCGTACTTGAATTTTTTTCCCCCGATTTCTCCGTGTCAGTTCATCATCACACGTCACGCGCACAGGATATTTTCTAGAAAATGTAGGGGTAGAGAGGGAGAGACGGGAGAAGATGACATACTGGGTAACCGACCGAGGGCTGCGTATAGTCTAGCTCGGAAGACATCTTCTGCCTCTGCGTCGTGGTGGTGGTATCCGAGCGTGGCGTATCGTGACCGCGCGCAGAGTCCGTAGCTGCCGGTGTGGGCACGCGGGCGCCGATGTTGAGGGACGACCATGCCGGGCTCGTCGTGCCGAATACGGCTTCCTCCAGGGCACGCAGCCGCGCATCTAATGCCGGGTTGACGGATCTGCAGTTTGCTGTGGGTGAGCATTCGTTGGTGTGTGTGTGTGTATGGGGAGAGGTGGGAGGCAGAGAAGGAAGCTACATACACGATGTCAGCTTGAGAGCGCGGGGGAGTAGAGCCATCAGGCCCGTGACAAGGCAATCCGCGGGTGACGCAGCTTGAGCACGGAATCTCCCTGTTACATTTGAGCTTCTTCGCGCGGCAGTGGTTGCACGATGTCTGAGGCTGGCGTTGACGGCGACGGGTGGAGGTTCCGTGGCTGGCAGTATTATCACTCTTCGTCACTCTGCTCACCATGATTGACGGAGAAGAAGAGCGCACGAGAACCCTGGGGAAGGTGAAGAAGAGAGCACAATGTTTCTTCCTCCTTACAGTGAGGAGGAACGCGGGATGTGGTATTACAAAGTAATCGCCATCGGATGAGGTGAGAGACAAGTATGATGATGCATGTAAGGGGAGGGAAGATGGGGATTGTCCGGATGATCCGCGGAGCCAGAGCGGAGAATCTCACATGCGCAGTTACCATGACTATCACCAACCTACCCACTACGCCTCCTGTCTTGCGGCTGACAGTTTGTGGGAAGACGCCATTGAGGATCTTATCATCCTGGACGATGCCGTGGAAGGGCCAGACATTCCAAGTTGGCCTTCAAGATGACTGGCGGCTATCCAGTCTACATCTGGCGGAACCCTGCCCGGTATACGGCTTAGACGACTTACACGACGCATATCTGCCTGTATTGTGCACAACCATGACGTTCCGTGAGCTTCAATGTCTTTCACATGAAGAGAGACCCGTCCCAGCTCGCATACATTCACCGTGTCCGAGTTCCCATCCTCAACTCTACATCTAGGCCCTCTCCCCCTCGGAGGGTCCGCGGATCGTCCGAGGGGGGAGGGCGGGATGTGAGCAGGCCCTGATCAACAACTCCCACGGTATCGGCAGTATTAATACAGTTTGTTTACTCTGTCTTTCTTGCTTTTCCATCGCAATCAGTCGAGTTTCCAGTATCCCAGTCCGTCATACTCGAGGCTTGCCAATACCATACAGTAATACACGATGGGAGCTCCCCCCGACGCCGACGCCCCTACGGGCTCAAGGTGTGCCGCATACCTACATCATAGTGTTTCTGCAAGCCAAGGAGACGAATTAGCTGACCATGTATCTGTGCAATAAGATTCGAAACCGTCCTGTCCATCGTCGCCGCCTCCCTCGCCCTCGTCAGCAGCGTCGGCTTCCTCAACGCCTTTGGCGTCTTCCAAGATTACTACGAGGAGAACGAGCTCAGGGACAGTTCTGCCTCTGACATATCGTGGATCGGATCCGCCTCCATCTTCTTCCTATTTGCCCTCTCTCCTGTTGCAGGAATCCTGTCTGACAGGATTGGATCTCGTGTACGTGTTTCTTCCTTGCTCTCATCTTTCCTCTCCTGCTCCCCCTCCCCCCCACCCACCAAGATACACACACACACACACACCTGCCCCCCTATCTCCACTCTCCTCCCATCTTTGCCTGTCCTTCTCTGACCGGCATAGATACTCGTCATTTTCGGTTCCATCTTTCAGCTCCTAGCCGTGTTCATGACCTCCCTATGCGGCGAGTATTACCAGTTCTTCCTGGCCCAGGCCGTCCTCCTCGGCGTGTCCATGTCTTTCGTCACCTGGCCGGCCGTGGCGTCCGTGTCGCGCCGCACGCCCAAGCGCCGCGGCCTGGCCCTGGGCATCGTCATCGCCGGCTCCTCCGTGGGCGGCGTCATCTGGCCCGTAGCCCTGCAGAAGCTCCTGTTCGTCCACCGCATAGGCTTCCCCTGGACCATGCGCACCGTCGGCTTCATCATGATGGCCATCCTGATTGTCGTCTGCATCGGTACCTCGGACCCGGCCAGGACTCCAACCCCCGCCCCCGATGTCGAGCAGCAGCAGCGGGCGACAGAGACATCTCAGGAGGAAAGCGTCTACGACGGCAAGAAGAGCAATGATGGGAATGCTCAGCAGAAGAACCGGGGGGGAGGCAAGGCGGAGGATGAGAAGCTCTTTACCAACCCCAACTTCTTGCTGCTGTGCGCTGCCTACGCCCTCGGTTACTTTGGCCTATTTGTCCCCTTCTTCTACGTCTCCATCTACGCTTCCGACGTGGGCGTCTCGTCCGAACTGTCCTTCTACCTCATCTCCATTGTCAATGGCGCTTCGTTCTTCGGCCGCATAGCACCCGGCCACCTCGCCGACTCGCTCGGCCACTTCAACATGGCTGCCCTGGCCATGATGCTCTCGGCCATCATCGCCTTTACCTGGACTGCCGCTACTTCTGCTGCTGGCTTGATTGTCTGGTCTCTGGCTTATGGCTTTGCTTCGGGGGTATGCATCAGTTTGCTTCCATCTCACTCCTCCTTCTCTCTCGACTCAAATCTCCCCGAACCTCTTTCATATGATTTCGTGCCTCGTTTTGTATATCAGTCATTCTCCTAACATCTCTCAACAGGCAATCCTCAGTCTCCAGGGCGCCTGTGCTGGGAAGATGGCCTCCCGTGCCGCTCAGGGTAGAGCCATCGGCGGTCTCACCGGTAGCTTGGCCATCACGTCTGTCCATTCCCCTTCCCTCTCCCTCCTCCTGTATCGGCTGACTGACTGCCTGAGTTGACCAGCGCCCTCGTTGGTACCCCCATTGGCGGCCAGATTGCCACCAACTACGGCTTCCTCCCTCTATCCATGTACGCTGGAGCCACTCTCATGGCCGGAGCCGTCACCATCCTCTTCGCTCGGCTTCGCATCCACCGGGGTGTCTGGGTGGCTTATTAGACTGTGTTGTCCGCAGTCTAATGATGATACCGAGCTGCGTACTTCACCCATGACTTGGTCTCTTGCTCTTGTTGCAGACAGTAGTACGCATGCACTGCTTGCCGGAATCTAGGATAGTCCGTGCTCATATACCATCACTCCAAGCCAGTCTTTACGAGTATAGGTACTTGATAAATCAGATCCATTCGCCAGGTGTCCTACATATTGTGTCTCTCGTCATACTCCTTTTTATAATAGTAACAAAAGCAATTCAAACATATTATCAACCCCACGTACCACCACCACCGCCCCTTCCACCCCTCTTCTGCGCCGACAGTCTCCAGTCATTATCTCCCGCAAACCTGTTATACAGCGGCTGTATCCTCTCGGCCTGCTTCCTCTTGCTGAGCCTGTCCGAGGGCGCGACCTTGAAGAAGGTAGGCGCCGCGTCGACGAGCCACTTGGGCTCTATGCTCGTGGTGTAGTGCATGTACTCCTTCGTGGTGAGGACGAGGGTGTGGTAGATGACCCACTCAGCTTGCTTGCCGAAGAGCGACGAGGAAGGATGGAGGTAGACGGGCGTGCCCTCGATCAGAGTCTTGTAGCCCTCCTGCGGGTCCTTGCGGGCCGCGTTGCGGAAGAAGCCGGCGCAGAGGGCCTGGCGGACGCGCTGGGTGCTCCGGCCGCACGACTCGATCGGGTGGCGGTGGCGCTTCATCGTGTCCTCGAGCTGGTTGCGGATGTCCTTTGCTAGGCGCATGGCGCGCGCCTGGATGAAGTTCTCGAAGCACCACGGGTTGGAGAAGCCGCTCGCCTTCCACGCGTTGTACACGTTCAGCAGCGTAAGATGGTCGCCGTGCGGGTCGTGGAACTTGGCCTTCTTCTGATCCGCCTGCGACTGCTTCTCCTTGGGCCGGTAGAAGACGTTGGGCAGGTTGAGCATCGCCACGATCGAGAGCATCTCGTCCGAGCACCCGTGGTCCACCGCCGCGATCACCACCTTGGCCAGAGACGGCTCCATCGGGAAATCTGCCATGCGCCGACCGAGCCTCGTCAGGAGACCTTCGTCGTCCAGCGCGCCCAGCGCGTACAGCTCCTCCAGCGCCGTGAGCATCGTGTTGATCGGGGGGGGGTCCATGAAGTCGAAGTGGAGCAGGTCGTTGATGCCCATGGCCTTCAGCATCAGGATCGTGAGCGCCAGGTTCTGCCGCTGAATCTCGGGTATCGACGTCGGCAGCATTTCGGACTGGTACGCTGCCTCCGTGTACAGGCGGAAGCACTTGCCCGGTCCGGTGCGGCCGGCTCGGCCGGCCCTCTGGTTGGCCTGTGCTTGCGAGATGGGCGTCACCACCAGCGAGTCCATGCCCAGCTTTGGGTCGTAGGCGTTCTGCTTGACGAAACCCGGGTCGACGACGTAGTAGATGCCGTCAATCGTGATGGACGTCTCGGCGATGTTGGTCGCGATCACCACCTTGCGGCTACCCGGCGGAGCCGGGTCAAAGATCCTGCTCTGCATCTCCGACGGAAGCTGCGAGTAGACGGGCAGGATGACGAGCTCCGGCACGTTCGAACCCAGCGCCTTCATGCGCTCGTGTAATATCTCGCACGCCGTGTCAATCTCCTCCTGGCCCGTTAGAAAGAGCAGGATATCTCCCTTGGGCTCCGTAAGGTGTATCTGCATGACCGTCACGAGCGACGCGTCCAGGTAGTCGGACTCGGGCTCTTTGGAGTACAGAATCTCGACGGGGAACGTGCGGCCGGGAATGGTAAAGATAGGGCACTCGTTAAAGTAGGACGAGAACTTGTCCGCATCCAGCGTCGCAGACGTGACGATGACTTTGAGGTCGGGCCGGCGCCTCAGTGCCTTCTTCAGCAGCGCAAAGAGCACGTCGGTGCTGATCGTGCGCTCGTGGGCCTCGTCTAGCATGATGCACGAGTAGCGTCGAATGTCCGGGTCCAGCAGGATCTCTCGCTGCAGCATACCATCCGTCATATACTTGATCTTGGTGGATGGGCTGGTGCAGTCCTCGAAACGGATCGTGTACCCCACCTCCTCGCCAAGCTTGCATCCAACTTCCTTGGCCACACGGTCCGACACCGACTTAGCCGCCACTCGTCGCGGCTGGGTGCAGCCGATCATGCCGTTCTCTGCGAAGCCAGCTTCGGCAAGGTACTGGGTCAGCTGCGTCGTCTTTCCCGAGCCCGTCTCGCCGACGACGATCATCATCTGGTTCTCCCGCACTGCCTCGATGAGCTGGTTGCGGAAGGCGAAAACGGGGAGCGACTCGCGCTGCTCCTTTATGCTGAGGTTCGACCGTTTGCCGAGAGACTGGCCCATGGGGTTGATGACCTGCTTCCACTCCGGCACAGCCTCGGTCTTCTCCTTGGCCTTGGCGTTGCGGAGGTCCGAGGCAAACTTGCGCTTATCTGGGTCGGCCATGGGGTCCTGCCACTGAGTCGATAGGTTCTCCCTGGACTGTTCCCTCTTGGCCGCTTCGGCCTCCTGCTGCTTCAGCTCCTTCCTCTCCTTGGAGATGGCCGTGCCCGACATGGCGGCGCGGTTCATGGACCCGTCGGGGGCCTTGATCACACGGATAGGCGACAGCTCCAGGGACTGCTTCGTCTGGCCGGCCAGGAAGGGCGGCTCCTCGTCGCGGACCTCGATGTCGACGTCCTCCTCGAGATCCATGTCACCATCGCCGCGCAGGGTGGCGTTGTAGTCCTCCTCAAGGTCAGGGTAGTCCGAGGCCTTGGCAACGCCCGATGCGATCAGCTGTCGTATCTCCCATCGTTCGGGCGACGTCATCCTCTTCTTGTGTTTCTGGGGGGCACCCATTGTGTCGCGCGGCATGGCCGGAGCACTGGTGTCCTGGTAGCGACCGTTCTTTGCACTACCGCCGATGGCCTCCGTGTTGGCGCCCGTCGTCAGCCTGGCCTGGGGTTCCAGGTCCGTTCCCGTCTCCTGATCCACATCCTTCATCGACAATCCCACTCGAGAGCCTTCCACGCTGGTGACCTTGACCCACACCTTCTGGCCTTTGGTTAGGATATCAGAAGGGTGATCGACACGCTGGCCTGTAGCCATGCGCGACACATGGACCAGGCCGTCAACCTTGCCGCGGACGTGGTGCAGGTTCACAAAGGCGCCAAAGTCCTTGACACCTGTGACGTGGCCTTCGTACACCTTGTGAAGTTCCGGTGCGTCGTCGATCTCCGGTTCGGGAGCTGTGCGGAACTTGTCGTCGTCCTCGTAGTCACGGTCAGTCTTGCGCCCCCGGTGGCTCCTGCGCGAGCCTCGGAAGCCATCCCTCCAATCCCCGTCACCTCGATCCTGCGAAGCAGATCTCGAGCGGCGCCTGTCGAGCGTCTTCCTACGTTCGCGGGGAGAACGCGATCTGTCTCTCCTGTGTCTCCTCGACTCCTTTGGGTCGTCGGTGGGGCTCCTGCTCCGCTTTCTCGAGGCTTCCGTTTTCTTCCTCGCTTTTCCTTCGAGTCCCTCCAGGAGAAGGAGGGTGTCGTCGATGGCGTCGCCCCCTCCGGGACCACCATCCACGGCGGCCTTGTCTGGGAGCGACAGGCCGCTAAAGACCTTTTCCTTCTCCTCCATGGTGCGCGAGTGGTGCTCGGGCTCCTGCGCCGCGGCCGCCGACTGCTTCCCCTTCATCTTGGGATGCATGGTCCACACGAGACGGTCTATGCTGTCTACCAGACTGGGGGGGAAGTCGGCGCCGACATTTTCGAGCTTCTTGCGGAATTCATCGGCCGACGCGCTCTCGAGGCGCTGGGAGATGAGGAACTCGGCGAGGGTCTTGTCGCTTATCCCCACATGATTCTGGAGTTCCGAGGTGACCTTTGACACGAGCGATAGAAGCTCGAGGTTCAAAAGGTCGTCCATGGCGACAGATGGAGATGTAAATGGCCAGCAACAGCAAGCCTTGTCGCGTTTTAGCACCTAGATATCTTTATGTACCTACGTACGGGCCTGTCGAACAAAGAAAGACAAGACCCGCTCCCACTCCCCGGAGCGGCAGATTGTCGGCTAAATCCCACTACAGTCCCTCGGCTTATCGCTCTTATCACCAACCTTGGACCCTGGAACACAGCGAGTCCCACGGACCACGGGACCTTTTATTTTATCTTTCAGATGACTCGGCCTTAGCAATCGGGGCCAGCGTTGCGTCATTGCCAGAATGTATAGGCTACGAAGGCAGCCGCTAGAGGTGCCCGCAAGAGGCAGGTATAGGCTACAGGGAGATGGCACCGCCACCACCAGGCAAGTGCCTTCCGTCGTGGTAAATACGGCGAACCCTGTCTCCCATCATCTCGCTTCCCCCCAATCCTTAATCATCATCATCACCTCTTCTCCAGACCATCGCCCTACCAACCTAAAGACTCCGGCTCATTACTTTCCGATTCACCTACCATAACATCCTCGACTGTCCCGACCTCTCTGTTCCCTCCCACAGCCCCACCATGTGCTCCTCGGACATCTTTCTCGGCTTCATTGCCCTCCTATTCCCGCCCGTGGCCGGTGAGTATCATGATCTGCCCCCCTACTCCTCTACCTGCCCGGGGTTCTTTACTAATATCTCCCTGTCCACAGTCTGGGTTAAGCGCGGCATCTGCAGTGCCGACTCGCTCATCAACATCTGCCTCTGCGTCGTCGGCTTCTTTCCCGGTCTCATCCATGCTTGGTACATCATTGCTAAGTTCCCTGACCCGTGGGACTACGACTACGAGAGCCTAGCCGAGGAGAATGGCCGTCCCCAGGTAATCTATATCGTCCAGGACCAGCAGCCCCCGAGGCAGCAGCACCAGATGCACGGCAACGCTGCCCCTTCGCCGTACGGCACCGTCCAGAGCCACGACCAGTCGCAGACCTATGCTCCCACTCCCGCCGAGGCCGGCAGCAGCTCCCAGCCGCAGCACGAGGGCGTGCCTCCCAGCTACGCCCAGGCGGTTGCTGGTGACCACAAAACCCAGACAAATTCCTAGTGATAATAAATCGTTCCATCTTTCTTCCACGCCTCAGCCAAAGTGGCGTTTGAAGAGGCAGTACGAGTCTTGATACAGCGTATTTGGAGGTTCATATGGCGATGCCGTCGTTGATTGCTACCCTTTTCTTTTCTAATTTTTTCTTTTTTTGCTTTGTCTTGGAGTCGGCTATACACATATCTTAATGCTTTCCTCTCTTCTTTTGTTCCTCGTTGGAATTATAGCAGTTTCTTTTAGTCTTCTTTTGTCTTTTCTGATCAGACACCTTATATCATGGCCATCAGACACATGCTTCTTCTCTCTACATCTTTACTAACTTGGCAGCGTATTTTCCAAAAGAAAAAAAAAATATTGCATCTCTACCAGTCATGATTCCGTAAATGTAATCTGGCAGCAACATTCTTCTAGTCTTACATGTGAAAGACAATGATGCAAGGAACAGGTACCCCACCACCCTGTAGCAATATAACAATATGTAATTAAATGATATCCACTTGATGCAAAGCACTGAAATCGTGTAGGACGGTTCCACTACGTGTGTACCATGGTGGCAGTACTCTTGGGTGATATTCTTCTGTATCATGCCTTTCTATGATGAGAGTAAATGACTTGACGAGAAGAGGACAAGATCGTGTCATGATGCCGCAGATGCGACGATGACGACCGCACCTGCTGTTCACTCCATATACCGTTTTCGATCCTCCTTGTCACCTTGCCCCTTCTCCTCTTCCTGATCATCCTGGACCTGTTTCTCGATCTCCTTGGGCGGCTTGAAGTGTCGCATGAGTTGCTGCGGTAAGAAAGTGTAAAAGGTGGGCACAATATCGTGGATCGTCTTGACAAAGGTCAAAGGTGGACCGTCACCGGGAAGCTTGACATCGCACAAGGTCACCGTCATCTTGTTGCCGACTCGGAGGTTGTCGAGAACGGGCTGTTCAAAGAACAACGTCTTGGCCCAGTTATGTGGGAGCTTTGTACGGACATGGTATGCCCACCCATCTTCGATATGGGCGGGTTTGACGACTATCTTGCCCAGAGGCTTCAGGGGCTCACCGTTGATACTTGCGTCCTTGAACTTGCCTTCAATTTCAGAATGGGGCCTTCGGATGCTGGTTATCTCGACAGTGCAGTCCATCTGTTCCGTGATGTGGTATTTCGGTCTAGCGTCGAAGGCGCGGTCGTACAACTCAGGCTCGTTTGACAAGGCCAGGATAGCGAGCCAAGTGAACTCCGCCTCTTCGCGCTTATCGCCAGACATGAAGCTTGGCTCTGGGCTTTGGATGGACCAGTCACCAATCTCATTCACACCAAAGGAACATGCTGCAGCTAGATTGAAGGATCCAGGAAGCGCAGAGCTCATGGCAGCGAGCAGAGGCCACTCCTGGCGGGCCTCCTCGCACACGGCAATGGCCTTGCGTACATCGTGGGCAAACTCGGGACAGACGTCATGGTGCAAAACGTAGCGGAGGAAGTTGTCGACTACGGAAACGGCAGTGTGTATGCCTCTGAAACCCGTCACGGGGCCGACGACGGTGAGGAAGCCGGCCGTGACGGCGGCAAAGTCAACGGACCAGTTCTCACGGTCACCGTCGTAGAATCTGTCCGTGCGATCTCCGGAACTGGAGCGGTTGGGGATTATGATGGCGTCGTCGTCGTCGTCGTCTTCATCGACTCTGCCACCGGAGAAGGCCTGAGGCTGGGCGTTGACACCGCCAAGAAAGAGGTATTCCAGGAAGTAACGAGAAATGTCGCCACGGAGACGCCGACGAGCTCGAAACCGTTTGATGCATGACTGGATGCGCCTGTGTTCTGTCAGTCAGGGTCACAGGTATAGCAGCTGAGTGGGTTATTGTTTGGCGTACTCGTCAAAGGGTAGTTCACTGGATGAGGAGGTTAGCCCATCATGGTGCCAGTAAGGGTGGTATCGCATTACGAAGGTATTTCGTACTGGGAGTAGACTGTTTCCTTTTCATCTCGGGCCTCCTGAGGCGTCACTGGCGGGTCAGCATAGTATTCTGGTATATGATGTTAGTGCTCATGTAGATAGCCTCGTGAATGGTTCTTCCTAGCCCAACACTACACACCTTCAAATCCAGTGCCGCGATCGCGTGGAAGAGCTGTTGGACCCCTCCTGGTAACTGTCTTGTTTCCTCTAACCGTTCTGCCCATGGCGAGAGCTGATGACGGTGGAAGCTATGGTGAAGGCTCCTTTTTCGAGTACAACACCAGTACGGGGGAGCAGCTCTCACGTTATTATGTACCTCGAATAACGAACCGAGTCGAAGCGTGATAGGAAGAGGGGGTGTGTGAAGGTGGAAGCGAGGAACAATGGCAAAATCTGATTATCCTCCAACTGTGTAATATGGTAAGAACACAGAAGGAAGAGCGACCGGTGGCACTTGCCGCCAGCTGACAGCAGGATTAGCATCAGGCAAGCAAACATCTAGACAGCAGTGAATCGATGTCACACCAGGCATCATTTCTTCCGCCGAATAGGCACGGGATGGACTTGACGCAGGTTCGCACCGCTCCTCTTTCTCCTATCCTCGGCGGACAGATGACATCGACGCAAATATAACACAGATGCAAACGAAGACAAACACAGTCACACAAGTAATGCAATGCAACCGGCAGGCAGCGTGTTGAGGCAGTCGGATTGGCCGACTAACGAGGACAGCAAGTCAGCCAGCCTCATGATACATCTCATCACCATGTTTGTTCCTTGAGCCTGGAGTCACACATGTAGAAAAGTCTCAGCGCAGGCATCTGCGAGTACCGTCATGTATTGTATCAATATGATGAGGGATTTTGCGAGCAATGCCACGCCGTTTGACGAGGCTGGTGAACTGAAATCAAGCATTGCACTCGAGGCAAAGGACTGCCGGAACAAACTGCTGAATAAGATACCAGAATGGGTTATTCCAGCCAGATCAGAGAGATCCCTGATAAACGGAACATCTGCATAGTCACTATTTCCCTCACATAGAACAAAAAAAAAACAGCAGGTCATCAAGAGGGCAGAAAACAGCCTTTTTTTCTAGTCCTTCTTCTATCATTACATCAGTGAATATTAATCCGGATAAATTTATTTGCGATCCGGAGTCTCAGACGAGTGTTTTACCGTCATTATTCCGCCGCTACGTCTGACAAAGATCACTGCCACGTGAGACGGGAAAGGAATGCCTTATTTGCAATGCGACAACGCCACGATTGTGCAAGACCAGAAAAATGCAAAGGAAGGGAAAAAAAAAAAGGAAAACCCTGCCACAGGGAGGCAGGATATCCTCGGATATCGGGTTTCGGATGCCAGGCAAACGAGCGAGGAAGAGAGTGATAATCATTTCATACAGGTGAAAGAAAAAGCCTGTGATTCTGCCTTGCCAGCTTCAGTGCATGAGCACGAATATTTCTCGGTACGGGGCTGTAGGCTGTGCGTTGGGAGTGTGTGGCACAGAGTTTGGTCAGCCAGCGTGGCGGTGACAGCTGTGGCCTGTAGTTTTAGGTCTCGGTGGGTGGCTCAGCTGGGTTGCCTTACGACCTACCCACGCACCCAAGTTCCAACTGGAGGAGAGGAGAGGAGAGGAATCCCCTTGTGTGTGTCGATGTGTTGCTTGAGGGGATCTGCAGGGGCTTCTGAGGAGAGGGTGCACTCATGAAACACGAATTTTTCATGAGGCTAGAGGTTGTTGCAGCATCTTACACGGTATCATGACGGAGTGTAGGGAAGAGATCCCTTTGTGGGTGGTTACGTCGTAGGACAAGTTGATATGTCTGTAATTCAGCACCACCCATTCAGCGCCTGCAGGCTACAGCCTACATGTAATAATAATACGGAAGAGTACTGGCCCCCCGCAGTCCCCCTGCAATCCCTCTGAACGCTGATACATATGCTTCACCTTGCGCTGGGTCGGGCCACCACAAGATGTGGCCTAGGCGGGAATGGCCCTGGAAATACAGGCACTTACGGCGCAGCCAAGGTTACTCGCGCCTACATGCATGCAATGCTCGTCAATATATAATACATATACTCCGTAGTATTTAATGAATAATATTGCTGGTAAGATGGAACTTGAAACATGGAAATCTGCCCAATCCTCCATGCCATCAATAGGCAACCGTTAGCAATAACAACACCACCAACGGGCCACGGGCCACAGCCTACAGCCTACGATTAACCCCCCGCCCTCCCCACGCCGATCCTTGGGCTGTCTTATTTCCATTCATGCACCCCCCCTCCTACCACCAAGGTCCTTTCTGCTTAATGATTCCGATCCTCACATACATATATCCCTCCTTCTTTTTCCGTATCGTCCATCCTTTTGTCGCATCTCTCACCCCTCCCGTCGATTCACCTTCCGTTTTGCGCATTCACCATCACCACGACTTCTCGCACCTTCCCCCGCCCCACCCTCCTCGCCACCGAAAAGAGATCCTATACCGACTCATTGCCATCTGACGGCGGCCCAATTCCCCTTGCATCTGCGACTCGCGGCCTACCTGCAGACACTCGCACCTGCGTATCCTCCTTGCTACCCCTCACACTACCGCTCAGCGGCTCCTCGCCATGGCCACCGGGTCGGTACCAGAACTCGACCAACTACAAGGCTACAAACACGCCGTGGCCGGACAGTAAGTCTCCAATCCACGCTGCGCGCGCGCGGGCGCAGCATCTGCGACGGGATGATACATGAAAAAGAAGAGGAAAGAAAAAAACAGGAAGGGAATGAAGACAGCAGAGGAATTCTGACCGTTCTGAACAGCGCCGGGACCTTGTGCGACGGAGATGGCAAGCTCTTCATCAAACCCTGTATGCAAAAGGAAATCGACTTTTACCAGCACGTTCAGCGAGAAGCCTCCGACCCGGACGAGTCCAAAGAAAAGTACCGCGACCTGTCCGACATCCTGCCCGTCTTCATGGGCACGCTGATGCTCACGGACCCGACGGACCAGCGCATCAGTGACGCGGTGACGGGCGTCGTTTCCAACAGCGGGACGGTGATGACGGACAAGGAGCAGATCAGCACGGCGCTGTCAGAACAGGTGGCCAAGGTAGCCGAGGCGGCGGCGGCGGCGGCGCAGCAGCAGAACAAGAAGGGCAGCGGCCAAGGAGGAGGAGAGAAGACGGAGCTGGCAGGGGCGGGGGCAGCTGAGCAGGAATGGATCCCTACCAACGGTGGCCCTATCAAGACGGACAGGGCCATTGTGCTGGGCAACGCGTCATACGGCTTCAAGAAGCCGAATGTGCTGGATGTGAAGCTGGGGGTGCGTCTCTATGCTGACGACGCCCCGGTCAAGAAGAAGGTCAAGATGGAGAAGCTAAGCTCGGAGACGACGCACCGCAGCCACGGCTTCCGCGTCTCGGGCATGAAGGTCTTCCGCGGCTCGGCGGACCCCGCGCAACTCGATGACGAGGGCTTCCAGGTCTACGATAAGGACTTTGGCCGGTTGACCGTCACCGAGGACAACGTGGCCGCCGAGATCAGCAAGTTCGTCTTCAACCGCGAAGCCGGCATCGACCGTCACCTGGGACGCGCCGTGTGTCGTGCGCTGGCGACAGAGGTTGCCCGCGTCGAGAACGTCATCCGGCAGCACGAGTTCACAATGTACTCGGCCTCGCTGCTCATCATGTTCGAGGGTGACGGCAAGGCTCTCGAGAAGGCGATCCAGTACAACAACGAGACCGTCGACGCTATCGAGGATGCCGTGGCCGCCGCTAAGCGCGTCGACAGTGGCATCGTGCTCGACGACGAGGGCGACTTTGTCACGGCCGCCGACAGCGACGACGATGACGAGGCCAAACCGCCTCGCGTCTACACCGTCAAGCTGATCGACTTTGCCCACGTCGACTGGACGCCGGGGAAGGGACCTGATCAGAACCTGCTCAAGGGAGTGAGCAGTATAAGAAAAGTTTTTGAGGAGTTGGCGAGCCGCGGGAATTGATGGGCTTTACGGGGTCTGACGTGCTCAAAGGAGAACGGACAGAAGGCGGACAGACACTGGAACGCGTCAGAGGAAACGTCAGGGTGCATTCACGATAGACTATTCAATCATGAAAAAAAGGGGGTGCAAGACAAAGAGGGAGGGGATAAATAACAATAAACACGTGCTGGGTATGTCCAAACATCCAGAAAAGAGGGGGGGGGGGGGGGGATTGTCGAGAAGCGGTCACCTGCTTTATCCCCCTGATAGATGGGTTCACGATTAGCATGCATTGATTTTTATAGAATCCAACTGAACATGATGAAATATTCAAAAAAGCTCTCTACTCTAGTTTTCTTCCCGGTCAATCGTGAACATAGTGAGGGGGACAGTACGGCAATAGTGCAATACAGGCATGCAGGTATACAGGTAGTCACAATAATTGAGTATGAGCAGAGCTCCTCGTGGTGGGTCCCAAGGCGACGTCACAATCCACGACCCCGAGAAGAAAAACCAATCCCCCCCCCCCCCGGGCGAGAGCAATGCTAACGCAGGGATCGAATCGAGGTGAACAACAGCAACCGGTGACATCGACCAAGCGCACCATAGTGCTCCGACCAGGATGGGAATGGCGATTCGACATTGGCTTCAACTCGAGCAGCGACGTGACGGTGCGGCTAGAGGCGGGGACGTGTGAGCGCGACGGCATCGAGCTGGCGCTGCGCACGACGTACAAGCTGCGGGGCACGCGGTCGCGGCTCCTCTCGTGGCACGGGTGCGAGCTGGAGGTGGACGGGCGCTGCGAGTCCGAGGGTGTGGTGGAGTTTGGCACGCCGGCCGAGAACGGATTCGCCAACGGGCTGCTGAATCTGCACTCGTGCCTCAACGACATGAGGGCCGTCGCGGCGCGCGGCGGTGCCGAGGGCCCTCGTGTCCTCGTCACGGGGGGCGGACCGTCAGCACCCCTCCCGGAGAACGGGCACGCAGCTGCCGGTGCTACCGCTTCCGCTGGCGGTGGGGCACCGCCGCCGTCCACGGGCAAGTCCACGGCTGTGAGGACGCTGGCCAGCTACGCCACCAGGCAGGGGCACCAGCCCCTCGTGGTCAACGCGGACCCGCGCGAGGGGATGCTCACCCTGCCCGGCACGCTGAGCGCCGCCGTGCTGGCCACAGTGATGGACCCGGAGGCCGCGGATGCCTGGGGTAGCACACCCACCACCGGCCCGAGCAGCGTGCCCGTCAAGCTGCCCATCGTGCACTACTACGGCCACGGGGACCCGGCGAGGGACGACGACGGGTACCGGGAGCTTACGGCCAAGCTGGCCGCCACCGTCACCGCGAGGCTCACAGCTAGGGACGACGGGCATGTCATGGCCTCGGGTGTCATTGTCGATACCCCCGGGGACTTGGATGGGGATCTACTCGCTCATATTGTTGATGAGATGTCTGGTACGTTTCTGCCTCTCTACCTCTCTCTCTCCTCTCTCTCTCTCTCTCTCTCCTCTCTCTCTCTCTCTCTCTCTCTCTCCCCTCCCTCTCTCCCCTTTCTCTCCTTTCTGAACCTTTACCTTTCTCGTTTCTTCATTCTGCTGTACCATCGATTGGAGCCACTTTTTTTTCTCACCCATGTGCTGACCTTGTAAAGTCAATGTCATTGTGGTTGTTGGGTCGAGCGAGTCAGAGGCAGAACTGTCAAGACGCTTCTCCAACGAAAAGACTAGTCTGGGTGAGCCGATACAGGTCGTCAGGATCGAACCCCCCCCCGGTGTGTGGCAGCGCGAGGAGGCGTTTATGCAGCGCTCTCGCGAGGCGGCCATCAAGGAGTACTTTTTCGGGGATGCTCGTAGGACACTGAGCCCCCAGATCCAGCATATGGGGTTCGATGGTGTGGTCATCTACAAGATATCCGACGGTGCGTTCCCCCCTCCCCCCTCCTCCCTCCTCCCAGCTCACTCGATCCCTCACTTTGTTCTCCCTCTGTCGTCTATACTGATCGACAAAACGTAGAAGTGGGATACACTCAGCTGGTAAAAGAGGAACCCTCGACGCTGATGCAGCACTGGACACTGGCCATCATGCACGCCTCGACTAGGGACCCTCCCGAGGTGGTCAGGGCGGCCAGCGTGATGGGGTACGTGTACGTGTCGGATGTGGATGAGGAGAGACGGAAGATCAAGCTGCTCTCGCCCGTGAGCGGCCGGCTCGGAGACCGACCGATGGTGTGGGGATCGTGGCCGGAACCGCACATGAATCTGCTGGGATAGATAGTCTTCTCTTGGTTTCATATCATCCACGGTCCATCTATACCGGGTATCCGCGGGGGCAGCACACTCTATGGAAGTGGGAAGTCGACATCCGTAGTGCATCGCCATGGCCAAGACCGCTCTCTTGACACCTTCTCGAGAGGAAGAAGTGATAAGGAAAGAGAGAATGATGACGATATATTACATGATCAATACGTTAAACATGGTCTAATCTCGCTATGATAGGCAGTTGATGGTGGGAGACAAGGATGGCATGCAACCTTATTGGGGAGAAAGAGGGTACATATACGGGGTTTCACTTCAACCATCAGATTGTCGTTGCGGGGTAATAATCCCTCTGTCTCGCGTGCTTGATATTGCGAGATGGACTGTCTGTCTGCCATTATCTGATTCGATGCTAGTAGTAACTGTACATAGATTTCCTCGCACGTACCGTGGTTGAGCGGAAAGCCAAGAAGAGCACCCCACCGACCGACAACCACGGATACACCTGGCTATCTTGCCAAGAAGTCTGTGCGCTGTACGGACCAGACAAGAGTGAGGCCCCCCAAGGTCTTGTAAGGTTTGCCAGACAGGGGTGGACTGGAGATGGATGATAAGGGGACTCGGGATGTGTCGTCAAGTACGGATACTACTATTCTTTTTACGTCAATCTTACATATTCTTTCTTCTTATCCCCCCCCCCCCCCCCCCCCCCCCCCCCCCCTCCGTCCCTTCGCTCTCTCCCTTTTCTTCCTGTGGGTTTACGTAGATGAGAGACAGCAAGGGACAGTAAAGGCGAGACAGGGAGATGGGATAGATTTGTTGAGGAGGCTGGGCCCGGACCCGTAGGGTAGAGAACCCAGGCCGTCTAGATCTGGGGGCCGCTTCGATGTCGGTTGTTCCCAGAGAAATAATATGCTTAAATGGCTAGCGTATATGTGTAGCCGCAATGCAAGTTGCGACAGACTTGTATTGGCGGGGAATTGCATTGGCGTGGAGTACGAGTATCAGTATCAGGATGTCAACATCCGGGGGTGGACGGTTCTAGAAAGAGCAATGCCGTCCCCGAGGGTGCAGTTCACGGGAGGTTCGTCGAGAAGAGCGAGAGCCTAGTCGAGACAGTCGTGTCTCTGCCGAGAGTGACGGTCACGCGTATTGCACCTTTGCTCTCTCTCTGCTCAGCGCCGTTGTCTCGACCTTGACTGTCTCTGCAAGGACGTCCCGCACATCACACATCCCGATCAGAGGTTTCGAAACTGAGACCAAGCGAGACGAGAACGGGAGGATGGAACAGAGAGGTTCTCTCTCCCCATTACGTACGAGAGCAGAGCATGTTACTTGGCTGCATGGTGTGTTGTTGGCAAAGGGATATATGACGTGACGCCGTCAACAGCTCCCGGGATGCTGCAAACTGCAATGCCTGTCTGTATATGGGCATGTACCCACTTGGTGATGATGATGCGGTGCATGTAGAAGCCAATGACGATGACGACGCGGTCGCGTGGACCAATCAGATGCCATGACGATCGAGCAGATCAAGGACCGTCTCTCTCCGTCTCCGCGTCTCGTGACGGTCGTTGCTGCGGGTCGAGTCTATTATCCTCTTGTGCAGAGAGGTGTGACTCGTTGCCAGAATGACAGTTAGTGTCGTTGGATGCATGAGCCGACTCGCCAACCTTGGTCGGTGGATAACACAGTGTCGACGTAGAGTGGGTACACTGCTAAGGAGCCGTATCCGAAGCTAGAGGATGCGTATGCGAAATGCGGGTACGAGGATCAATACCAGTATACGACTGCCAGTATGCACGGGGATACGGTGTGTAATACTCCTAGACTCCCCATGTGGTGTGTAATCTGTATGTAGTGTTACCGCGGATGAGGTCGTCATGATTGCCTGTGCCACAGCAAATATGCGCCACGTCATTGGTCTGACTCTACCGATCCGGGTCGCTGCGCCACAGATATCCACTCACCTCAGCCTCAGTTTTGCCTCAAGCCTGTGGAACGGCCACGGGTCAAGATGGGGTTCAAGATGGGAAACACTGGGAGTCCAGGCTCCTGAAGGCTGGCGGATTCACATGATTGGTAGCATTTGGTCTGTCTGCTGTTCTATCATCAACTGTCAGACCCTGGAAGGAAAGGGGATTTGGTGGCTGCCGAGATCACCTGGAACCTATCGAGACGACCACAAGGACCCGATATGCGTCTGCTCGTAATACTGGGTAGTACAGTACAGTGTGGCTTGGCAAGGAGAGCGGGACTCGTATGTCGGCGGCTTGAGAAGCGGGGGGGGGGGGGGGGGGTCCGAGAGTCTGTATGTCTCGTCTCGATCTGTGTCTGTCGCAGAGATTGTACCTTTTTCCCCTTCTGATTTTTTCTTACCTCTCCCCCCCCCCTCTCTCTTTCACTTTCTCTTTCTATCTACAGTAGCAGGACCGGAGCGTAGAATATCCATCGGATCTACAATGTCAATCATGCGAATTACCATCATCTGTAAGAATAGCACTACCGCCCAACATGCTGGCACCTGGGCGGATCTCCGCTGAGGGGGATCTCGCGATAACCGCTGCCAGGTGGGGGATAGCGGCGAGGTTTGCTGGATTAGGGTACTTACTATTCAAGCCAGGATATAGGCTGTGCCGCCGTGCTAATGCCCGGTAGTGTGCAGAGCAGCAAGACCCTCCCCTCTCCCCACCTTCCCTCCCTGGATTAGCATGTATTCAATACTGTGAGTCTGCATGTACTTGGTCTCTGCTCTACACGTCTAATTGATAATTGCATGCGTAGAACAGAGAATATGTAGACCAGAATCAGAGCACAACGGTACGGTACAGCGGTACGTATTCCGAGTCGTTAAGCATATCACATTCCTTTACAGTGGGTGATGCTGCTGATGCATCTTCTCCTCCCCCCCCCCAACAAGGTGATACGCTGTTCTTAGCTTCTACTGTAATTCTCCTCTCCCCTCGACTTCCAGCGACGGGGAAGGAGCCTCCTGCCACTTCTTGCCCGATGTCATCGTATTGAAATACCGGCACCTCTCCCCAGTTCCATCCCTTCCATCTTTTCTCCTTCTTTTCTTCCTTCCTTCCTCAGCTGCTCCATCCCCCCCCTCTCTCTTCCCTCCTTCTCACTCTCCTGCCCTGATCTTTCCTCTGCCTCTGAGAGTCAGAGTACACTCTATACTTGCCTGTTCTTCGCCTTACGCCTCAGCCGATTTCCCCCGCGAAGCCCGCGCTCCCACACCCCGCCTCCGCCTGCTGTTTGACATCTAAACCACACCCATTCGATGGGAGAAAGCACTGCCATCAGTACGAATGGTGGACTCCACGCCAGTTCCTCCGCGGACTCGTCGCCCGCTGCCAGTCAAGACGACCCGCCCCCTATAGCGGAACCCCCTGAACCCCAATACACGATACAAGAAAATCAACAAGAGAAGCACTGCTTCCCTCACACTCTGTCGGTCGACGGCGTAGCCAAGAGCCTCGCCACTCACATCGATCATGGGTTGAGTAATCAGGATGCTGCCACCCGCCTTGCGCGGGATGGCCCCAACACCATCAAGGCCGCCAAGGGAACGTCAATCTGGGAGATCTTCGTTGCCCAGATTGCCAATGCCCTCACGGTCGTTCTGATTGCCGTCGCAGCGCTGTCCTTTGCCATTCACGACTACGTTGAAGGCAGTGTCGTCATTGCCGTCATCGTACTCAACATCGTCGTCGGGTAAGTTGTTAAGTTCGCGTGTCTCCCCGTCATCACCACGGGGACATGCTCGTTAGATAGAGAAACACCTTTCTTGAAACTTGAAAGCCAGAAATCAGAGAGAATCAAAGGAAGTGATCTTGCTACAAGATTGCCGACGCCTCGCTAACACTGTACACCAATGACATAAAGACTGGTCCAGGATTATAGCGCGGAGCAGACGATCCAGTCTCTCTATGCCCTGTCCACCCCAAAGTGCAAGGTCATCCGGGATGGCATCAGTGACACGGTCAAGGCCGAGACAGTCGTCAAGGGCGATATTGTCGTCCTCGCAACTGGTGATGTCGTACCCGCCGATATGCGTCTCATCCAGGGCATGAACCTGGCCACCGACGAGGCTCTCCTGACCGGAGAGTCCGTCGCCATCACCAAGAACCCCGATGATGTCTTTGACGAGCCCGATATGCCCATCGGTGACCGTACCAATCTGGTCTACGCCGGTAGCTCCGTCACCCGCGGCCGTGGCTCCGGGATCGTAGTCGCTACCGCCATGGAGACTGAGGTTGGCCAGATTGCCGAGATGCTGGGCAGGACGGACGACGACATGGTCGGAAAGTCGGGCCTGGCCAAGTTCCTCACCAAGATCTGGCACACGACCCGCGGCATCCTCGGGCTCGAGGGCACCCCGCTCCAGACCACTCTCAGCAAGTTTGCTCTCTTGCTGTTTGCCCTGGCCATCCTCCTGGCCATCATCGTATTCGCCGTCAGCCGCTTCGACATCAATGGCGAGGTGCTGCTGTACGGCATCGTCGTCGGGGTAGCCGTCATCCCCGAGTCCCTGCTGGCTGTCCTGACCTTGACCATGGCTGTCGCCACAAAGGCCATGGTCAAGGGCAACGTCATCGTCCGGCAGATGACCTCTCTTGAGGCCGTCGGCGGCGTCACCAACATCTGCTCCGACAAGACGGGCACCCTCACCCAGGGCCGCATGATCACACGCAAGGTCTGGCTCCGCGGTGGGATCGAGGGTTCCGTCGAAGGAGCCGGAAACCCCTACGACCCGAGCGCCGGCACCGTTACCTGGTCCGGCTCTCTGGCGGGCAGCTGCCTGGGTCGATTCCTGACGACGCTCACGCTGTGCAACAACTCTACCGTCACAGACGGCAAGAAGGAGCCTGAGACGGACACGAGCAGCGTCACGACGGCCAACGACGGCGCCGACTGGAAGGCCCTCGGTGAGCCTACCGAGATCGCCCTCAAGGTCTTTGCCATGCGCTTCGGCCGCAGCCACGCGGGAGGGTCTGACATGCTGGTGGCTGAGCATCCCTTCGACTCAGCCATCAAGCTCATGAGCGTCGTCTACTCTAACGAGGTGGAGAAGTCGTGCACCGTCTACACAAAGGGTGCAGTCGAGGTCATGCTTCCCATCCTCGATGAAGATCAGCAGCTGAAGAGCGAAATCCTGGCCAAGGCCGAGGAGCTTGCCGGCCAGGGTCTTCGTGTCCTCTGCGTTGCCACCAAGTCCATGGATGGTGAAGAGGCTGGCGTGGACGGTGCCGACCGCGCCAAGGCCGAGAAGGATCTCCACTTTCTCGGTCTTGCCGCCCTGTATGACCCGCCTCGTGTGGAGACGGCTGGTGCCGTGAAGGCGTGCCACCGAGCCGGTATCACGGTCCACATGGTGACGGGCGACCACATCAAGACGGCCAGGTCTATTGCGTACGAGGTCGGCATCCTCGACAAGAACACACCGCTGCAGAGCAGTGCTGTCATGGCCGCGTCCGACTTCAATAACATGTCGGACGACGAGATCGACGCCATGGACCGTCTACCCGTCGTCCTCGCCCGCTGCAGCCCCCTCTCCAAGGTGCGCATGATCGAGTCGCTGCACCGCCGAAAGGCGTTCTGCATCATGACGGGGGACGGCGTCAACGACTCGCCTGCCCTCAAGAAGGCGGATGTCGGCATTGCCATGGGTGATCGCGGCAGTGATGTCGCCAAGGAGGCGTCCGACATGGTGCTCACCGACGATAACTTTGCATCCATCGTCACGGCTATCAAGGAGGGCCGCCGCCTGTCTGATAACATCCAAAAGGTACTGGTGCTCTCGATCTCTCCCTCTCTACCGTCTCCCGTCTTTCAAGATCCGGCCCGTACTGATACTAGCCTTGCAGTTTCTTCTCCACCTACTGACATCCAACCTTGCCCAAGTCGTCCTCCTCCTCATCGGCCTGGTATGCAAAGACGTGACGGGACACTCCGTCTTCCCCCTCTCCCCCCTGGAGGTCCTGTGGGCCAACCTCATCACGTCGTCCCCTCTGGCCCTGGGTCTGGGACTCGAGGAAGCCCAACCTGACATACTGGAACGTCCCCCCCGCGACCTCCGCGTCGGCGTCTTCACCCGCGACATGATCCGCGACCAGCTCGTCTACGGAGTCAACATGGGCGTAAACTGTCTCATGGTCTTCCTGATCGTCGTCTACGCCGGCTCCGGCGAGGGCTACCACCTCCTCCCGGCGGGGTGCAACGACGGCGCCGGGGCCAAGTGCGACACCATATTCGAGGCTAGGGCGGCCACGTTTTCGACCTTTAGCTTCCTCCTGCTAGTCAAGTCGTGGGAGGTGAAGCATTTCCACCGCAGCCTGTTCGCCATGGACGACAGGTGGACCGGCCCCTTTGCCGTGTTCCGTACCATCTACCACAACCGCTTCCTCTTCTGGTCCGTCGTCGCCGGGTTCATCAGCACCTTTCCCGTCGTCTACATCCCCGTCCTCAACACGACCGTCTTCAAGCACAGGGGTCTGACGTGGGAGTGGGGACTCGTGTTCGGAAGTGTGATTCTGTTTGTCGCCATCACCGAGATGTGGAAGGCTATCAAGCGTCGGTTCCGTCTTGGTCTTGAGAAGAACCTAGCTGTCGTTGCTTAACTGGCCCTTGTTCTCCTCCTTCCATATTTGTTCGAGTATGATGCGGTATGACTCTTTATAAGTCAAATGTGTTGTTTCTCTCCCATGATGAGCTGATAACTCTGAACATTTGTCTCTTTTTGCTTTGTCGATCCGGCACTTTTTTTTATCTGTCCTTGCTTTTTTACTCTTCTTTTCATGTTTTAGGATCTGTTTCATTCTGTCCTCGCTTGACAGGCCTTTTTTTTCCCTCAACAATGGGAGGATATGCCGGGCCATGCATATGCCTATATTCAAATGTCTCTTTGTTGGGGGGTTTTTTTTTTTTAACCCGTCGAATGGGATGGTCAGGGTGAGATAGATAGCTCTATGAAATTTGATAAAATGTCAAAAAGTCATGATGCCAATGCTTACTGGTGCACACACAGCTCACACAATGCTATTATAACCTTTATTACCCTTTTTGTGTTGTGAAGGCTGTTGATGTGGACATGGTTCCTCATACCCGTACTCCGTACTTACACCTATAATATCGCTGTGTGGATATCACCTAATGCCGGCATAGCCGGAATATCAGATAACCCGGCCCCGTTAGGGGCAGCACCGGCCACATCAACGCTAGATTCGTAGCATCGTGATAGTCATGAGAGGAAAGGAGAGGATAACCCGGATCACGACCATATAGCATACCTGCCTCTCGGAGGAAGAGACAGTCGTGGACGTGATGGACCGGACATCAATAGATTCGCCGTTTGATACCAACAATCGCAACCATGTTACGAGTAATGATACAAACCCCCTCACTTCCCTTGTTTTTTCAACCTTGGAAAGATGATTGGACAGTTACACTAGCTACGGTTGAAATAAATGATGTCATAGAGTTTCATTTTCCATATAATGTCATATAACGTCATAGATAAAACCACCAAATATACTCCGTATATATATATATCTGGTATATATTTGGTCACGACCCAATCCCAATGCTTTCGTAAGAATGATGATACAATGAGGATGCTGAATGTCTGTCTCAAGAAGACTCCTTCATGATCCAAAGGTAAACTAGAAGAGAAAATGTAGAAAAAAAAGAAGAGAAGAAGAGGCGGAGAGAGAGAGAGAGAGAGAGAGAGAGGAAAAAAAGGGAGGGAAATTTCTAGGCCAAGGTTGTCAACAAATTTTCAAACCCGACACCGGGAAAGACAGCCTGCAAGTGACGAATCTTGACGCGCATATAATCCCTCTCCTCATTAGAGACGCGCTCAAACCTGAAGAGGAAGTCGACGAGGAAGATGAAGTCCTCGATATGGGCGGTAGCACTGCCGGATTCGCCGGCGGCGGCTGCGCCCGTGTCCGGGACGGGGCCGGAGGACAACGAGGCAGGCGGCAGGGGCAGCAGGGCGAGGACGTCGGCAATGGTGGTTGTGATCTCGAAGAGCTTCTGGAGGATGCCGCTGCCGTGAGTGGCTATGCTGGTGACGTCGTGCAGGCAGCAGACGAGCCTGCGCAGCTCGGACGACAGCTTGGCGGCCGGGTAGTGCAGTGAGAGCAGGTCCTCCGAGCGGTTATGGCGGTGATAGGCCGAGGCCGAGGCTGATGTTGTTGATGAGGAGGTGAGGGAGGAAGATGCGGAGGAGGACGACGCATTGCCGTCATTGTTATCGCTGCCGCCGTCGTCGTTCGTGCAGGATAGAGGGGTACGGAGCAGGCCGTTGGACAGGGCGAGCTGCCAGACGAGGGTACGCAGCCACAGACGGGTGACGAAGAGGTCGGCCAGCTGCAGCTCGCTGAGGCCGGTGGACTGCGTGGAGGCGGCGCGCATGGCGTCGTCGTGCAGGGCGGTGTCGGCCTCGTGCCTGTCCAGCTCGGACTGCTTGGCCTCGACCCAGGCGGCCGTCATGGGCCCCGGCACGAGGCTGGCCGGGTCGCTCTGGGCGTTCCAGTGGGCGAGGAAGCCGGCGTCCATGATGGCGAAGAGGCGGATGAGGCAGCGGAAGCCGACGTCGACGTGGGGCGGGATGGAGGCGTCCGGGCATGGCAGTCCGGTGCTGAGCGGCTGCAGCATGGCCGGGCAGCCGGACATGACGTTGACGAAGCGCTCGTGTATGAAGCACTCCCAGTACAGGCGCTGGAGGCGGGCCACGTGAGCGCTGCCGGCGGCCGACGACGACGCGGACGAGTAGCGGTACACTTTGAGAGTCTGCACCATGGTGATGGCCTCGCGCAGGATGGCGAAGCTGCGCTTGAAAAGCCGAAAGGCCATGAGGCTGATCTCGAGGAATATGCACGTCATGATGCGCTTCACCGTCACCGGAAGCTCGCCCAGGGTCGGGGTCACGTTGACGGCGGCATCGGAGCAGGGATGTTTGACGTTGCCGTCGTCGTCGTCGTCGTCGTCGTACTCCACATTGTAGCTGCAGGTGGAGGAAGAGGAGGAGGAGGAGGAGGAGAAGGATGAGGGAGAGTCATCAACGTCGGCCATGCGGTGGGCAGCCAGGCATCGACGCACGAGGTCCGTCAGCTGGGACGACATGGCACCGGACCTCGACGTCCTCGTCAGGTTGATGGTCACGGCGGCAAAGGCGTACACCAGCGCCTTGTTCTCGTGAGAGGCGTCCATGGCCAGGACGGCGTCGCGCATCTCGTCGCCGGTGATGATGGGGTTGACCGGGTACACGTGCTTTTCGTAGTCCGGGATCAGGGGGAGGAAGAAGTCGGGCGTGTATCGTTGCTGGTGGCGGCGACGGTGACTGAGGCTATGGCCGTCGCTTCTTTTCCTGCCTACCCGTGAGATGGACTGCTGCTGCTGCGGGTGGTGGTGATGGTGGTGGTGGTGATGATGATGGTAGCAGAGTTGGCTACTGTTGATGTTGGCGTCGGTGTTGGCGTTGCTGCTGCTGCTGCTGCTGCTGCTGCAGGGCGATTCAGGGGTAACGTATCTCTGTGAGGGGGGTGAAGGAAGAGGAGGAAGTCGAAGTTGCTGCTTGTTCTGACGGGGAGTGGTTGCTGCTGCTGCTGCTGCTGTCGTCGTTCTTGCTGTTGGAGCGGTGGTGGTGGTGGTGTCCTTCTTGTCGCGGAGCTGGTCGACGAGTCTGTTGCGAACCCCAGGCTTGCGCTTCCCACGCGGAGCGGTGAAGTGGCAGGGGAGCTCGAAGTGAGCGCACTGAGAGCAGGGATGGGCTCCGTCGCACTTGACCTTGCGGATGCGGCAGCCGTTGCAGGCGGTGGTGATGCGTGAGGTCATCGTCGTATTGGATTCAATCATGTCGGAGGGTCGTCGTCTGGTATATACCATCGGAGCTGTTGCGAGTCGTGTCGGTGGATATGATGGGATGTATGACTGATACGGGGCGTTTGGAGTCTGGACTGCTAGAGTGAGAGATGGGAGATTCAGAGAGTAGAAGAGAAGAAGAAACGAGAGATGGCATGTGTGAGTTGGCAGACTGGAGAGAGAGAGAGAGAGAGAGAGAGGCAGGTAGGTAGGTAGGTATCAGGTGGTTATGCCAAAGAAGATAGTGAAAGAGATTAACAGAAAAAAGAGAGATATAAAGATATAAAATATATACACACGTGAAAAATTAAAAAAAAAAAAATATTTAAAAATTAAAAGAGGTGAAGAGAAAACAAATAGTGACTTGTTGATTCTAGAGTAAGAGGATAGAGGGGAAAGTCACATGCTAAATAATAGGGAAGATTATAACATTACGGGAAAGTAATATTAATACATGTGATGATATTAATTACTACGATTACTACTATAATCATCAGCATCATATTTTGTAGGTTAAAAAGTACCAGGAATTGGTATTACCATGAACTATTAATGAAACAGTTGAAAAAAAAAAAGACTTTTATTTCAATTATAGATGCATGGATTTTTGGTTTGATGGGGAGAAGAGAAGAGTTGATATATCAATGATGAATACAAAACAAAGGAGCAAAAGCAGAGCAGAGCAAAAAAAAAAAAAAATTAAAGAAAAAATAAAGAAAAGGAAAGAGATAAAATACGATAAAAAAGAGCCAGAGGGCTGGTCTTGCCTCTCCTTAAACAGGCGGGGCCCCCGACATTTCCTCTTTCGGAAATCGGACCGATTTCTTTTCGATCCAAGGATCAACCCGGGGTTTTACGAGGATCCCGCGGGGAAGAGGGAGGGGATGGATGTGCTCTTCGAGGTTCGGTGTATTCTTCTTCTCTCTTCTTGTCCTTCTTCTCTCTTCTCGGCCTCGGCCTTTTTTCTTTTCCTTCTTTCTGTTCTCTCGTCATGCACAGAGCGTAGGGTTTAGGGTTTAGTATTGTGATTGGCACCAGCCTCGACAGCATTTCCCCGGATTCTCCATCGGATGCAGATGGAGAGTGCGGCGTCGACCGCCTGCGGGACATTCAAGGGACGTCTGGACCCCTTGGAACTCGAGCGCGTACCTCAAGAGGCCGACGACTGATGGACAGGCACAGCTGGGGTGCGCGGGGGAGTTGCCGTACGAACAGGTACTAGTAGTCCAGGTACAGGTATCAGGTACAGGTATCAGGTACAGGTGTCAGGTCTGTACAGGCATCTGAATAGGCATCGCTACGCTACTCACGATGCAGCCTTGATGTCGGTCGCGTTGGACGGACGGAGGAGGAAGGAAGAGAGGAAGAGGGAGAAAAGATGCTGTCGAATATAGCCACGCATGTGATGCGTACATGTGCTCCTACATCATGCCTGCCACGGAAGAGAAGAGAGATATGATTGCCCACCGCCATGTCTCTCAGAGGATGACTGGAAGGTAGAGAAGGTAGAGTGCAGATTACAGTGTTGCGTTGACAGTGCGGTGGAAGATGATGCCGGTAGCTCTCGGTATGTCACCGGCGAGTTCGACATCTTCGAAAATGGGCCATCATTACTCCGTAGAGGGTCATGATATGGATGCTACGGGGGCATCGGACTCACGGATCGGGCCGAACCTATCTCGCCTGATCATCAGAGAGAGGTAGACCTGTATGTAGAAGGAGAATCTCTACATGCGCGTGCAGAACCGTACCATGTTGTGTGTATCATGTATATATATATACATATATACATACACACACACACATATATATATATATATGTGTGTGTGTATGTGTGTGTGTGTGTGTGTGTGCATGTATGTGTGTACATGTGTGTACGTGTGTGTGCGTGTGTGTGCGTGTGCTCATGCTATCCCGTCCTCATCATGCATCCACCCCTTCCCCGACAAGGCCACACACCAAGATGGTAGTCGGCTTTCCTGCCAATCCGCTTTCCTCTTCTCCGGGTATGGCTGAATGACAGCCGAGGTCCAGTATCTTCGGCAGTGACATCGTCAGAGAAACGAGACGAATGTCCGAGGGGATTTCGTGGGACCGGGTGCTGACGATGATATATACGCATGACAATATGCTGTGGCTAGCTCATACTATTCGAAAGAGTACATGCATCGAGAAGAAGAAGAAGAAGAAGAGAAGAAGAAGACCACATACTCGTGTATATATAATACCATGAAAGGAAGGAAAGTGAGGTTGAATCGTCCCGCATTCCGTTCAGCTCATCAGCTGATGATAGAACGGGAGACACAGAGATGTATTACGTTGCTTATTTATCATACGGTCCACAAACTTGTAATAATAGCTTGTAGGTTGCAAAGACACACCAAGGGGGGGGGTTTCATACAATTGAACACATCAATCTCCAGTTCTCCTCGTTTCGTCTTGTCTCTTGTCTCTCCAGGCCAGCTTCAACTCTCTCTCCTAGCTCCTGGTATCGGATATGCAGCAGAGACGATATATACGATGCTCTCCCACCGCGACAGTTGAAAGCCTGATCTCCTAATCATTTCCATATTCATCAGGCCATGGGCAGTAGACGGTATTGGCTGAAGTTGCACGTATTACCTTTTTCTTCTTCTTTTCTATTTTGTTTATCTTGTTTATTTTGTTTATTCTTTACTAAGAGGAGGAGGAGTAACCATAATAGTAAACAGTAGTAGAGAGAAGCATCTTGCAACCCACCCACCCCATTCAAGAGGGTGTCAGCATGTCAGGTCCCTCGTAACATGTAATATATAATGCCGATGATATGCAGGCACCGATTTTCTATTCTATTCTCCTTCAACTCTCTTTTCCTCATCATCTTGATGGCAAATTCGTGTAAAGAATAAAAAAACTCTTGTTCCCCCCCTCCCCCCCATCGAGAACGAGAACCCGTAAGAGTCTCCATGACTCGTAATATATTATTATCCCTCTACAGACTGAGCGGGGCGTCGACGACCCTTGCTCCTGTACCCTTTTTCCCCAGGAAATCCTCTCTCCCCTCGAGAAGAAACGAGGCCTTCTTCAGAAGCCACACGACGGAGCATCTGCACCACCACCCCCCCTTTTCTTTTTTTCTTTTCTCTCTCTCTCTTTATTTTTTCTTTTTTCTTTTTTATTCTTCTACTTCTTCCTTCCCCCTTTGGACTTTCTTTGGTCATGCGAACCCAGAGAAAGACTCTGGCTCGGCCCGAATACAGAGTGACTACGGAGTACTCCGTAGACCTGCTCGTATTACTGGATGGCTCTTTTATTCTCTATTTTCTTTTTTAATGTTTAATATTGAATATTGAATATTTTTAATTTCTGTACTCGTATGTATCGACGCACTAGTTACAGATCCGGGGGGGCAGCTTCCTTTTTCTGTCGGACCGACGAGGCCACACGGCGAGAGAGAGAAAGAGAGAGAGACGACAGTCACCCCACTTCCTCCCCCAGGAACTACTTAGGGGCAGTAATAACAATAGTGATAGTGATAATAATAATAAATCAATCAATCAATCAATAAAAGGGGAGGGAAAAAGGGTACATACCCCACAAAAAAAAATGGAGGGGAGGACGAGAGAGAAAGAGAGAAAGAGAGAAAGAGAGAGAGGAGAGAGAGAGAGAGAGAGCGGGGGCGTCAACATGGACGTATGTGTATGTATAGTCAAGGGGAGTGAGTGGTGGTTTTGGAGGGGAAATGTGAAGAGTAACATGACCAGATCTTTCTATTTCTGCTTCTTCTCTTGCTTCTCCTCTTGCTGCTGCTGCTGTTGATGCTGCTTGCTGCTCGAAAGGGGTACAGCCCACGACAGCTTCCGATGTCACACACACACGCACACACGCACACAGCATACGCAAAAACACCCGACACACACACACACTTGCATGATCACATCCTCTCTTTCGCCTGCTGGTTGCCATCCTGCCACACACCCTGTTCCTACCTCTGATCCCCCAGACGGCAGTGCTTCGGCGTCACTCCTCGCAGCCATATATTATTTACTACCGAACGCTTGCCGCGTGCACGCTCCCTCCCCTCCCCCGCACTCTTGTCACCCACGTTCCTGGGTCGAACCCGGGGAAATCTCCAGCTTCCCTGAAAATCCCGTAGCTGCCGACCCTGCCGACGCCGCCGACGCCCCTTCCATAGAACCTGGGCTCGAGCCTGTCGGTAGAAGAGCTCAAGAGGTAGAGAGAGGGGAGAGGAGGCGAGAAGGCAAGGGGGGAGCCGGGGGGGGGGGGGGGGGGGGGGGGGGGGGGGGGGGGGGGGGGGGCGGGGGGGGGGGGGGAGGAGGGTGGGGCCGCCCTCGGACTACGATCACGACGACCACGACCACGACGCACCATCCCGCCTTGTATTCTCGTCTACGCGCCCTGGTCCGATATAAGAAGCCGTGTCTTGTTCGGCATATGAACCGGTTACGATATTGACTGCTCCTATAACTCGTGTTTTTTTTTTTTTTTTTTTTTTTTGGTAGAGCTCGTGGGCATCGCCTCCGTCTCCTCGAGCTGACATCAACCTGACAACATTGGACGCTGAAGCTGAATACTTCCGTCTCGTGTCTGTATGATCCCAACATCGGTCATCAGTCACACATCTTCTAGGCCTGAACACACAAGAAGCATACACAAGGCAGGATTGAAGCTCAAGAGACTTCATCTTCACCATTAGGGGAAGTTGACAGAATAGAGAGAGAGAGAGAGAGAGAGAGAGGGAGGGAGGAGAGAGAAGGAGAGAGGGAGAATATCAAGTCACGACTTCCCAAGCCTTTTGCCCCGACTACTACTACTACTACTACTACTACTACTACTACCACTACTACTACTACTACTACTACTACTACCACTACTACGACAACCATTTTTTTTACACGCATCATGGATTCCGAGAACAAGACTGTCGATATGCATACGACCACCGAGGAGGCCGCGGCCCGGGCCATCGACGTCGAGCACTCCATGGGTCTGAAAGATTCGCTGCGCATCTACCGACGGGCCTGCCTCTGGTCCATCCTCGTGTCGACGTGCATCATCATGGAGGGCTTCGACCAGACCATGCTCAACAACCTGTACGCCTACCCCCCCTTCAAGGCCAAGTACGGCGTGCGGCGCGAGTCGGCCTCGGGCGCGGTCGGCTACGAGCTCACGGCTCAGTGGCAGTCTGGCCTGTCCAACGGCGCCCAGGCCGGCCAGATCCTCGGCCTGTTCCTCAACGGCTTCGTGGCCGACCGCTACGGGTACAGGGTGACGCTGGTGGGCGCGCTCGCGGCCTGCGTCGCCTTCACCTTCATCATCTTCTTCAGCGAGACGCTGCCGGTGCTCCTGGTCGGGGAGGTGCTCGTCGGGGTCCCGTGGGGCTTCTTCCAGACCCTGGCGCCGACCTACGCCGCCGACGTGTGCCCGACCCACCTCCGGGCCCAGCTGACGACGTACGTCAACCTCTGCTGGGTCATCGGCCAGCTCGCGGCGTCGGGCGTGATGCGGGCCATGCTGAGCCGCGACGACGACTGGGGCTACAGGATCCCCTTCGCCCTGCAGTGGGCGTGGCCGGTGCCGCTGGCCGTCGGCATCTGGATGGCGCCCGAGTCGCCGTGGTGGCTGATCCGGAGGGGCCGCCTGGACGAGGCCCGGCGGTCGCTGGCCCGGCTGGCCGACCGGGCGTCCGACCGCGACCTGGACCGGGCCATGTCGGCCATGGTGCACACCGACGAGCTGGAGCGGGGCCAGCTGGCGGGCACCACCTACCTCGACCTCTTCCGGGGCGTCAACCTGCGGCGGACCGAGATCGTCTGCGCCGCCTGGATGGCCCAGCACTGGGTCGGCTGCTCGCTCATGGGCTACTCGACCTACTTCTACCAGAACGCCGGCATGGACGTGGCCGACTCCTTCACCCTGTCGCTGGGCCAGTACGCGCTCGGCGCCGTCGGGACCGTCTCGTCGTGGTTCCTGATGGTCAGGCTGGGCCGCAGGACGCTCTACCTGGCCGGTCAGCTGTCCATGCTGGTCCTCCTGCTGGTCATCGGCTCCTGCGGCGCCTACTCGTACTCGTCGTCGTCGTCGGGCGGCGCGGCCCGCCAGGACGGAGCGGTCCAGTGGGCCGTCGGCTCCCTCCTGCTGCTCTACACCTTCGCCTACGACTGCACCGTCGGTCCGGTCTGCTACTCGCTCGTGTCGGAGCTGACGTCGACGCGGATGCGCACAAAGTCCATCGTCCTGGCCCGCAACTGCTACAACGTCATGGCCATCCTCGCCAACGTCATCACCCCCAACATGCTCAACCCGTCCGCCTGGGACTGGGGCGCCAGATCGGCCTACTTCTTCGCCGGAACCTGCCTCGTCTGCCTCGTCTGGACCTTCTTCCGCCTCCCCGAGCCCAAGGGCCGCACCTACGCCGAGCTCGACATCCTGTTCGAGCGCAAGGTCAGCGCCCGCAAATTCTCCTCCACCCGCATCGCCCGTCCGGTCAGCCGTCGTGACGTGACCGGCAGCCCTGCTGCGGCCGCCGTCGACGGTTCTCGCCGGCATGGTGAGAAGACCGCTCAGGCCGTGGAGGTGGAACATGTCGGCTCGCGTGGGAGCTCCAAGACTCTATCCGAGGTCTGAGAAGACGGTAGATTTAACGCATACACGCATCATATGTATATATATATATATATATATATATATATATGCATACACGCATAATATATATACGCATACACGCATAATATATGTACGCATACACGCACACGCAAAATATATATATACCCATACAAGCATACACACACACACACACAATCTAGCATCTCTTTTGAATCGACCTGTATGTCCTAGTTGATCATAATTCCTAATTTGTATTCTTGACCTTGACATTATAACAACGACATCTCTTCATCTCGATACAGCAATATTTGTTAAAGTGAATCGGTTTGATTTGGTCGATTCCCCCGCACCCGGAAAAAAAAAGCAGACATAATATTAATAATATTTATTACTGGTAATCTTCCCTCTCGGGACAGAGCTCCACCCCAGCCTAACTGGGACGTATCAAGCTTGTGTAAGTCGCTTTTGAGGTTTTTTTTTTCTCTTTTTTTTCTCCCCGTCATGTAGCTCATGAGATCATATGTTTTTTTTTTTTTTTTAGGTTGGGCGTGTAAGTCGAAAAGTGCCCGACGTCTTTTTCCAAGAGGTGACTTGTGACTTGTATGCTCCCAGGATAATACTACGTAATAGCCTACCGAATCCGAGGGGGAAAAGAGGAACAGAGTCTACCGAGTCTTCCAAGAAGAAGAAGAAATAGAAGCTACAAATTTGCCGAGGAAGAAGGAAAAGCATGTTGCAAGAGAGAAAAAAACCCATATTCGATTGCTAGCAGCTAAATACATCAACAGTACAGCAGACAGAATCCAAGCCTGTTCCTATTGTAGTATTTTTCTCTACCCGTTCGAAGATATGAGAGTCTCCTCGCTGAGATACAAAGAAAAAAGAAGACCACGCCGAGGGCCGGATCCTATCCGTCCTTTCGTCGGTCACGTCATGGTCGAGGTGTCGCTGTCTCTCGTTCCATCACGGGCCTCGAGAGCTCTTGGGCAGACGGACACGGTCTGGATAGGATGGGGCGGGGTGGTGGTGTTTGGCAAGGAATGTTTAGTGCTGTCGTGATGTCAGTTTACCATGTTCATATATCCTCATACGCTTGGCTGCTGGTGAAGAAGAAAAGAGAGGTTTTTTTTTGGGGGGGGGGGGGATCTGGTTGAAACTCACGCCGCAAGAGTCGCACTTGCAGGCATCGCAAGAGCCGGCGCAGTTGCAGGTGGCGCAGGTGCTATGAGAACCAGGAGTCAGTATCGTACAGATGCCCCTTGGAACAGTCACATGGTGAGAGAGATCAAATACCAGGGAGACATGATGATGATTTGTTTGGGGGAGGGGGTGTTGTTGGTCTTGGGTGGTTTCTGATGAGTCTTTGTCGGGCTGAGAAGATGTGTGCTGGAGAAGAAGAGGAAGGGAAGGGAGAGGAGAATGAAGAGGAGGGAGGGAGAAGATGGCTACTTATAGGCGTTTTTAGCTGGGGGTTTAAACAGAGCAAGACCTCACGAGACTTTTCTCTCTCTCTCTCTCTCTCTCTCTCTCTCCTATCCTTCTCTCTATCTCTCTGTTGTCCGTCCGTCCCTCTGTACGATACCGTTGACATACACCTTACAAGTGGGACCTCTGGGGGGGAGAGAGAGAGAGAGAGAGAATAGTAAACAAGTAAATAAATAATAATAAAGATACCATCCTCATGCGTGGTACTGCATCCGTATGTACGACAGAAGTATATGTACGAGTACGAGTACATGTGCAGATCGCATGAGCGGATCAGCATAGTCCAAGCCGCAGGGATCCCCCCCCCCCAAAGGAGGTATCAGCATGGGTATGGTGTCGGGAGCGAGATGGTGATTCGTGAAGAGGAGGACATGTAAATCATTCGATAAATGATTAAATGGAGAGAAGAGAGGGTATAGCTTCGGGGACAGAGGCTGAAACCAGTATAAGTCGTGAAGAAACGGGCCCTTTTTCTACAGAATTGGCCGTGACGATACCAAAAGTATACCTCGCGGTCCACCTCTCCTATATGATATGTATACGTATTATATATACTGTTATATGTATACAGATACATGTTATATATAATGTCAGAACTATCTCCCACACTCGTGACTTGACCAGACTAAACGGATGGAAGGGATAGGACACGTCCCCATGAGGTTCCAAGGTCCGTGATCAGGTGGGGGGGAGGAGACGTGAGACGTGCGGAAAGCTTCACTCTTGGCTCTCGGCTTCTCTGTTCGTTCTCGGAAGGATATGAGGAGGAAGGGTGACTGGCTGTGATGTTACTCCGTCTCTCGTGGAACGGAGAGTAGCATATGATACGCTCAACTTGGACATGCGCAGAAAAGAGTGATACTATAGTCATGCCTCTGTTGGACGTCCCACATACACACACACACACACAAACGACGACGGAAGAAACGTCGCCCCCCTTTTCTCTCTCCACCTCATCGAGAACGGCCCGTCCGAGTTAGCGCCTATACCCTGTCTGATGTCTTTCCCCTTTTTTTTTCTTCTCTTTTTTGCGGTTTTTTGGTGGGAAGACTTCCTATTTCGGGTAATAGAATCCTTCTTCCTACCAGGTTGAGTGCGATGCTCGTACAGACATGTCATCACCACCAGTTTTGCCAAGACGATATCACCCTGCAAGTTTTGTGGTGGAGCATTCAGGGAAGACGATGATGTATATGACATGTATATATATATATATCTGTGTGTGTGTGCCTATAATATATGAGAGAGAGAGGCACACACACATACCCACACACACACACACACATAGAGAGAGAGAGAGAGAGAGAGAGATGGAGAGAGGGAAGAGAAGAGTATTCCCGTCGACGGTAATAGGGTGTGATAACGTGTAGGCCACATACATACACATACACATACACGCACGCACACACGCACGCACGCACACTTCATGCTGATCCCATCACTGATCTTCACTAGGTGCTGGGACCAAGGTCGATGACCACTTGGCTGGATGGCACTGGGTGGGAATGGTCAGAGAGCATGGCCCAGTTGGCAGAGCCCCCCCCATCTGCCCAGCAGGTTTCCTTCCAACTCATCTGACACGAATCCACCGTGCGGGGTCAGTCCACATGTGCTCGTACCTGTGATGTCGTCCGGCCCACTCGACGACTTCCTCGCCCCTCCTCCCCCCCCCCCCCCCCCCTCCCCGATGGAGGAAACCATACCGAGCCCTGGTTTTCTCTCGGAGGGAATGCTGTGAAACCTCTGGAGTCGAGACGGGGAGAGAGTATCATGACACGCACACGCGCACGCACATACATACCGGTTTCGTGTAGGCCTGTTGTGTGTGTACACGACATCCGTGTCTGAGCAGACATTCCTCTCCCCACGTCTCTTCCCCGTCACCCGAGGTCGACCCCGAGGTCGACGTTGTTCGACCGTGAACCCCGACCGAAGAGAGTACTCCAGTCCGATCAGCCGCGCCCGATCTCCCAACCCCTTCCAGAGGCAGGGGAGAGGAGCAGGAGTGAATAACAGGAAATAGAATCCGTCTTCCATCAGCTGTCCAGGTGGGGGTCATCTCGGCTAACGCCCGTCATACCTTGTACTCTCCTTCAGGTGGTCATGGGAAGGAGTACCTATATCATGCAACGAGCAATAAAATAAGATAAAAGTAGCGTGATAAAGCAAACACTCACTTTCCTTACGTAAATGGAAGATGATGCACCACAGATTCGTATATCTGGAACATGGCGGATCGCAGTAGAGAGCAAAAAAAAAAAAAAAAGGCCATAGGAGCTTAGCAAGCAGAGAGGGAGGGGAAAGGGGGGGGGAAGGGGAGACCTGAGAAAAGCCTCCGAGGACATGCTCGTTCGATAGAACCCGACCTAATGAAACCCCCACGGTCATAATGAAAGGGGCGGGGAAAGGGAATGGAGGGGCGAGGGGGGGGGGCATGATACAAAGAGGAAAAGAAAAAGAAAAAGAAAAGAAAGAAGAGGAAAAGGCTTGTTAGCCGCTGAGAGCGATGATAAATAAGAAGAACCGACTGGTCAGGAGATGTTCTGCGTCCAGCAAGGGGGAGGGGGAGGGAGGAGGGGAGGAGGGGGGAGGCCAGTGGCGACGTGAGTTGGGCGTGTGCGGATCATGGACATTGAAGGGAAGGAAAGAGAGGGGTAGAGGAAAGGAATCTGCCAATCTTTCTGAGGCATTATAATCACCAGATATGGCATGGTACGTGAGATAGCATGGGCTGTGTCCCCCGGGATGAAGAAGAAAAAAAACCTTGTTCCGAGAGAAAAGTCAGAGAGGGTCGGAGAGATGGACGGAAGAGGAGTGTCGGTCTTTTGGGGAGGTAGGAGATGGCCACTTCTCCTCGTCTTCTTCTTCTTCTCTCTCTTCTCTCTCTCTCCTCTCTCTCCTCTCTCTCTCCTCTCTCTCCTCTCTCTCCTTCCTCTCTCTCCGTTCTCTCCTTCTCCTTTCTCTCCTCCTCCTCCTCTCTCTCCCCCTTCTCTCTCTCCTCCTTTTTTTTCTCTCTCAAACTCCCTCCCTCTCTCTAAAAAAATGTCTTGCTCATGACTCTTCACTGTGTGTTTAGTCGTGAGAGGGAATCTGGAGATGGTGTTTTTTTTTTCTTCACGGATGAGGAGGAGGAGAAGAGGAAAGGGGGGGGGAGAGAGGGAAGCCACTCGACTCTTATATACCCCATCCTCCCTTCCCCCCTCCCCCTTTCCTGGCTCCGTCTTCTTCTCATATCTTGCATCTTCCAGACAATGGTTGGGAACATTTCAGGATTGACCACACCCTTTTGAATAGAAAGGACGGAGAGGGGGGTCGAGACACCATCACGGATGGTTCAGAGGGTCCGTGGCATGGTCGTCGTGGCCCTTTGTTGGCGAATGAAAGTCGCCGTCATGTCGCTCCTGCGCACCTTGATGGCCAGATACGTCCATCAGGGTTCTCGTTCATCAGGTGACCGGGGCATCATCAAACTCGGTCCGTAGGATCGGATCGTAGGGCCGAGGAGAAGAGCGTGCTGTCGAGACGGTGATTCCGGCAGGATATCGTAGATTATCGTCCTCGATGATTTCTCCCTTCCTTCTGTCAGCCATGGTGTCGTCGTCTCCTGAAAACCCGGTCCCGTGTTGCCTACAAAGATTGATATTACGTGCATACGGCCCAGACATACTGCATCTGCGACTGGCATACCCTGTACCCAGCTCCATACCGGCTCGGCCACGATGAGCAACGTGCCGGGAAGAGAGGGAAGGGAGCCGGAAGGAAGCCGGAAGGGAGCTCATTGATGATGCGAATTTGATCAGGCAGTAAGGCGCGTGGGCCTTCCTCTGCTGCCAGCTTTGCAAGAATACGAGAGGGGATCTTTCAGACGTCGTGTATAGATAGATAGATACCGTTCTCCTCTATCCCTCTTCCCCCCCCTCCTACCTCTTCCCTCTTCTCTTCTTCTCTTCTTTCCCTTGATCAGGGATAGACAAGAGCAGCTCGATCACAGGGGAGGGCTTGTCCAACGTATGAGCAGCAGATGCCAGAATAGGAGAGTCGGCACAACGATGCTCCAAAGTGTCCGTCTTCAGGCGCTCCTTCTTCCCCTTGAACCGGATACGATGCTCCTTCCCTCCGTCCTATTTTTGACTTCATATGACTCACGGGCCAGACAGCAGTACGCGACTGCCATGCACACACAAACATCTGTTCATTTTTTATTTTATTTTTTCGATGGAAGAAACGAAAGAAGAGAACAGAGACGAAAATAACGTAAGATAGAAAGCTAGACGTCGTCTACTTCTCATCGTATACCGAAGCCTTGGACCATTTATATCTCGCCCTTATCCTCTTACCATAGATGAAAAACACGTACGGTACCGGTATCAGCAGAGTGGCGAACCCGCCCATGATGGACATGCCCGGTCCGATGCCGATGTTGTGGTACATCGGACCGACGACCAGCGGCAGCGCGGCCGCAAAGACGGACCGCAGAAAGGTGTTTGCAGCCACGGCAGAGGCGGCGTTGGCCTGGAACGTGTCGACCAGGTAGTTGAGGGCGGCCTGGAAGAGGGTGAAGAAGCCGGTGCCGAACAGGACGAAGCCGATGCAGGGGATGATCCAGTGGTACTCGGCATCGGCCGTCCAGCCGGTGACGAACTGGCCGGCGCTGAAGAGGACGGCGCCCACCATCATGGGTGGCAGTCTCCGCTCGGGGACGGGCCTGTTTCCGGCGGCCCGGTAGGCCTTGGTGTAGTGCTTCTGGTTGAGGAAGTTGACGCCGCAGCCGAGGAAGACGCCGATGAGGATGTTGAGGAAGACCAGGGAGGCCACGAACGGGTTCCAGCCCCGGTGCTCGGCAAAGATGATGGGGATGCCGCCCAGCTGCATGTACAGGATGCCGTAGCAGAAGCTCGCGTACAGGGCCACCAGGAAGCAGATGGGCGTCGTCAGCAGCTGCACCGGACGCACCAGGAACTTCTTGGCCATCTCGGCGACGCTGACGTCCCACTCCTCGAACCGGGCATGGAGCGCCCAGTTCCCCGACTCGAAGCGCAGCCGCCGCGCCTTGTACACCAGCAGCACGGGCGGGTAGCTCTCGTCGATGAAGATGACGCCGACGACGAGGACGGCCGCCTGCAGCATCCCCGTCAGGTACTCGGTCCAGCGCCAGCCGAGATCGTCTTGCTGGACGACGGCGGCAGAGACGATGGGGCCTGGTCCAGGTCAGCCACGGGGGGGGGGGGGGGGGGGGAGAAGAAGACGGCAGGTCGACGTGCTCACCTATTACCGGGCCGGTGACGACAGCCAGCGCATATCCCATGAGGGCCACGGCACGCGTAGACGCGGTGAACAGGTCGCCGAGCACACCGCCGGTATTGCTGACAGGTGCCGACGAGAAGTAGCCGGCGAAGAAGCGGGTGATCATGAGGGTCTGGAGGTCCTTGGCCGTGGCGCTCCCGAAGCTGAAGAAGACGGACACCAGCATGGGCAGCATGACGGCCGGTCTCCGGCCGTAGACCTCGCTCAGCGGGGCCCAGAGCAGCGGTCCCACGCCGAAGCCGAGGAGGAACAGGCTGGTGCCCAAGGTGGCGACCTGGCGGCCGACGCCGAACTCGTCGGCCACCTGCTCCGTGCCGGCGGCGTAGGCCGACGATGCCCACGTGGCCGACATGGTGATGAGCCCGTACAGGCCGGTGGTGACCACCTTTTTCCACGTCGCCCAGTTGAGGGGGTGGTACGGGTCGTCGGGACCGTCAAAGTCGACGACGTGATCCGGCGACGTCGGCCACGCCATCAGGGGGTGGGTGAAGCCTGGCCTGGGTCGCGACCGGATGCGCGACAATATGGACTCGGGTCGGGACACGGAACGGTCCACGGCCGTGCCGATTCCTCTTCCTCTCCCTCCTCCTTCCCCTCCTCCTCCTCCCACGACGCTGCCGAGGATACTGCCGGGGAGAGCCGCTCGGGACAGGCTCTTGCTCCGGCTGTGGGAGCGGATCTCGCGCATGGTGGGTCGGTGGCCATCGTTGTTCTCCTCGTCGATCAATCCACCGCCGTCGAGTTCATCCGGATCACGGTCAGTGGTGGCGCCTTCATCGTCATCCGCTGGGCTGGACGGTATCGTTGCCGGTTTCTCCACGTCCGGCTCTATGGATTCCTCCCGTCTTCGTCCCCGTCCCCGAGAGACTGGACCTTCGGCATCGGAGCCGTTCATTCGGTCGTTGTGTGCCTATCTCATGTGCACACATGTACGTGTTGTGTTGTTTTGCGTGCAAGTCTCTTTTTTTTTTTGTTTTTTTTTTATCCTGGATGTCTTGCTCTCTCTCTTTCTTTCTTTCTTTATGTCACCGTTTTGTTTTCTCTCTCTCTCTCTCTCTCTCTCTTTCCCGAAAGAAAAAAAAAAAAAAAAGAAGAAGAACAAAAGGAAGAGAATGGCCCAAAAGACGTATGCACATACACCTCTCCACTTTTCGCTACTCCTCTCTGGAGTTAAGACGGCTTTACCGGATTGGAACTCATCCATCGTCCCGCGTAAGGTCTCCGGTCCGGTCTTCGGAGAGTGGGCTACCCTGACCTGACAACCGGCAAGTAAGACGCCGAGCATTTGTCAAGACCATTCTATCCATACCCCCCCAGCTTCGCTTGATTTTTCGTGGAGAGGTTGAAGCGATATCATCAATTCTGGTGAGAATTTCCGACAAAGCATCATATTATATAACATCCTAATCCGCCGTCATTCTTATCCGACATCGCACCGGTCCATCTCCTATCTCGATTGCAAGTTTCTGCTCTGTCAACGAGCCGAGTTTGCCGGACCGCGGGCGGGATTGACTCTTCTCTTTTCTCTCCTCTTCTCTTCTTCTTTTCCTTTATTTTATTCTTCTCCTTTCTTTCATTCTTTCTTCTATTCTTTCCCTCTCCCCATTTGAATGGGGAGAGGCTCCGCTGTCCGGGGTCAGAGCGGTTCATCCATCGATTTGTGTGTGTGTGTGTGTGTGTTTGTGTGTCTGATCTCGTCTGCGCTCTCGGTCTCTCTCCAGAGTCTGGAGTTGTTCGTTATAAAGATGGAGAGCAGGGATTGGGATGGCCACATGGGACGTCGGATAGATGACGGTATCTCAGATATACGGTGAGTCTGTAATATATATATATACATATATTTACATGTATTACATGTATTGACACATTTATAAATATATGAGCATGTGGCATGTAGCATGTATTCATATTACATGTACGGATCAGACTTGGCCTGCTGATCTGTTACCTCGTCTTCTTTCAGTTTCCGTCGGTTCAAGGGACCACCAGGATGGCAATTGGGGATGATCGGACTCGATTGGCATGCCGTCGTCTAGACTTGCCCCAAGGGGGGGTTGTCGACGGCGAGGGAGTCGACGGTGATGTTGTCGCATTAGGATACATGCATGGCACTCATCATATCTCCCCCAAGATGATCCCGCGGATCCGTACAGTTGACAGCTCTCTTTTCTCTCTCTCTCTCTCTCTCTCTCTCTTTCTCTCTCTTTCTTTCTTCTATTCTCCAACATATATGACGAATACGACCCTGACTCGTCGTGCATATCGTCATAGTAAGGAAAAATGGTCATCATTGGGAGTTGATGAGTTGACCTGTATGTAGAGGGGGTATCGTAACATATATACTGTGCATATTAATTCCCTTTTCTAGACACTTTGGTCGACATGGCTCAACGATTGATATCACTGCTCAACGGATCTCTTTCCCTATCTTTCCATCTTTTCGCTGATTCACATGTCGAGGATAGTCTATCGAGTATGTATGTGTGTATGTGTGTGTGTGTGTGTGTGTGTGTGTGTGTGTGTCATCTGAGAAAAGCATGGGAGCAAAACTGAAGGGTTTGAGCGAGGCAGCTTCCAACACATCTCGGTGGTGTTCACCACATTCAGCTGTGACGGTTGGTCGAAACGTCTGCTCATGACGGTCGGGTGAATAAGGTCGCACATGCATGTTATAAGTATCTACTGATCAGTAGTACAATAGGGAGGAGGAGGAATTGTTAGTTCTCGACATGTCGAAGAAGAGTTGTAGAAAATATTTGAAGATTTTTCTTTTCTTTTCTAAAAAAAGAAAGAAAAAAAATAAGACTATCGAGGGATTCTGTTGATGAAGCTATATCTCTCCTTACGGAGAGAGATGGCTATCCTCTGAACGAGACGGACCAGCCTCATCGAGTACGCATAGAGGCCATAACATGTAAGGAGAGGTAAGGGCGCTCGTACCCTTTCTCCTTCTTCTTCTCCTTCCAGTCTAGCCTCATCCTTCCCGTCCAGAGGGGAAGAGAACAAGAAGGAAAGATATGGCCGTCATAAGAGGTTGGGTCGTGGCACGGTTGGGTGTCAATGATGTGAGAGATTGGATCAACCGCGGACAGCTGTACGGCTATCATCAGCAGCAGCACAAGAGTCGTGAAGAAGGCGGATCACGAATGATAAGATACGTGGATGATAGTATTATATATGTACGAGGATTATAATGCATTCTATTGCACGTCCCATCAATCATCATCGCGATTGGTCGGTCAGAGACGCACATCTATTGATTTATTACATCATGGCTGGCTCTGCTGTCTGAGCCCGTCCCTCTCCTCCCTCTTTCTTCTCTTCGTTAGACCAGAATGTCAGTCAGATGATGTGTGTATTCGTGTCATGAGTATGTGTATGCAGTACTATATGCGTGTTATCGCTACAGTATTATAATACATGTACATTACGTATAGTATATATTATGATAACAGTACAGATACAGATTAATATGCGGTGATATGGATGAAAGACGGAGGAGGATCAAAGATGCGAATACCGGGTAGGTAAGAAATGTCTATAATCATCTTGACTTGGAGGGGGGGAAGGTGAAAACGAGGCGGGTAAAATCGGAAGTTGCTATTGGAGATGCTATTGGACGGTTTTTTTTATTAAAAAAAAAAATAGAAGAAAAAGTGAAGTGCAAAAGAAGTTAAAGAGAGAGAAGGAGAGAGAGAGAGAGAGAAGGAGAGAGAAGGAGCGACGGTCGCGATTGCTAATCCCGCAATCAGGAGATTTCCTTCCTGGACTACGCCGCTTTCCGCCTTTCGCCTCTTTGCATCCTTCACGATGTTGCTTGGCCCGTCACGTTCCGTTCGTATGCCAAGCATAGGCCACCATCATCATCGTCATCATCATCAATCCTCAATATCCTCATCATCAGACAAACGATATCGTCATCGTCCGTTTGCCGTCGATGCTGCCATCAATATTTCTCATCTATCATGCTCGCGGGACCGGCAACCAGATCGATATGATTATGATAGAGGTGGAGGAAGAGGGGTTCCACTGACAACACCGACGTTGGACGCCGCATAATATATCATTTCTATCATTACAGACTGTCACAGAGAGTGAGCATGAGAGAAGGGGAAAAAAAAAAGAAGATGGGGAAAACGGACGTCATTACACAACAGCACCTCGACCCTCTTCTCTCTCTCTCTCTCTCTCTCTCTCACCCACACACACAGAGAGATAGATGTCCTGGCAAGAGATAGACAAGAGACCCGGTACGGGTACTTGTACGGGTACCCTGCATTTGCTGCTCCGTGCACTGCAGACATCATTTGTGCCCAGCGACGACGGATAGAGCCAACCGCAACCTGCAGCAGAAGGAGTCTGGCACTCACCCATAGGGACCAACCAGAGAGACAGAGTCAGCTGCCCGACGAGACGAGACGCACACACACACCAGTGGCGTGACGTTGGAATCTGGACCTGACCCCCGCGATAGCTTGGCAGGTTGCCGCAGTCTCTTTCTTTTTTTCCCTTTTTTTTCTTTTTCTTTTTTTTTTCTTTTTCCCTCTCCTTCTCTCCCAGACAGGCCAGTCCGAGTTCAATCCAGTAATATATGCACGCCTTGCATTCCTGCATTCGTCCATCCGGGCCACCCCCCTTCAGCACACTCAGACGACTCGGACAAGGACACGTGCACGCTCCCATGGTACCGGCAATGATTTGCTCTCCTCGCCGTTGTGTCGCGCGTGGGGCCCCTGCCGCACCCGAGGAGCAAGGTCTGGGTACCGTCGTGTGTCGGTAGCGGGGATAGGAAACGATATGCCCGTCCGTCACTCGATGAGTACCACGCACACCCAAGCATTGCGCCTCTTTTCTATCTATCTCTCTCTCTCTCTCTCTCTCTAACCCCGGTTCACTTCACTGCTGCCGAATATTGCTCGTACTGGTAGTGGCATTGCAGTATATTACCGTCTGCATTGTACGAGTACTGTACACGGACATTCCGAGTATTGCGAGCGTGCACCTCCATTACTCGTTTCGGTCGCATCCTTAGCACTCAACTGCGACGTAGTATCATGCGCCTCTCTCCGCTCTGCCTCTGACTGCTGGCCCTCGGTCTTGGTGCCTGGCTCCTCACCCACCACCCAAGACTGCGGTCCGGTCCCCTAGTCCGCTTGCCGGTCTTTTAATGGTCTCTGACCCGCCTGCATCCATCGTGAATCACCTTGCGACGAATCCAGTACTGCTCAGTGTCGACCGCCGTATTCTCTCTTCCCCATCTTCCCTGACGAGACCCTTTCTGCCTGACGACGTCTGCCACCTGTCCCATGTACTGATATCTCACCATCACAACTCACCTCTCGATTCGCACTGCCTAGATATATCCTCCCACCTCGACCTCCCATCTCCTTACCATTGCCATCTCTCCCTCCTCCCCTCTTACACCGAACAGACAGACACACAAGACAGACACACACACACACACACACCACACACAAAAGACACACACACCACACACACACAAACACGCAGCACATACAGACGCAAGCTGTACATGCGCGGATAGCTAGCCCCTCACCTGCTACCATCTCGCCAAGCATCCGTACCCTGTCCTAGCAGCAAGAACATCATGGCTACCCACGCTGCCCTTGGTCGGCATCCGACATCTACATCAGACCTCTGCGACTCGTCGTGCTCCGGCCCATCCTCCTCCTTCTCATCATCAGCATCTTCTTCCTCAGCCGACAGCGGCTCCTCCCTTCCTTACGAGTCTCGCCCCGTCGACCCGTTAGCACAGTCCGGCAAGAGCCTGAGGAGGGTAGCAAAGCACGTGGAAGAAGAGGACGTACAGGGAGAAGGAGAAGAAGGAGAAGGAGAAGAGGAGGGAGCGGAGGAAGCGGCAATGCCGCAATCACCAGCTCACCTCTCTGGTCTATGCCAGCAGCTGCCTTCTACCTCGGTAGAGACGTACAACTCCGTCTTCTCGGACTCGGCTTCATTTGCCGTCGTCGACGACGAAGAGGCCGGTGCCGACGCCTCCCACGACCACGGCCGCGCCGATACCATACCGGCCCCCACAGAGGACGACATCCCCCCGGTATTACCAGAGTACCGCGCCTCCATCATCGACCCCCACGTCAGGCCGTCCACGCCCGACACCTTCTCCCACCTGTTCCCGTCGCTGGACCGTCTCTCGATCCGGCACGACGACCTGACCCCGGACGGCAACATGAACCTCCGCGTCGACGTCCTCGTACCCCGCAGCGGCCGCCACCCCGTGACCGTCCAGCTGTTCCACCTCCGCATGCAGGACCTGGCCCGCCGCGAATTCTCGCTGCGCCGGTACTGCCGCGACTCGGGCCGCGAGGTGTGCAGCTCGAAACGGGCCTACGCCCAGCCCCGTCCGGTCTCGCGCCCGGCCATCCAGCGGTCCGTCTCGTCGGCCATGAACACGCTCCGGTCACCCTTCCAGCGGTCGAGCAGCAGCAGCAGCAGCCGGAGCAGCGCGTCCTCGTCGAAGCGGCCGTCGACGGGGTCCAGCAGCATCGCCTCCACCTCGTGGGACGCGGCCTCGATGCGGTCGATGCGGATACGGACCGACTCCTGGTCCGGCGACAGGCCGCCGCCCCCGGCCTCGAGCCTGGTGCCGACAGACTCCATCAAGCTCGAGTTCAGCAACTACGCCCGCATCGACATGACCCGGAACCGAGGCCGCCACTCGTCCATACGCTACGACTTTGACTGGTGGGACCACAGCTACTCGTGGAAGCGCGTCTACGATCCCAACCTCGGCACCACCTCGTTCCACCTCGGCCGCGACGGACGCGGTCAGACCCCCGTGGCCCACATCACACCCGAGGTGAGGAGTCCGAATCAGGTCGAGGAGGACGAGTGGGCTGGCGGTTGGATTCCGCCATGTCACATGTGGATCAGTGATGAGCGTCTGTTAGAGGAGAATGATGTAGCTGAGTGAGTTTTTTTTCTTTTTTTCTTTTTTTCTTATATCCTTTGCATCTTTCTCTTTCCCTCTTCTTCCTCTCTCTCTCTCTCTCTCTCCCCCTCCCCCTCTCCCTCTCTTCCCCTTCTTAACCTCTTCTCTTCCTAAAACATCTGGCTGACCTCGAGACCCCAAAAGCATCATCATCGCCACCGGTCTCATCGCCCTCGTTGACGACTGCATCAAGGACAGATGGCACGTGAAGAAGCCCAGCCGATGGGCCAACCGTGCCATGACCATGGACACGCACGCCAACATGACGTCGCGATCACTCATGAAGGGAATCTTTCACCGTAGACACTCGCAGAATTACCGGGGTAGTCCTATCAAGACTGCTCATACTGTGGCTGCTTACTAATGGATTGATTTCCCCCTTTCTGTTCTCTCTCTCTCTCCCCCTCTCTCTCCTTCTTCTTCCTCAGACGAATCTCCTCTCCCTCCCTCTTCCTTCCTTATTACCCTTCCTACCTTGCCCAATCCAAGATGCAAAAGACGAACTTTACTCACGGTGGCATATAACCACAGTGAAGCAATGAGTCCTGGATGTTTTCTTTCACTCTCTTCGAAACGGAACGGAAGACGGTCCACTGTATATCTTGCATGATTCTACCTGACACCGGGACTTCCCCCCCTCCCCTTTTTTTTTTCGTCCTTTTCCTCTTCTTCAATTTCTACCATCATCTTCTCTCATCGAGACTTATTATTTCCTGGTTTCTGATCAAACCACGACGACTTGTTGGGCCCATTCTACTATTTTCATTTCTATTTCCATCTCTCATCACACTTTCCATCTTCTCCTATTTCATTTCACCTTGTCTCGTTCATTATACCTTCTTTTCTCGTTGACGACTTCTTTTTTTTTTCTCGGTCTTCTTTAACCATGACTACTTCTAGTCAATTTTTTTCTTTACTATTTTTAATTACTTAGTAGTATTACTATTACTTGGTCGTCGCTACTTGACTAGCCCTTTTTTTTCCTCTCTCTCTTTTGTTTTTGGACATGTCCTAGCGGTCTTTCATGCATCTCTTTTCGAATGAAACTTTTTTTTTTCTTCTCTTGTTTTCTTGGTCTTCACTGTTTGCCTTAGGCTGCCAGATGCGGCCGGAAGAAGGGATGACCCGGTACCGGGGTTGTTGCCTTAGGATGACTTGGCAAACATATATATGTTACTATCACGAAGAGAGTCATCCTAGAAAAATACAACTATCGATAATGACAACCGTAAAGGCTCTCCTTAAAGAAGGAGCTAATGCACCTGTAATATCGTACGGTGGAGATAAAAGGAAGAAAGACGATACCAACATTCACCTTTTCTTGACTAATATATTTACCCTTACCCCCCCCCCCCCCCGCTTTTTAGTCAACTTTAATTAGTATTATTTTCTACAGAAGGAAAATGAGAGAGAAAAAGATAAAGAACTAATTAGAGCATGACGTTGTCTTATATAGACATGAACTAATAGTACATGAACTAGTATTTATCGAGAAAAAAAAAGACTCGTCTTATAAAGTTCCATCTGACATCGATTGGTGTTGACTGACACGCTCTTCTTATTGACCATCAATTCGTATTAAACGGTTGACTCTCATCTTTCCTTCAATTTGGTATTATTGAGTAGTAGTAGTAGACTCATCATTTTTTTAAAAAGAAATTTACATCAATCAGTATCAAAACACTTGACTACTCATTTTTTCCTAATTTTTATTTTGCGTGGATCGATATCAATGACTCCTCTTATTGATTCATCTTCAACATAATACATCTCTGATCAATCATAATACATGCTAATGATACTAATACTCAACTTCCCCCACGGTACCCAACCAGCCGCCAAATTCGAGCTTCATCAGCAGCCGGTTGATACCTCCGACCCTGGCAGGTTCGTACCCGGCATACTCACCGCGCATATCGCCGGCCCAGTGACGCGAGTCGGCCGAGTCGGCCGTGGCGTCCACTACGCCATCGCCCTCCCATGCGGCGGCAAAGGTCACGTCCGTCTCCAGATGTCTCAGGGCGGACACGACGTCGGCTATGCCCCTCTTCACCTTGGCCTCGACGCCGCGCATCAAGGCCGTGACCTCTGCCTCCTCGGCGTGCAGGTCCACGAAGGCGTCCACCACGCCAGCGTCGGCCTCGAGGTCCAGGGCCGTGAAGATGGCGTGGAGGCGGTGCGCGTGGGCGACGAGGTGGTCTATGTGCACCAGGAGCGCGTGCAGCGCCGTCGTGTAGCACGGCTGCGTGAGCAGGAGGCGGTATACCAGCGTCTGGAGGTACAGGGCGTGAGCTGTGGATATCGTCTGCGGGTCGTGGTAGGGTGGTCCCTCCGTCTCGGCATCGGAGTCGGAGTTGAGCCATAAATCTTCTTCTTTCTCTTCTTCTTCTTCTCTTCCTTCTTCTTCGACATCTCTCCCCTCTTCTTTCTTGGCAGAGGCGGAGGAGGAAGAGGAGGGACCCGTGAGCCATGCGTGGAATCCTCCCCAGAGACCAGCCACGACTTCAGTCTGGAAGTAGCCTTCCGTCTCGCCGAGGAAGAAGATGGCAGCGCTGGCCGTCGTCCACGAGCTGCGCATCGTCGTCATGCGGGCGGACCAGCGCTGGCGGAGCTCGACGGCGTCTTCGCGCGCTCCTCGGGGCGCCGGGTGGTGTCGGCGCAGGGACGTGATCTTCCAAAGGTCCGTCAGACGTATGTGCGCGCGTCTGATGGAGAGGAGGTAGGCATTTACGCACGAGTAGAGCTCTAGATCGGCAGGGGAGAGGATCATGTCTAGCGGCGACGGGAGATGGATGGACAGCTGGGAGGGTACCGAGAACAGGAGGCTGCCGAAGGGGGACGAGGCCAGGGAGGCGTGGAGGGATTCCGGGGTGACGAGGCCGGTTGTGGACGGTGCTGCTGCCGTTTCCGGCGATGACGGCGGCTTGACTAGATGTAGACGGAATAGATCCCGGGCCAGCTCGAGCTGCTCGTCCTCGTCGGCGTGCTGGCCCTGCAGCGCACCCAGGACAGACCAGGTGCGCGACAGCACGGCGGCCACCTCACCCTCCTTGACGGTCACGTTCCCGAGGCCGCCGTCGCGCGTCAGGCGGTCGGCCCTCTTCCAGCGGTTGCGGTTCCTCTCGTCGGCCTCGTGCGTGAGCGCCATGGCGAACTCGCCGCGTCCGAGGAGGAAGAAGTCCCGGAGGAGCTGGAGCGTCTCTGTCACCCTGGACACGGGCAGCACGCTCTGCAGCATGTTCTCCGACAGGGAGAGGCGGACCGAGGCGATGGCGCGCGAGAAGGCGGCCGAGTCGAGCGGGAACCTGAGCCCGGACAGCTGTGACAGGTTCGACGACAGGTGGTGCAGCCCGCGGCCGCCAGAGTCCATCGTGCTGCGCACCTTGACGTGGTTGAGCGACTTGCCGATGAAGAGCATGGACGAGGCAGAGCGGGCCGTGACAAAGGACGGCAGCAGCGAAGACGCGCAGACGAATTCTTCCATCTTGCCCTCCCCCCCCTCGCCATCGTCATCGTCATCGTCGCCATGCTGCCCTCGCCGCCGCCGCTGCACGAAGAAGTCGTCGGCGCCGAAGCTCGGCAGACGCCCGTAGAGAATCCAGGCAGACACCTGCCTGAGCCAGGCCGTCTCCGCCACCTCGACGAGGCTCATGGCCGTCCTCTCGATGTCGTCATACCCGCTCTGCAGTTCGCTGCGCAGCCTGTCCATGACGGCGGCGGCGTGGCACGCGGGCCCGGGCCTCCCGTCGGCGCCGACGCTCGCGGCCGACATGAACTGCACCAGCTCCCACAGCCAGTCCATCGGCCTCGTCCACCTGCGGAACTCGCCCACCACGGCCGTCAGTGGCACGATGTTGTACGCGCCCACCAGGTCCGCGTCGCCTCGCAGTATGCTCTCCTCCACGTCCAGCACCCGTCGCTGGAAGGCAGAGAGGTGTATCGAGTCGATGGCGGCCGCCACGGCCCGGCAGATGGCCGACGGGTGCGAGTCGGCTATCTGCGCCGTCGATGTCATCAGCCGCACGTGCACGGCGCTCAGGTGCGATACCGTGCCTAGGAGCTGCCGCTCCGACGGGGTGATGCCCGCTGCTGCGCCGCTGTTCGCCCTGACCCCCGCGTCGGCGCCGCCTCCGTCACCCCCCGCTGCTGCTATGTCGTCGCGGAGGAGGGGGGACGGGTGGCCCGACAGGGAGAGGAGGATCTCGTGGAGCATGGTCGCTGTAGTGCAGGGCTGTGTTTTCTTCTTGGAAAAAGAGGATTTCTGTCAGTCAACACCCCCACATACAAAACTAACAGAAAGAGAGTCGAGATATTACCCCTCACTCCTTTCTCCACTCGTCTTGTCCCGTATGTAGTTTCGAATGTCGCGGAAAATGAGAATCATGGATCCAAGAGGCTCTAGTCGACACATCGGCCGCGGTCCAGAAACACACTCAGTTCCGTACGGCAACCGGCCAGCCAGTTGGGGAACAGATTGTATATGTTGCCTTCTCCTCTGAGCTTATGTGGGTCTTCGGTGTAGCTTCTTTCCTTTCTCGTGACCCGCCCGCCATCATCCGCCTTTCTTTCTTATGAGTCTGTTGAGTATTGGCGGTAATATGGGSGGGGGGGGGGGGAAGTAGATGGAGGTTGACGCGGGGGTTTGACGCGACGCGATTGCAATGACGCGGGGCAGGACAAAGTATATTTTCAAGTCTGGTTACCCTGTAGATGAAATGACGTCGTTTTTTTTCTTAGGGAGGGGGGGAACGGAGGGGAGGGGAGGGGCGGCATATGACGGGATGACATTTATCAGGAAACAAATCATCGTGTTTTACGAATAGAAGCATTACTATTGTTATTGATTACCATGCTATCTGAGGCCTTGTAACTAGACTCGCCAATACTAGAACTAGAAGCTGTCCTGCAGCTGTCTTGTAGATTCATCATCTGTCTGAGCTCTTGTACGGAAACATCAAGATCTAACAGAATGCGTACATCTGTTCTCGCATTGCGCTACTCATACTCGTAGAGAAAAAAAAGAAAAAGAAAAAAGGAAAAAAAAAAAAAAACCCTAACTCTTTGTAAGTAGAAACACAATCCAAACGAAGCACACACAAAGGTGTATGCGAGCTCAAACCTAGTACGGCGTTTTGCCCTTTCTTGTCGAGCTGCGCCCGTCACTGTAGAGACTGTCATTGTCGCCGTGTACTGTTGCTGCTGCTGCTCCTGGCGTCGATGCGTTCGACGGCCCAGCTCGGCCATCGGAAGGGCTATCGGTACTTCCGCGGACGATGACCTGTCCTCCTCCCTTTACGTTTCCGACAACCATGCCCTTGGCGACGCTCTTGATGATGGCGCGACGAGACACGCCCGTGACGTCTATGTAGACGAGGCCGACGTTCTTGACTCCACCGCCGAGGTGGTCGGCCACGGTGCCGGCCTCGGGACCCCAGCGGTGCCCGACCATGGTGGTTACGCTGGATGACGTGCCGACTAGTATGTTGCGGCCGGCCTGCTCGGCGCCGTCGATGACCGTGTTGAAGGCCATGAGGCTCTTGTTCAGGACGCCGGGCTTGTACGAGTCGATGGGGTTGCCGTCCTTGTCGTAGCCGCGAGTGCCGCCATCCTTGCGCCGGGTTATGTTGGCGCCAAAGTTCTGGGCGTATTTGGCCACGGCGCCGACCGTGGCCGCGGACAGGCCGGCGGCCTTGGTGGAGAAGGTGTTTATGCGTCGGATGTGGTCGTGAGTCGTGGGGTTGAACGTCACCGGCTCCAGCCGCTTGGTCGACTTGGTGAAGCTGTCGGCCCCCGCCTGGAGTCCCCGCGTCACCATGTCCGAGGTGGTGATGAGGAGCTGCGACGCCCTGGTGGCACCAGAGACCAGCGTCGACTTCTTGTACGCCGGGTGCATGTGCCTCCCCTCGTAGGATTCGTCCGCAGGGGTGATGGCAATGTTGTGGCTGCCATCCTCGGGTAGGGTGACCACGACGGGATCTGTCGGATGCATATCAGTTCACCAGTCCTTGCCGGGTACGTAGGGGGGACAGCAACGGCAACAGCACACAGGAGAACAGAGAGAGGGGGTGGGAGAGAGAGAGAGAGAGAGAGAGTTCTCACCCTTGGTTCCATGCTTAACCTTGTTGTCCTCGACCACGTTGAAGCCCTCCCCCAGCTCGCCGATGACGCTGCCATCCTCTTCGTTGACCAGGACGATCTGACCCCCGGGCCCACGCGAGCTGCTCGTGCCTCCAACGTATGCCTCCCCGGGGCCATAGTCCCCGGGGTTGTATGGCGGGAGCTCCTCACCCGCAGCCTCACGGGCCTTGGCCACGGCGACCTCGGACTTGGACTGCTTCCTGCTGGGTGTGGCTGCGACGCCTGCCTCGCGGGCCTTTGCGCCGTTGTCGCGGGGAGCCTGGGCGCGCTCGAGGAAGGCGGTGCACTGGGCGAGGATGGTCTCGAACGTGTCGACGTCCTCCTGGACGCCCGGGCGGCTGGTGGCCGAGGGAAACTGGATGCGGGTGAAGGCGCCGCTGTCCGGGCCCATGTCCCACCGCGGAATCAGGTAGCTCGTGGGCGGCTGGTGGTAGATCTGGGTGGTGGCGGGCATGGGGAGGTCGAGCTCGGGAGGGAGGTGGAGGTGGAGGTAGAAGTCTTCCTCCGTGTTGATGCTGGACGGGTCGGCGAATCCCGAAGACGTGGGCACCATGAGGAGAGAGAGGGTCTGGGGGCCCGAGGGTGTCAGGGACTCTTCTCTGCCGTTGATGATTTGGTAGGCATTTATGCCCTCGATGGCATAGAGGAGTTTGGGGTCCTAGAGATTCACACGTCAGCCTTCTTCTCCTTCCTTTCCACCGTTGGGCGTGCTTGTCCTTTCTGGATATGGAACGGAAAAAGAAAGAAAAAGTCTGGTCTTACACTGTGTCCCGGAGCCATTTTGGGCGGCTGGTCGTTCGTGATAGGTAGACGGTCTGACCGCAGATTGGGGAAGGGACGAGGTTATACGCGATAGTAGAAGAGGGGGGGGGGGCAGTATATATGAGGAGGAGGTGAGGGAGAGAAAGAGGATATTTGACAGGAGGACCAAACCCGAGGTCTTGAACAAGCATAGACGAAGGATAGAGAGAGATCAACGATGAGGGATGGCAGGGAGAATAGAATTAAGAAGAAGCATGATAAAACGAATCGTGCAGGAGGACGTGGACAATGCTCAATCCATAATTAGCCGCCAGAAGCGGGCGAGCTCTGGCGCTTAGAACTTGCACAGCCACTTACAGTCATTGATTTGTGTTGGGAGGAGACAAGAACGAGAGAGCTGTGTGATGGAGCTGTGTGATGGAGCTGTGTGGGCTTTGCTCCTACAGCGTATAGAGCCACTGGAAAGCCACTGGAAAGCCGCTGGAAAGCCACTGGCGGACCACTACAGAGTAGATGAATGCACTACAGATCCGTACCCTGTACGCGTGTTGGAGAGCTGGAGAGTTGGGGAGGATGGTTGACGCCACAATTTCGGTTGCGTCGAAGATGATCAACTGCGCCACATTCTTGTCGAATCATGGATGACGATGATGTCACAGTGAAAGTGTCGTCTGATGTCGGTATGTCGACGATAGACCCTCTCATCTTCAGTTTTATTCTCTTCACCTTGTTATTCCTCTCCAGTATCTCCATCTTCCGTTGTACGTTCCGCTGCCGTCCGTACTGCTCTCCTTCTCCCTGCTACACCCAGCCGAGATCAACCCCGCCGCTTCCTGGAATCGGAAGCCGTATACGGCAACATCATCCCGGACGAAGCTGGGCAGAGAGAGAGAGAGGAAGAGAGAGATGAAGGGGGGGATGTCAACTTGTCTACTGGTAGCAAAACAGAGAAGAGAAGAATCGGGAGTTGTTGGGAAATCCCGATCATCTCAGTCTGGCTTCTTCCTCTTCCCAGCTTATTTATATGCGAAGGGTTGCAAAAGAAATGAAAAAATAAAAACCTTCAGGAACAATAAAACCGGTGCGTCATGGATAACCTCCTAAAACCGAACCCACATATGTTCCCCGCCCTGCTGCCAAGTCTCCATGTGTTGGCTCTCAGCTCTCAAGCTGTTAGCTATCACATCCTTCCCCCCAATTGCTACGCGGCAGCATACGAGCAACGTAGGAGCAGGTTCTCATGCATACGACATACATGACCCGTCTTGAGGAGGAAATCCTCTCTGGTCTACGGATTCTGCGGCACGGGACGCCCTTGAGTGGATAACGACGGCCGAGATGTTGTGAGACCCGTGGGGGTCATGCTTGAATTTGTTTTTGTTTTTTTTAAAGGTCGTATACCATTGGAAAGAAGGTGTGGGTTGGGATGGTCAGCCGAAAAAAAAAGTTACTAATATATATAATAATAATAACAGGACGAGAGTCACGAGAGTTTCCGAGAGAAGAGAGAGGAGGAACGGAGAAGACGCAGTACCGACAAGTTACCCGGCTTCTATGTGAAACCGGGTGTGACGCAGCCATGACCTGCATCGTAAACGATGTATCTCTACCACCCAACCTCACCGGGAATATACCTCGACCCTGGTAAGGAGATGGTGTACGCGCAAGTTGGCAAGTTGGGCCTGTGATCATCCGGGGTAGCGTCGCGATTCAAGCCCGACCCGGAGCTCGACAGCTGTAGCTTCCACACCTGCATACCTGTACTTGCAGTGAGCAACAGCTAGTAGATGTAGCAGTTGGAAGCTAGTAGGAGCAACAGTTGATGAGGTGATGGTTGATGGTTGATGGTAGTCGAGTATGTATGACCTTTTGAGTCTTGCCTCGTACCGTCGACGCATGCATGTATTACACATAGTATCATCATATATCGAAGTCCTCATGTGCCTAAGACGTGCACATGCCTCTGCACATTGTTCGAGAAGAGGTACGGAAAGTATACTAAAAGTACACTTCGAGCACTATCACTCTGGAAGAGAATACACTTCTGGGCCAGAGCATGTGCGTGTTCCCCCTTGCGGTCATCATCGACGGCCTTTCATCGTTGACTATATAGAGACTGCCTCCACTTCCATCCCCATTTTCTCCGTCCATCTCCCTCCCCATCCTTGTCTTCGTTTACGTCTTCGTCTTGCTCTTGTCTCTCTCCATACTCCTTCTCATCTTCCCATCTGCAGACGATCCCCCAGCTTACCGTTCCCATAATGCCTGCCGTCAAGCAATTCAACGGTCGAAACGGCCAGCAAGCCGCCTCCTCCACCATCATCGACATCCGAGGTGACCCCGTCGAGATCGACCTCAAGAATGAGATCCTCGCCATGATCAACCCGGAGAACGGCCCCCGCAAGCTTCCCACTCTCCTTCTATACGACATGCGGGGCCTGCAGCTCTTTGAAGATGTATGGAAACTTCAACAGCCACCGGTCCCCCTCCCCCCCCGGCGGTCTTCCTCAGCTCCCGTGATATCACCAAGTCTGACACCCCAGTCCTCAAGATCACCTACCTAGACGAATATTACCTCACGGGCCACGAGATCAGCATCCTCAGAGCCCATGCAAGGGACATTGCATCCAAGGTCCCCTCCGGTGCCATCCTCGTAGAACTGGGCAGCGGGTGAGTCTCGTCCTTCATCCTGCTTGGGGTCATCCATCCACCTTCCAGTGCTCCGACTTACCGGATCAATATATATATGTATATGTATATATATATATATATATATATATGCATGTATAAAGAAACTTGCGCAAGGTCAATCTACTCCTCCAGGCTTTCGAGGAAGCAGAGAAGCAGATAGACTACTATGCCCTCGACCTGTCGCGCGATGAGCTGCAGCGCACGCTCGCCGAGCTCCCCGACTTCAATTACGTCACTTGCCGTGGTCTATGGGGCACGTACGATGATGGGCGTGAGTGGCTCAAGACGATTGATGACCGCCCCAAGTCCATTCTCCATCTTGGATCGAGCATCGGTATGTTTCTGCAACCCGTATAGCGAGGATACACCTAATCCCTGTTGTGAACTGGTGGTACGGGGTCTAACCTGTGAGGGCAATGTGCTCAGGAAACTTTCTCCGCGACGAGGCGGCCAAGTTCCTCTCCGAGTTTGCCGACGTCATGCAACCACAAGACACATTGTTCATAGGAATCGACTCGTGCATTCAGCCTGACAAGGTCTAGTGAGTATTACTATCCGTTCATCCCTCGGGCATACCAATACCCCCCCCCGGTGTGCTGTGACCCAAGCTAACCGCCGTGCGAGCAGCCACGCATACAACGGTATGGACCACCTTGATACCCTGACAAGTGAGAGAGACTAACATGAAGCGCAGACGCAGAGGGACTGACGCACAGGTACGATTCGAAACTCCCTTCTCTACCCCTCCAACCCGCTTGACACGGACTGACCCCCCCCCCCCCCCCCACACACACAGATTCATCCTCAACGGCCTCTCCCACGCCAACACCATCTTCGGCCAGGAAATCTTCCACCTCCCCGACTGGACCGTAGTAGGCGAGTACGTCTACGACAAGGAAGGTGGGCGGCACCAAGCCTTTGTGATGCCGCTGCGGGACGTCGAAGTAATGGGCCACCACATCCCGCGCCTGGAGCGCATCAAGATCGAGCAGAGCCACAAGTATTCCGAGCTCGGGTCCTCCAACCTGTTCAAGATGGCCGGGCTGGACGAGGTGGACCGCTGGACGCGCGGGGACGAGTACGGCGTCCACCAGCTCCGGAGGGCGCAAATCCCCTTCCCTCTCGACCCGGGACGGTACGCCGCCTCCGTCGTCCCCACCCCGGACGAGTGGCGCTCCCTGTGGACAGCCTGGGACACCGTCACCCGGCAGATGCTGCCGGAGCAGGATCTCGCCGAGAAGCCCATCAAGCTGCGCAACGCGTGCATCTTCTACCTGGGCCACATCCCCGCCTTCCTCGACATACAGCTCACCAAGACGACCGGCCAACCCCCGACCGCTCCGGGAGAGGTCTACTACGACATGTTCGAGCGCGGCATCGACCCGGACGTAGACGACCCGGAGAGGTGCCACGACCACTCCGAGCTGCCGTCCGAGTGGCCGCCCGTCGACGCCATCGTAGCCTTCCAGGACCGCGTGCGTGCCAGGCTCCTGAGCCTGTACGGTAGCGGACCCAAGTCCAGGGGGAGCACCACCGCCGCCGGGGACATGCCCAGGCCCGTCGCGAGGGCCGTATGGCTCGGCTTCGAGCACGAGGCCATGCATCTCGAGACCCTGCTGTACATGATGCTGCAGAGCCCCAGGACGCTGCCGCCGCCGCACACGGTCCGTCCCGACTTTGAGAGGATGGCCCGCAACGCGTGCACTGCCAAGGTGCCGAATCAGTGGTTCGATGTGCCTGCGAGGACGATCACCATCGGTCTCGACGACCCGGAGGATGAGGATGACCCGACTCGTCACTTTGGATGGTATGCCACATTTTCGACGACTGTATATGCGGCCTACACGTAACAATACGTCCAAATCAGTCGGTCATCTGACTAACAAGATAATACAGGGACAACGAGAAGCCCATCCGGAAGCAGGCCGTTCACAGCTTCCAGGCCAAGGGACGTCCCATCACCAACCAAGAGGTACATCTCCCCCCCAATCTTCTGCCGTCTTCATATGCATCCTGTACAGAAGTACTGACAAGACGAACAAACCCCAGTACGCACAGTACATGTACGCCACCAAGAGTGACCAGATGCCCGCCTCGTGGACGTGGCAGGAGACAGCGTCACCCGGTAGCAACAGCGCCCGCGCCGACGGCACGAGCAGCGACTCCGATCTCCCCACCTCGTTCGTGCAGGACAAGGCTGTCCGCACAGTCTACGGTCTCGTCCCGCTCAGCCAGGCCCTCGACTGGCCCGTCTTCGCGTCTTACGACGAGCTCTCCGGCTGCGCTGCCTGGATGGGCGGACGCATCCCCACGTTTGAAGAGGCCCGTAGCATCTACGCGCATGTCATTGACTCTCGTCGCAAGAAGAAGATACCAGGCCAGAAATTGGCCGCTACATTTCCCGCAGTGAATGGGTGCGTTCTCTCTCCCTCTCTCTCTCTCTTTACATCATCGCTTCTTCTTCATCCCTCGCAGAGTTCTTTCCCATACTTTGCAAACTCCTTCTCCATCCCATGCAAGGCAACGACATCACTAACTTGCAAGCAGCCACCTTGTCAACAACGGAGTCCAAGAGACCCCGCCAGACCTGATCCCCGCTGCCGTCAATGGGCACGGACCCGACAGCGGAGGAGAAGAGGAAAGAGAGGATGGACTCTTCACGGACCTCGCGGGTGAGAACGTCGGTCTGCGCCACTGGCACCCCGTCCCCGTCACGCAGAGGGGCGACACCTTGGCGGGCCAGTCCGGCATGGGCGGCGTGTGGGAGTGGACTAGCTCCCCGCTCGCCCGGCACGAGGGATTCGCCCCGATGGCCATGTACCCGGGCTACACGGCCGACTTCTTGGACGGCAAGCACAACGTCGTCCTGGGTGGGTCGTGGGCCACGCACCCACGCATAGCGGGGAGGTCGTCCTTTGTCAACTGGTATCAGAGGAAGTATCCCTATGCTTGGGTTGGAGCCAGGCTCGTCAGGGATGTGTAGTTCCAGGCGAATCTCTCCCTTCTCTTTTCGGTTTCTCACTCTCCCTCTTTCCTCGAACAGATATCGGAGATACGGCATGGGTCCAATGGCTGCCATGGTATAGGGTCGTAGCAGAGCACACGACAGTAATTCAGATGCACGATGTTTTCAACACGGGTGGAAATAAAAGGAGTCGTGACCTTACAACGGTTCCGATTCCTTGGATAATGGTTCAATTCTCCGGGTAGTCCCGACTGCTCATGTCTATGTCTATCAGCAATAACAATGCTCTTCTCAGCTCATAGGCGCCCCCCCCCCCCCCAAGCCGTATCGTGTCTCCGTCTTTTTTTTCTCAAGCCATGTATGAACATGGCATGTGCCGTGTGGGTATTAATAGTTGGAGGGATCTGGGCAGATCAAGGCATACTGATTAGATGACCTCGTCCGATGACCTCATCCTCCTGTATGAGTAGGCATCCATGGTAAGTGCTACTTGAAGTCAAGGTCCATACCAGAAGCTCTGCGTCTCGTGACCTCGAGACGTCGTCGACGGAGCCATGCCCTCGCCTGCGCGCCCGAAGCCTTACCCTAAGCTCATCGGCCTCCGTCAACTTTTCGTTTCTGTCTTTCTTACGGCTGCAGCGTGCCGAATGTTTCGATGATTATCCTGACCACGTGGTTACTAGGGTAGACACCGTTTTCCGTGACAATTCTGGAGATGAATTCGCCGGGCTGGCCATGAAACGATCAGCACTTTCCTTCTCTGTCACGTGTCACCCGTCTGCCTCCATTCGAGGTCCTGCATAGCTGTGGATGAGGGAGAAGATATGGCCCTTACCGTGAACTCCAGGAGGTCGTCCTGGTCAGGCTGCTGTTGCTGTTCCGGCTCGTCGGTGGTAAACACCTTGATGTTCTGGGGCCACCCGACGTCGCTCAGGCGCGTAGCGTGGTAGTTGGAGAACTTGTGCATCTCGCCGCAGAGGAAGACTTCGATGTTGCAGTGGGCGGCGGCCTGAGCGATCATGCACGACCCCATGCGTCCAACCATGCCGCCGTTCTGGCAGATGACCTCGCCGCCGAGGAAGACGCGGTTGACGCGCGGCTTGAGCGTCTTGACGGCGTGCAGGGCTGCGCTGAACTTGACGGCAGCAGTGGGGATTCCCGCTGCGCGCAGCCTGGCTACGTAGTCGTCGCTCTCCTGCTGGCCGTTCTTGCCGTAGTCGTCGCGCACGTAGATGACCTTGAAGTTGCGGCCCGCCGCGGCGGCGTGCTCCAGCACGGCCAGCACCGTCCGCGACGCCCCGTAGGTCAGAACGGTGAAGGCGTTGACCACATAGTGGTGGCCCATCAAGCCCACGGCCGCGCGCGCCTCCACGGCCTTGTCGATGTACTCGACGCCCTTGGTCAGCAGGTTCCGCCGCACCACGGCAAAATCACCGTCCGACTCCTTAAGCCTCTGCCGCACGAACAGCAGAAAGTACTGGGATCCGGCCAGAGGCGCCTTGGGGTACCTGATGTTGCTGGCAAGTTGGGCCTGACCGGCCGTCAAGATCTTGATGGTCTCGTGCGCCGTCGATGCCGGTGTCGCTTCCAGGAGGGCGTGCAGCGCCTTCATCGCCACTACCGTCTTGGTCAGCTCCGGCTGGTCAGAGAGTATCTTGTTGTACGTCGCGACGATGTCGAATTCGGACCCGGAGGCCGCATCCGCCGATGAAGGATCTGTCGTCATTGTGGGCGGCGTCGACGATGGACCAGGATGGCGATGTCGAGGTAATGGTGGACGTGTGAGTCAATCGAGATGGTGGGGGAAGAGTAAGAAAGAGCTCGGGTATGGAGGGGCACAGCCCCACATGTCCGTGCTTCAAGTCTACAGGTGGTATGGAGTAAGGATAATACGGAGTAATACTCCGTACATGTAGCACTATTATTATTGCTAGCAGTAGCACTGCGCGGATGTACCAATTCCAAGCGTCTTTCTATACCGAAGCTTCTGGATCTTGAAGGCATGGTATTGATTATTGCTTCCCTATGCGATACTAGTAGTCTTCCACCTCCACCGCTCTTCCCAATACATTCCCCTGTTCCCCCTAATGTCTTCATTTTCTGCCGTCTTCCACCGCCGTGGTGCAGGGTAGACCGGAGAGGGAGCAATTCCCTTTGTCGATTCCCCCCGAGTTTCTGTTCGTACGTACACGAATCGCTGTCAGAGTAAATAACGAAGGCCAAAAGGCTACAGACAGTAAATGGCCAGACGACTCACTGAGTGCTAGGATTGCCTCTTTCTCTCTCAGATAGAGACCGTGTGTCGGCGCTACCCGATTCGCCCTTCCGCAGCAGTATTCCCAGCAGCTTCCCAGCAAGCCACTTGGTCAATCCCGACGGCTCATTGTTCTGAGGTGTATCCATGGGTGCATCTGTAGTATGTCCTGTATCTGTCGTCGTTATTGACGCCGTTGTATCCGTCTTCTTCTTCTTCTTCCCCTTCTTGTTTGATCCCTTGGTCTCAAAGGTGACGGTCAGGTCGTGTTGCTTCTCGGAGTCGTCCGAGCTGTGCCGTCCGATAGATGGCATGCCTGGGCCGGGGGACTTGTCAAAGTGCAGCGCGAGATCTCTAGTGCTCTCTTCGGGTGACATCGTGAAAAGGAAGAGGCGTTTCTATCATTAGGTTGATTGCTACTAGCAGTAGGTTATGTTGATATGATGATGATGTAGGTATGTGCTTGTGTCCGGTGCGTTCAGCGGAAGGACGGACGAAGCTGAGGCTCCAGCCCAACAAGGGCAGGTTCATGCTGTTCATATCTTGGAAAGAGCTCTCGGCTGACTTGCTTTTCCCTCGAAATTTCACGCACAGCATATAATTGCTCACTGTCTTGTCGTCGCTGCAGTCACGATCATGTGTAGCTAAACTGTGCGGGAGCGTAGTAGCTGTTGGAGGAGGGCCTCGAATATTATAAATTACATCATAGCCAAAGCTAGTACTGCCAGAGTGCTGAATCAGGAGGAACAAGGCAACAATCGCACAGTCTCGACATTGCAAATATTGACGGAATCGATATGTAGACGCGTCAAGTTCCGATCATCCTTTTTCCTCAACACTGAGAGCAATGCAGAGACACCATCTGGCCTTCAACGGTGAAGCAGCAGCGGGGCCGATGGGCCACCCGATGATCCACCCCAGAAGAGGGGATGACGAGAAGGGGTCTCCTTGTCCTCTTTTTCCCTTCCCCTTGTCTGGCTTCTCCCTCCCCAACAATTCTCACGTCCCCGAAAACATCTGCCTGTTTCTTCCCCTTCCCTGCCGTACCACCGTTCTGAAAGCCCGATCGGAACCATGGAGGTAGTCGACCCCGCGACGGGAGCCGCCCTCCCCGCGGACGCCATCCAGCGCGTCCTCTTCCTCACCAACACGACCCACGTCTACAACATCCCACCTCTACCCTCGACCCGCGGCCACATGGCAGCCGCGTGGACCGAGGATCCATCGCGACACATCTTCACGGCGCGCCTGCGCCTCCTCGAGACGAGCTCCGCCGACGCCGACCTGCTCAAGGTGGACCTGGTGCTGGAGGACGCCTCGTCGGGTGCTCTGTTCGCCGCGGCGCCCTACGCCAACCAGTCGTCTGTCGAGCCCGTCATCGACAGCTCCCGCTTCTTCGCCATCACCGTGCGCGATCCGTCGGGCCGCAAGGCCGTCCTCGGCATAGGCTTCGAGGAGCGCTCCGACGCCTTCGACTTCGCCGTCGCCCTGCAGGCCGCGCGCAGGGCGCTGGGGTGGGAAGGCCCCGCTGCCACCGTCGCCGGCGCACCGTCCAGGGCGGACGAGCCGAGGGACTACAGCCTCAAGGACGGGGAGAAGATCACGGTTAATATCGGCGCCAAGGGCCTAGGCAGGAGACGTCCGCGCAACGACGATGAGACGCCAGCCTCGTCAGAGAATCTGCAGTCGTTTGCCCTAGCGCCGCCGCCGCCGCCGCCGGCCGCCACCACCACTCCTGATACCGGAGGCGACGGTGGTGCCTTCAGCTTGCCCCCGCCGCCCAGTGCCACCGATGCGAGGAGGAAACGTCGGTCTGTGCAGCAGCTGGGCTTTGATGATGGTCAGTTTGGCGAGTTTGCCTAAGACGAGTGCTTTCTACATTACGTGCATCCTTGCAAGACAAGTCGTTTGCAAAAGTTGGAGGCGTGGTGTTTGCTGGGCACGACCATGGCCGACTTATGAATGAGCCAGCAGTCTATACGAGACGATTCTTCCTTTTTGCTATTCTTATTTTTCATAATGTACATGCCATATACAGACAGGGACGAAGAGCGGGGGGAGGAGGGGCGGGCGGGAAGAAGCATTCCACTTGATCGTATCGAGATCAAGGCCACAAAGAATGTAGGTTCGGCAGACTCAGACGCCTCCGATGTGACTGTGACAGTGACTGCGACTCTGGCTTGCTCTCGCTCTCGTACGTAACCGATGGCATGCACTCATACTCGTACTCTAAGCCGTGGTGATGCAACTCTGACTCTTCACCATGCACCTCATGCATCTGCATGGCACACACCCCAGGCACGAACTCGGGTGAAGCCCCGTTGAGCACGCTGGCGACACCCGACCGGTCAGACGAAGAGGACGAGGCAGTGTGTAAGGATGAAGATGACGACCACTCCGACGAAGGTATTCCTTCTGGACAATGATTATGCCAAGCATCTGTCGTCGCCGCGACGGCAGCAGCAGCAGCAGCAGCCATTTTACTGCCATACTCGTACGACGTCACCATCTCCATGATGGCTAGCCCGCACAGCCCACGACGCATCTGGAGTTCGGCAGAGATCTGGCCCAGCCTGAGGAGCAGAGCCTTTTCCTGCCGGGAAGCATTGTTGATGGTTGTGCGAAGGAGGCTGAGGCGCTTACGCAGGCGACGACGGGACTTGCCATCGGATGCGTCGGGGAGGAGCGACGATGCGTCCGAGTACTGCCTCGCGACGTCGGATGCCTGGGCCGACTGACATTGGAGCGTGGCTAAGAGGTAGGCTTGTTCTGTTTGGAGGGAGTCGAAGCTGTGATTTGAGAGGAAGAGTTTGGTCGTTGATGTGTCGACGTAGGATCCATATCGGCGGCGACTGGGCAATGATCTGGGTGTGTCGGTGGTAGGATCAGACATGGTTTTTTTTTTTGGTTCCTCCTCCTCTTTTTTCATTTCTCGCATAAGAAAGAAAAACATGGAATAATTGAAAAAGACAGAAGAGAAAGGAATCTCCGAAAACGTCTCTGGGAAATCAATAGGAAGGGACAGGATAATAATCAACCTTTCGAAGATGGTTTCCAGACATAATAGACATGGCTACACCCTTGCTCGTCCCCCCTCATCTGTCCGATGACCGATCGGTCTAGGCCAGTAAATAGCATGAATAGGGGGGGGGGACTGGGACCATGTCCCATGTCGAGTGTACGAACCATTGTCTGGAATCCAGGGTGGTGTGTTGGTCGGTCGAACCGATGGCCCTGTGATACACCATAGCTGACCAGTTGGTTCTCGACAAACAGAGAGAGAATTGAGCTGAATGCTCACTAGGTGTGAAGCTAGGCGCCACGGCGCCGCCCCCCTTCAAGAGCGAAGAGAGAAACAAAACAGGTTTTGTACTCGCCGACCTTTGTTTGTTCCATAGATGTGATGACATGGCGAGAGCAGAAGAGAGGAGGTGGCAGATCACCAATATTATCTCTTTTTCTTTTTTATCTCCTTGTTCCTCCTACCGGTGACTTCATCAGATGGGGAACCCGGCGTGGTTGGGGGCTTCCTCGAAACGCCAGAGCCCAGCCTCGACGGCGGCCTTTCGAACAAAGGAGATCTCACTCTCATTGACAGCGCGGTTGATTTCGGCGTAGCGCACTTCGTCCTGTGGCTCCGCGTCTTCCGTGGAGGTTTGCTCGTCGGCGCCATGCGTCTGGGAGGGGGAAGGGGAGGCGGTTCTTCCTTGTGCGGTTGCTTGTTTCGGCTGCTGCTGCTGCTGATGCTGCTGTCGCCTCCCCCGCCTAGTATTCTTCTTCTTACCCACATAAGCGTCTGGGTGGTACTGCTCCATGATGTGGACGAAGCAATCCTGCGAGACGTCTCGAGCGAGGAAGCGCATGATGTCGGCTCCCTCATCCTCCTTTCCCGGCATGACGAGGTGACGGACCAGCAGGCCGCGCTTGGCGATGCCGTCGGCCGTGAAGCACAGGTCGCCCACCTGTTCGTGCATGGCCTTTACCGACTCCCTGGCGGTGGCCGCGTAGTCGTCGGCCTTGAGCAGGCGGCGCGATGACTGCGTCTTCCACACCTTGAAGTCGGCGAGGTAGATGTCCACCAGCCCGTCCATGAGGCGGATGGAGTCGAGCGAGTCAAAGCTGGACGTGTTGTAGACGATGGGCACGCGGAGGCCCATGTCTCGCGCGTGCAGTATGCTCAGGGCCACCTGTGGCACCACGTGCTCCGGCGTGACGATGTTGATGTTGTGCACCTTGCCCACCTCCTGCAGCTTGACGTACCACCCGGCCAGATCCTCGGGCGACAGGTCCATGCCGTTGCGCTTGTGGGAGATGTCGTAGTTCTGGCAAAAGGTGCACCGCAGGTTGCACCCGCTCATGAAGACGGTGCCGCTGCCGTTGTGGCCCTGGATACACGACTCCTCGCCGAAATGCGGCGCCACGACGTTCACCTTGGCCTTCTCGCCCACCAGACACATGCCCGTCGTCTCGAACCGGTTCACCCCGCATCGCCGCGGACACAGGTTGCAGCTGCGCATGTGGGCGTATGCCCGGGACCGCTTCAGCGCTGCGTCGCGCGAGCTCAGCAGCTGGTATCGAGGTATGTAATCGTCTAGCAGGAAGGGGGGCGCCAGGTGCAGGCTGCGAGTCCGCGATGCTCCTGCCCCTCCTGCCCCTCCTGCCCCTGCTCCTCGTATTCCCCACGTCACCACCTGGCGGTCTGCTCTCCGCCTCAAGGCACCCGGCGGCGTCAGGCCGGGGGGGTATCGCTTGAGGAGCGTACCAAACATGCTGTCGGGCCGGTACGTCGCAGGCCAGGTTCACGCGATACGAGTAGGATCAGATATAACAAGTTATTATTGGACTAGGATAAGATAGAGCAAAGGGAAAGTTGCTCTTGGATGGCATCAAACTCTTTCTCAAGATCATGGAGGGCTTGCGTCTCGTTCCTCGGCAATTGCCAATGACGTGTGGTTCGACCCACTTGTGGCATATCCAACCGGCCAATGACCTACCCGGCATTATCACCTGCATCTCTGCCACGCCAAGGTTTCCTGGTCTACGCGAGAGTTGAGAGGTGGTATATAGAAATCTCGATATGTATAATGGAATTCTTACATATACCAACGTGTCACCTGGACGCAGGATACCGTAGTAGATGCACGAATGTCGATGTTTCGGGCTTTATCTCATGCGCCTCGGACGTGGCTCTCTTCCTCGCGTATGCCCTTGTCTCTCCCAAAGCAAACAGCAGACCAGGATAATGAGCAAATACGAGGAAGAAGCATCGTGGGGGGTATATGGGAGTATTACCACGAGAGAAACAAGATGAAAATAGGACGAAGTGACCATGAGCCGAGGTGAGATATTCAGTCGTGACCGCAATCATAACATGCAACATTTTGCAGGACGACGACATCTACCTGTGTGTGATACCATCAACACCATCGCGATGGAGAGAGCCACAGCCACAGCCATAGCCGCGGTCACAGCCACATTATACCGGCTGAAGCAACTGATGGTCAGCGAGTGCTCCGTGGTTATACGTGGTTCCAACCTGGGAGGGGCTGCAGCGTGTTCCAGCCACATCCGAAAAGCCTCCGCCTACAAGTGAAGGGCAGCTGAATATGACGAGTGCTATTCCGTACATTTACGGGTGAATAAATCACGAGTGATACTACCGGTTAAATGTCGCGAGTGCGTCTTCGATTGGAAGCGATACAGCAGCGCGGTGGGTGCTGCCGGTTGGTGAGCAGATTGACGTCATGAGAGACCGATAAGAGAGAAGGTGGGTGGTGCCGCGAATGACGTAGCAGGGAGCAGGCCAATTTTCGATTCGGAGGGGGTTAAGGGAGGGATGGAGGGGGGGGGAGAGGTATATGTCTTGCTTTTACGGTAATAACTCGTACGGTATAATGTCGTAGAGAAGGGGGGGAGGGGTGAGAGCATAGTAGCTGAGCCCAGCAGCAAGCCATCTGCCATGTGGATTGTCTTTCTTCTTCTCCGGAATAAGAGAGGTAAAAGATGAGATTGAGAAAGTAAAATATTATTACTCTACTCTTACGATTAGTAGCGGGGCGATGGCTAACGTCGCGGGCATCCCGATGATCATCGTGTGGCATCACGCACAGGAAAGTAAAAGGAGAATAAAACTGGAATGGAAAGGTCAAGAAATAAAATAATGACAGAGAAGCAGACACGCACGCACACTAGTTTTTTTCTTCTTGTTTTCCTTTCCATATAAACGGGTTGATTGTAGCATCGTCGTCGTAATTGCTTCGGTAACGTGCCGTACTCAGTACCGGTGCTCGTAGTGCGGCTGGGATACAGTGTGGCAGGGCTTAGGTGACGCAAAGCGCGAGGACAGGTAGACGACGGCGCAAAGTTTGGTTGTGCTCGCCGCTGGTCTACGAGTGGTCTACGAGGAGCAATTCAGTCCTACATAGCGAACTTGGCCCGGTGACATTGGAACCGCTCCTAGATCGGTTCACCAGGTGGGTCGGCTTACGTCCCAGGTGAATATTTGAGAATTCCTCGCAGCTTGTTGTCGCATACCGACTAGTTGCTGTATCTACGCCGTCTCTTGGCGATCGTGGCTGCTGTGTGCGAGTATTGTGGTAGTATCCCTTGTTGATTCTCAGTCGTACAGTACTCTCTGTCCATACTCCTGCGAGTATTTGATTAGTACCCGTAGTAGAACAAAAGAGATCGGCCGTACTACCAGCGTTGGTCGGTCTGGAGGAACTCTCTGTGTCTGAACCGAGGCACGGAGTGATATATCAGTCATTTGAGCGTCAGCAATATCTCGTAGATTGATGTCGTGTCGCGGCTGCACCAAAAGAGGGGTACATCATCCTACAGGTTTTTTTAGCAGCGTTTTTTCATCTGGCACTTGGGGTTTGGAGGCAGATGGACGAGCCTAGGCCTGAAAGATGGAGCCTAAAGATGGAGCAGACCCAATGTCGCCCGAGATTACTGCGGGCAACTGGGAGATTGCCCGATGCGTCGGTGACTAGTTCCGGAGAGAGAAGTCCCTGAGAGGAGGGATCAAACAAGAGAGGAGATAGATAGATAGATAGAGAGAGAGAGAGAGAGAGAGAGAGAATGTGTGTGTGTGCGTACCAATTTTAGATGGAAATCTCTGAGAGGCCTCAGAGAAAGAGTGAGGTGAACGCTTCCCTCTCTTTCTTCCGAGGCCCGTATGTCGTACTCATGAGATTTTAACCTGCATTCTCATTTTTTTTGTGGCTTGCCATGAAACTGCATCGGAGAAGCAGCAATACGGATACTGCATGCATGAATTGAATACGAGTATCCAATACAGATTACAGCGTATTACAACAAACAGAATTGATAGGGCATGATAAAACTCGTATCATCTGTAGACTGCACTCCTGCCAACTCTGGCCAATATCAGAATGATGGGATAATAACGTATGACGTCGATCCTGCTCTTTACAGCGTATAATACTGCAGGGAGAGGAAGGAATCGCGGACTCTCGTTCCTGCCTCTCAATCTGGGATGTGTGCTTTCATCCGGAGAAGGGAAGGTGTGATTGACTGGCGTGAGCATAGCGCCTAATACAACCTGCCTAAGCACCATTACGAGTACTGAAGAAAAAAAGAAAAGAAAAGAAAAGAAAGGCGCTACAGCAGATAGGTAATGATACTGCCACTTGCGAAATGAAGGAAAGCACCACGACTTCTGATGAGGCGCTGAGGGTTCCTTCCCTTTGATGCGCTCTTGACATCTTGACGTAATCACTCAGCCCAAATTGGGCTCATCGACTCTGAGCAGAGCCTCCTTCCCCATCCGTGGCGCACGCTGTCCGAACCTTGACACTCTTTCCTTCTCCCCTCTAACCCTGTATCCGGTATTGCGTGAACCAGCGATGGCTGACGGAGAAACCGTTACTCGTTGTCGTCAGCGTGTCCAGCCATCAAAACGGGAACTGGTTTATTACCAGTTGGGCTGAAGACGGTGGTGGTGGTGGTGGTGGTGGAGAGTTGTCGGTGGATGGTGACCTTTTTCCTCCACCCCGTGGCCCATTCCCAGTCCGTCATCGTTAGCGACGAGTACGAGTACAGTGTACTTGAGTACGCGCCACGGACGAGTACCGCATCGGGGCTGCTACACGTCACAGGTACCCTCGCTGATACGGATCCAGGGTCGCATGGACGGAGACAGAAACAGAAACAACACGGCGCTAGTGCGATTAGCGATCGACTGCTCGCCAGTAGACACCAAGACGACCGAATCAATCAATCACAATTGCCCGCGAGATGATGTCGTATCCACCCCAGACACCAAGTTCCAGCCGCGCAGGGGTAGTTCCCAACTCTGCTCTTTCCTCTTGGGTGCCCTTTTCACGTCGTCCTCCCTAGTCCCTCTGGTCGCCCTCTGCAACGCAGTGTGCCGCGTATGCTGCCGCCAGCGCGTAACGCCCAGAGGCCCAGTTTTTGCTCGACCTCTCCTCTCCAGTCCAGCTGCTGCTTCTTCTTCTTCTTCCTACGAACAAGGAGGGGGGGGGGGGGGGTGTTCAGCTGGCCAGCTCTTGACTCGCTTCAGCATACTACTGTGCAGCGGTACACACCCCCTCTACGCCACTCCTCCCCCCCGTTCAATCGCTGTATGCGCCACCCATGCAATGCCGTCGATAGCACCTCCGTTGCCAGACGGGGGAGAGTGCACAGGCGGTCTACAAAAGTTACATACTCACCTAACCATCCCCAAGGGAGTAGGAGAAGAAGAGAAAGAGAGTCATGATGACAATGTTCACAATTATGGGAAACCCAATTCAGGAGGAAAACAGACCTTCTTCCCTCCCCACCCCCCAAACATAATCGAGCAACCGACCTAAACAACACAAGACACTTGACTTATTACCGACCCAACGATCGACCTGACCCTGTCGTCGTCAGTGCCGCTAGCTTCTATACGTCCAAGTCTTCGCACGAGCTTGACTGCTGTTGACACGTCAAAAAAAGCTCAATTTCAGAACGAATCCCTGTCCCACACCCCCGGCACCTTGGTACCTATCCTCGTCGTACTTTCCCCCGTCTCTGCACCTAACTCGTCCAGCCCCCTTGAACCTGGCTGCACCTGAATCTGATCCCGGTCAATTCTATTTTTTCCCCGTACAACTTTCAACCATCTGCCGTTTCTTCTGAGGCCTCTCTTCGCGTCATTCTTATCTGGCCATCGTCACCTCACCGACTCTGGGAGTTTTGACTTTCTTCTTCAACTCCGGATCTCTTCTTCTGCAGTGGTTGGTTCATTGCCCGATCAACGTCTGCTCGCGACGCCTGCCGCGACGCGCTTCTGACATCGCCACTCCACGACGACACAGACGGCAAACACCATAGCAGTAGCCGCGACGAGGCCTTCGTCGAAACGCTGCCGCCATGGGCTCCTTTGTGTCATGGATCAAGACCAACATGGGCGGCTCGAGTAGCGATTCTTCCTCTGACTCCGACTCGTCGCCCCAGTCACTCTCAGGTCAGTCATGCTCTATACTGCCACGGTCGCTATGCCTGTCCTGCTTCCGCGCCTTTATGCCTCCGCGTCCCTGGCGGCCCGGACCTGGTTGCGCTCACGCTGACGCTCACTCACAGGCATGATCAGCACTCTCGTGCCCGTCCTGGTGATTTCTGGAGTTTACCTGCTCTTCTTCCTCATATTCCGCTCGTCTAGGAGGCGCTTCTACGCTCCGAGGTCTTATCTCGGCGCTTTACACCAAAGGTATGCTCGTTCCTCGGCCAGCGCCATCCCGCCTGTTTCTTTTCGAACTAACCAATGATTCCTCTACGCAGCGAGCGCAGTCCTGAACTGCCCAAGGGCATCTTTGCCTGGATCGGCTCCTTCTGGAAGATACCCGACGTCTATGCTCTCCAGCACCAGAGCCTCGATGCTTACCTGTTTCTGCGCTTCCTCCGTGTCTGCACCGTCATCATGTTTGTTAGCCTGCTCATCACCTGGGTCGTCTTGTTCCCCGTCAACGCCACGGGACACAATGGCAAGAGTCAGCTCGAGATCCTGTCCTACAGCAACATCAACATCGACACGGAGAAGAACCGGTTCTACGCCCACGCCCTTGTCGCCTGGGCCGTCTACGGTTTCATGATGTACATGATCACCCGCGAGTGCATCTTCTTCATCAACATCCGCCAGGCCTACCTCCTCTTGCCCCAGTACGCCAAGCGCATCTCGTCGCGCACCGTGCTCTTCACCAACGTCCCCGACGACTACCTTGACGAGCGCCACGTCCGCCGCGTCTTTGGCGACAACCTGGTGCAGAATGTCTGGATCCCCGGTATCACGAAGGACCTTGACAAGTTGGTTGAGGAGCGCGACAAGGTTGCCATGAAGCTCGAGAACGGCGAGATCAAGCTGCTCAAGACGGTCAACAAGGAGCGCACCAAGGCCTCGAAGAAGTCGGGTGCCCAGCCGGCCTCGTCCCACGAGGACGCCGAGCACGGTTCGCTGGCTTCGCGCTGGATCCCCGCCAAGAAGTGGCCCACCCACCGCACCGGCTTCCTCGGCCTCATCGGCCCCAAGGTCCAGACGATTGACTGGTGCCGTCAGCAGCTGCAGAAGCTGGTCCCCGAGACGGAGCAGGCCCAGTCCGACTTCATGGCTGGCAACTACAAGAAGCACACGTCCATCTTTGTCGAGTTCTACACCCAAGCCGACGCCCAGGCTGCCTACCAGACCATCACCCACCACCAGCCCCTGCACATGGCTCCCAAGTACATCGGTGTCAGGCCCGACGAGGTCATCTGGAAGAACCTGTCCATCCCCTGGTGGCAGCTCATCGTCCGCCGCTACGCCGTCTACTTCCTGATCGCCGTCCTCATCATCTTCTGGGCCATCCCGGTCGGTATCGTCGGTATCATCGCCCAGGTCAACACGCTCAAGAAGCTGCCGGGCCTCACCTGGATCGACGACATCCCCTCCGTCATCCTCGGCGTCGTCTCCGGTCTTCTACCCTCGGTTGCGCTATCCATCCTCATGAGCCTGGTGCCGGTCTTCATGCGCATGTTCGCCAGCCTGTCGGGCGAGGTGTCGCTGGCCCGTGTCGAGCTCTTCTGCCAGAACGCCTACTTCTTCTTCCAGCTGATCCAGGTCTTCCTGGTGCGCACGATCACCGACACGGCCTCGACGGCCATTGTCCAGATCGTCAACAACCCCTCGGCCGTCTTCAATATCCTGGCCACGGCCCTGCCCACGTCGTCCAACTTCTACATCTCGTACTTTATCGTCCAGGGTTTTACCATTGCCACCGGCGTCCTGACCCAGGTTGTCGGCTGCGTCATCTTTGAGCTCATGTACAAGTACCTGACCAGCACGCCCCGTGGCATGTACAACAAGTGGACGACGCTCAGCGCCATCATGTGGGGCAACGTCCTTCCGGTGTACACGACCATTGCCGTCATCAGTGAGCTTCGCCGCCCCTCCCTCCCTCCCTCCCCCCCCTTTTCCTCATCCCCTGCAAGGTGTGGTAAGCTAACGGGCAGCGCCAGGCATCACGTACGCCGTCATCGCCCCTCTGATGCTCTTCTGGTCCACCCTCGCCCTCGGCCTGTTCTACACGGCCTACCGCTACAACATCCTGTTCGTCAGCGACACACAGGTCGACACGCGCGGTCTCTTCTACCCCCGCGCCCTCAAGCAGCTGTTCTCGGGCATCTATCTGTCGGAGGTGTGCATGGTTGGCATGTTCGCCATCTCCAAGGCTCCCGGCCCGGCTGTGCTCATGGGCATCTTCCTCGTCTTCACCATCCTGTTCCACCTGACGCTCATGAGGTCGCTCGGTGACCACCTGCGCGGTCTGCCGGTGACGCTCCAGGTCGACGAGGCGGCGCGTCAGAACGGCGACGAGGTCAACGGCGACTCGAACGGATACTCCAAGGAGGCGGCGGCCAGCGGCGACACCGGCGGCACTACCAAGACGGCCAAGAAGGGCAACTTCATCACCAGGTTCCTTGCCCCCTGGAAGTACGCCGACTACCAGTCTCTGCGTGGCATGATGCCTGCCGACAACAGCGACATGGTGAGGTACAGTCCCGAGACCGAGGTCAACGCGTACTACCCGCCGTCAGTCACCGCCGACGTTCCCACGCTGTGGATCCCGTCGGACCCGGCTGGCGTGTCCAAGCAGGAGGTTGCCCTGAGCAGCAAGGTGATTCCCATCACGGACGAGGGCTGCACCATGGACGAGAAGAACAAGCTCCACTGGGATGCCGAGGGAGCTCGTCCTCCTATCTGGGAGGAGAAGACATACTACTGATGACTGTGTGTTGAGGATTATGCCGGTCGTGTGTGTTGGGACGATTACGTGTGCTGTTGCGGTTGTATGTCATTTGATACCCCTAGTTTTTTTTTATAGGTTTTTTTTTTTTTCTCTATTTCTCTCGTTTCAAGAAAAACATTGCGGGATGGAAAGAAGCGAGGACAAGAACGAAGTAGAGGAGGAGAAGAGGAAGAGATGAAGGAACTAGAAGAAAAAAAAAGAAGAATGATTTATTTTAATGGGAAATGGATGACGCAGAGAGGGTTGGATTACTTGCATGGCTTACACGCATGCAACGTTGCAAGGGAGGAGGACAAGGCGCGGCGAGGCGTGACGAGGTCGATGGGATCTGAATAGCCAATTGAGAGCAGAGACACTTGCTGGATGTGGCAGTCGAACGGTTTTGAATTTTTTCCATGTTTTTTTTCCTCTCGGTTTTTCTTACATCATATTCCCTCATATAACTTGACAATAATATATTCTTTTTAATGCAGTTCTATGTCTACGTTGAGCAGCTCTCTTCTTGCTCGGTACGATTGACGGTTGGAGGTCCTGGAGGTGAACGATGGATAGGAGCAATCCTGTCAGGTAAAAATGGAGTGAGCGATGCGCTCAATATTGCATTCTTGCATTCTCCGTCACTGCCGACTCATTCGTATCGATACACTATGGTATTGTGATGATGATGATGATGATGATGATTAGTAATCTGTAGTAGCAGTAGTAGTAGCAGTAGTAGTAGCAGTAGTAGTAATGGATACGGGCGACGCGTCGTTCATCTTCACGTCGTACCGGACTTGGACGGCTGGATGGATGGCACGCAGACGAGGGGCGAAAATAGCAGCAGGGGATTACGGGGGCAGGCTCCTGGTGTGTGCGCTGCTGGGATGTGGCAGTGCCATGGTGGTGTCTGGATTGGTCAGGACCTAGACAGAAGACGGGAGAGGAGGGGGAGGACAGGAATAGCGTGAGCACGTATGATAAGACCCTCGTGAAACAATCATAAAAAGAATAGATGATAGTCAAGGTCTCGTCTGTGCTGTCTTGGCCTCTCAAATGTCTGTCGATCTACAGATTAGACATGTGGGCTTTGATGAATCAGCTGCGGTCCCTGTTGTCGACGACAGCTACGAGCCTAAAGGCCCCCCCTCCTATACAGGCCCCTATGCAGGCCCCTATACAGGCCCCTATGCAGGCCCCTATACTCGTACACGGAGTAATCTGTAGCGATAATGCAGCAGGTGATCGATAGTACTGTCATAGTGTCATCAGGTACAGTAGCTAAGCATGAAGGCCAGACTCTCCCTACAGGTGCATTGAAAGGATGGGAAGGAGAAGAGGAACAAGAGACGGGAAGATGAGGATAGCAGAAGAATGATGAGGATGTAATACAAAATTAGAAATGAAGAGAAGGGGAGGGGAAACCCTCACACTATGAGTATGATTAGGATTATCAGATGCTAAGAACCATTCATCACGGCATCATATCAATAGAAGACGGCAAATAAGAGAGCACATGCAACCCCGCCAAATAACAATGGAAGCTGTCGAGTCCCACACACACAACAACACCCCACCTCCTTCCTCCCGGCGCGACCATCACCGTGACAACCACCGCAGTAGGCGCCCTCTTCAGAGTAAACAAGTGGCCTCGACGCATCATCAGCAGTTCCCATAGTCCCCTAGTCCCATAGTCTCACGATCCCATAATGCCCCCCCACCTCTCCCTCTCCGCATAACCCTGGACTTTTATCCCGCTGCATACTTGCTTGTACATATCGATACATCCATCCTATACAACCCCCATGTCCGCAGGTCCAGCCGTAGCTGCGCACATCACCGTCTTAGCCTCTTAGGCGTCTCATTTCACCATCTTGGCCTTTTATCTGTCCGGTTCTGGTCCTCTCTTTCTTATCTTGTTAGAGAGAGAGAGAGAGAGAGAGAGACAGAGAGAGACAGAGAATAGTTAACCAGAACAGGTTGATTGAGGGGTTCCACATCTTGTATTCACCGTCTGTCTTGGCCGTTCTCTCTCTTTCTCGCTCTACCATCTCTTCCCTCCCTTCACTTCTCCTCTACACTCACACTCACATACACACACACTCTCTCTCGCTCTTTTCTTTCTTCAGCACAGGATCATCCGTCCGATCTGTTTCTGCCTGTCTGTTCATTCCCTCTCTTGATCTGAAGAACATACCGGGGTGGAAGAGACGGAGAGAAGGAGAAAGAAGTGTGGTTGTTCGGGGGGGGGGAAAAAGACAATGTCCTGGTGATTACTGCTCAACAACAAAGAAAGAAAGAAAGGAGAGAAGAAACACCCCTTAACCCCCTTGCAAGAGAGAGAGAGAGAGGAGAAAGAAGAAGAAAAGGTAGTCGCACAGAATGTCAACTCCTCGCCCGAGCGGGTGCCCGCTCATGCAGGTACCCGTCGGCCTCCTCACCTTCGGCCTCCTCCTCTCTACCGCATCGGCGACAGCCTCCATGCCCTACAACCCTACGCAGATCCTGCTCCGATGCGACGGCGCGCTCGACGGCTCCACCAGCGGCGACGAGACGGCCTACATCCTCGACGGGTCGCGTCTGCTCTCCCTCGACTACGGCGGCGACGTCGGCTCCGACTCCGTCAAGAACGTGACCGACAGCTTGCCCTTCCTGGACGGGGACGGCTCCGCCTCGACGCGCACGTACGCTGCCACCCGCGCCGCCGACGGGACCGTCCTCGTCTTTGCCGGGAGCTGCGCCGAGGACGGCGGGGAGGTCTGGACGTACACGCACGAGCGTGGGTGGAAGGGCGCGGGCATCGACGTCGCCGGCAAGGACTCGCCGTCGCGCGGTCCCTACTTCCTCGGCGGCACCGTCGCCTTCTCGTCCACCCTCGGACCCGCAATGGACCGGCCGTCCGTGTACACCTACGGCGGCATGTGTCCCGTCCGGACCCACGGCGACGTCGAGGCCTGGCAGTCCAACGCCAACTACACGCAGTCCATGATCGCGCTCCGGCCCCGCTCCGACGACGAGACGGAGGAGGGGAGCGAGACCGACGCGGACGGCACCTATTCGCTGGGCGTCGCGTCGACATCCGGCCCGCGGACGCCCATGGCCGGATTCAGCATGACGGCCCTGACACCCGCCCAGACGAACCAGTCCGGCACCGTCACCCAGCAGGCCAGCTACGTCCTCCTGGGCGGGCACACGGAGAAGGCATTCATAGATATGAACACGGCGGCCGTGTGGAATCTTCCCGAGGAGTCATGGTCGTTTGTCGACGTGCAGGGTCCGGACCCGACCGACGACGACGTCGGCGTCACCGAGCTCATGGCCGCCAAGGCAGGCAGCGACGCGAGGAGGAGGAGGAAGCGCACCGGCGCCGCCGTGGACAGCCGGTCGGGACACACGGCCGTGCTGACAGAGGACGGCCGCTCCGTCATCGTCCTCGGCGGCTGGGTAGGCGACCTGAACACCCCCGCCGAGCCCCAGCTGGCCGTTCTGTACATGACCGAGACGTACGACGGGTGGCGGTGGAGGATCCCCGAGAAGCAGCCCGACGACTCGGCCGCCATCTACGGGCACGGCGCCGCCATGCTCCCCGGCAACGTCATGATGGTGTACGGCGGGAGGGAGATGTACAGCGGCTCGTCCGCCCGGCCGGCCAAGGTGAGGCGCGACGCCGTCGTAGGCTCGCCCAGGTTCCTCAACCTGACGGACATGTCGTGGGCAACGTCGTACAGGAACCCCGGCTCCACCGCCGACAAGGACAGCGACCCGTCTGCACCCGGGACGGCCAGTGCCGGCTCGACCCCGCGGCGGCTGGGTCTCGGGCTCGGCCTGGGCCTGGGCATCGGTCTCCTCGCCCTGGCCGGCCTGCTCATCTTCTTCTTCTGGCGCCGCCGGCAGCGCAAGAAGCGCCAGTCGCGCGACGCCGCCGTGGCCATACTCGCTCAGGACGCCAAGCACTTCATCAACGACGACGGCGAGATGGCCGAGGGGGACGACTTCTTCTCCGCCTGGGGTCGGGGCATGTGGGCCGCGAGCTCTAGCGAGGATCCGCACCGGGGTACGCGCCGGTCCCTGGGATACGAGAGCATCCGCGGGGGAGGCAGCGACGCCAACACCAGCAGCAACGGCGACGGCACGGCGAGGAAACCCGTCGCCAGGGGCGCCACGGCGGGATACGTCCCCACGCCGCCGCCGCCGATGCCGCCGCCGCCGGTACCCCCCCATAGCCACAGCCACAACCACAGCCACAGCCACAGCCACAGCCACAGCCACTCGTCCAGCTTCAACTCGACGCCGGGGTACATCCACCCCATCATGGAGGATGACGAAGAGGACCGGCACGACGACGCCCAGAGCTCGCCACGCACGCCGGCGTCGGAGGCGGCCTCGGACCCCTTCATCACGCCGACGGCCAGTCTCACGGCCGAGGCGAGGAGGTACGACGCCGACGTGCAGGACTGGGTGACGGACGTCGACGCGGACGCGCTGATGGCGAGGATGGGCGCCGGGCGCGCCGGGCGCGTCTCGCCCACGAGACGGGACAGTGCCGGACCGGCTCTCCGCGACGACGACTCCAGGACAGGGTCCGGCCTGTCGGAAGGGTCGTCCTTCATCCGCGTGGGCGACGTGCGTCACACGCCCACGAGTCGCAGGGCCAACCTGTCGACGATCCTGAGCGGAGGGTCGACGATCCTGGGAGGATCCACGCTGCTCGCGTCGTCGGACAAGCCCGGCAGCTCCGGAGCGAGCAGCTACAACACTGCCAAGAGCAGCTTCGGCGCCCTCCAGCAGGAAGCGCCCGGTCTGCTCATGCGCAGCGCCAGCGTCAGGAATAACGACGATGACGACGGCGACAGCAACCACAACCACAACGCCAACGCCAGCGCCAACGCCACCGGAACCAGCTACCAGTATGCGCAGCAGGAAGACGCCGAGGACCCGCAACCGCCGGGCTCGCCGTCCAAGTCGAAGCCGAGGAGAGGGTGGCTAGGATCCCTGCGACGCGTCTTCTCGACGTCCGGGACGCACGATCCGATACAAGACGCGGCGGACGACGGCACATCGCCGTACTTCTGGGAGAACCAGCAGTACGGGGCGAGCGAGGACGTGGAGCCGCCGTCGCTGGCGGGCAGGCTCAACAGCGAGCTGCTGCGGCGCAAGCAGGGCCGGTACGACTGGGAGGGTGGGACGGCTCCGACCAGCTACAGACGTCCCGGGACGGCGGGGAGCGGCAGGGTGAAGGGGAACGATGATGGTAACGAGCAGGGGGAATGGGACATTGAGCGTGCCGTCGAGCAGAGGATGGTGCAGGTCATGTTTACCGTTCCCAAGGAGAGGCTGCGCGTCGTCAACGCCGATGAGGTCTATTCAGACGACGACGACGACGACGATGACAGTTTCCTAGGAGAGAAGGCTCTGTCTCTGAGAAGGAAAAGGACAAGATCTGATGAGATTCAAAAGCAGATGCAGATGCAGCAGCAGCAGCAGCAGCAGCAGCAGCAGCAGCGGTGGCGGCAGGAGCGAGGAGAGGAAGGAGAAGAAGAAGAAGAAGAAGAAGAAGAAGCGGCAACGGTCATGGAGATAGCCACGAGTCGACAACCAAGGACGCCAAAAGTTTTCGTTTCCAATGAAGAAGAGGAAGAGGGGGAAGGGGAGGAGGCTGACCTGGGTGATGTACAATCACGACAATCACGACAATCGCCACAGCCACGACAGCTGCCACGACAACAACAGCCGACACCGCAGACACCACAGACACCGAAGACGCCGCTGACGCCGCTGACGCCGGCACACAAGAGGTTGGCAGACAGCCTGTTCCTGGACGTCGACCCACTCACCGGGGAGAGGAGGATATCCATGTCTACCATGTCGGAATCCAGCGCTGTCATGGAGACGGCGCAGACGATGACGGTCAGGAAACCGGAGCAGAGGCCGACGAGGGTCCTCAGGATGGTGGCGAGTATCGAGAGTTCGGCTTCGGCTTCGAGCCAGGGGGGTAGCCCGAGGGGCAGCAGTCCTATGATTTTTTGATTTTTCTGATCTTCTTTACCTTTTTCTTCTTCTTTTTTTTTCTTCTCTTCTTATCTCTCTTTACCCCTTTGATCATGTTTTTATTCCTTTTCTCTCTCTCTCTCTCTCTCTCTTGGAAGACTTTTCTTGGAAAATGTTCTTCTTTTGAGGCCTTTCTTTTCAAGATGTTACTTTTTTTTTTGAGGGTATTCTTTTGAGAATATCTTTGTACCTGTCTTACTCGATCTGATTTAGGGAGCGAAATGGAGTTGGGATAGGATGGAATTGGAGGGACGAGGCGAAAAAAGAAAAAGGACGGTATATGTTTTTTTTTTGGGGGGGGGGGGGTTATTATCATCCTTGTATCTTTTTTTTAATATGTTTTCATGTTTTCTTTTACTCCTCTGATGGGATTTGATGGATATGGATATGGATATGGACATGTATGTTATGTATTTCACGCGATAATAAATATTGGGTATTGCGAGTGCGAAGGATGCGGAATGATGGTGATTTTTTTTTTAAAAAAAAAGGATGTGATTGTATGAGTGCGGAGGAGATGTAAAGCTGCGTATTTCGGGGTAGTATGAGACGATATATATATATATACGTGCCTCAACCGCAACAGTCAACTGGTTCTACATAGATACATATATATATAAAAGTGAGAGGAGATGTAAATGGTAGGTTCAATGCTAGCACAGATATTATCAACACTACAGATTATAATAGAAAGTCACTTAAAAAGTAGGTTATATAACATGTTATAGGGTGTCAGATTCTTAGGCGTCTGTTTTATGTCAAGACTCGACCTTTTTTTTATATATATAGTCGAGGCTGCATTACCTAATCTTTACTTAGATAAGCTATACCACTATGTCAATGTGTTATATAATACTACCATAATCCTTCTCTCCGCTCGCACTTCCGCGGAGGGATAGTCAGAGAGCAGAGCGTATATTGTCATCACGACGACTACTATACGCCGCTGACCCCCGTGGGCCTCTGTTTCCAGCATGTAGACCCTCCTTCAGTGATGGCAGAGCATACATGTTATCTATCGCGTTAGGAGTGCGAACGGAGCAAGGGAAGAAGATGCCAGTCACGTGCAAGTGCCAGCGTAGCGAGAAGAGCTCCCTCCATCCGGGCAGGACCTTCGGATGGAAAGACATGAAGATTTCCAAGAGTCTATCAAGAAGGCAGTGGTAGCGAGACCTGAGAGTATATATACAGCATCCGGGGTATCTGTACAATGTATAGGAAAATTTTAAGAATAAAAAAGAAGGAAAGATTCCTAACCTAGACTGAGAACAAGGATAAAGAAAGAAAAGAGGGAAAGGAAGAAAAAAAAAGAAGAAGAAAAAGAGAGAGAGAGAGAGAACCAAAGAATGTGATTACTGCACAGCCAAGGGAGCATTCATGTCAAGAACAGCATCGACGAGTCGGCGACCGGGGAAATCGAAGATGACGACACCGACACGGGGCGGGGGATGAAAGGAGGATACGTAGCGCCTGCGCATGTAATTCTGCAGCCAGCGACCGGTCATGTCGTTCATGCCGACGACGGGAACGACGCCGTCCTCTGGCTCTCGCCTGTCTACACGGTCCTCCGGCTCTCCCCCTTCTACGCGGTCCGCGGGGTCGGGGACGAGGATGGGGCCGGCGGCAGCCTCGATGGGGAGGACGCCGACCGAGGCGGACACGTGGGTGAGGTAGAGGCGGGAGTCGTCGTCGGGGGCGGCGGCGGCGACCTCGAGGGCGTCGCGGATCGCGGGCCACTTGAGCGTCATGAGCTGCTCCGGGTGCTCGACGACCCAGACGTCCTCGAGGACCATCTGGTCCCCCTCCCAGAGGAGGCCGTAGCCGGGCAGGGCCGGGTCGGAGGCGAAGTTCTGGATGAGGAAGATCTTGGACCGCAGCTCGCCCAGGGTCGGCACCGGCCCGGAGCCGTCGTGCAGGGCCAGGTGGCGGTCGGCGCCGTCGGCGGTGACGGGGTAGGTGAGGCGGTAGTGGTTGAAGGTCTGCTCAAAGGACATGGTGCTGCCGTCGCCGACGGGGGGGCCCTCCTCCTTCAGGCGCATGACGACGACCTCGGACGGGTTCCGGTCCAGGAAGTCGAAGACGGGCATGAGCACGTCGGTCAGGTCGAAGCCGGTGGGGCCGTCGGCGTGGTAGATGCGCAGGCTGTCGTCCTGGAGGCGGGCGCGGATGTCGAGGTAGCGCACGCCGGCGGCCAGCTGGGTGGAGACGTTGGACGTCTGGCACTGCAGCACCTCGTCGGCGTCCTCGAAGGCATACGTCATGGTGTCGTGCGTGCCCGGGATGTTCACGTCCGTCAGCGGCGTCGAGTCCGGGATCCGGGCCATCCACGACTCCCGGTGCTGCGGGTCGAGGTAGGGCCGGTCCGGGGGCCAGGCCTCGTACGCCCAGCCGGCGTCGAAGCTGAAGGCGCTCGAGTGGCCGTGGTAGCTCGGCCGCGACCACGGCTCGTCCGGATGCGACTCGGTGTAGTACGGCGATGTGTAGGAGACGATGCAGAAGAAGAGGATGACGGACGCGCCCGCCGCGACGGACGTCGGGGGGGGCCTGCGCAGCATCCTGAGTCTCGGTATCGGGTTCCTCCACGAGAGCATGTCGGCGGCGGCAACGGCACGAGAGTATGGTAGTCAGATCTCGATGGATTCTCTTCTCCTCTGAACGGCACCTCTTCTCGATCGAGTCCCCTTGTCTTGAAGGTCTCGTCTCCTTCTCTGTTCTCGACGTTGCTGTATGTGGGTCTCGCTCGTTCTCTCAAAGAAGACGATTCTCTTTCTCGTCTCCACACGCAATCAGGGATTTGGATCTGGGGGAGATGTGGTAATCATCTCCCGATATATTGATACTGGTATGGTACAGATGGTACAGAGATGGTTCAAAGTGAGAGAGGGAGGGAGAGAGAGAGAGACGGGAGGAGGGGAATTAAAAAAAATTGAATAGTTGGACGTAATACTCTCCGTCTGTACTAGTGAAGGGGTTGGCTAGGAGAGGGTGGTGCCTGACACGGATCGTCGGCTCAATCAATCAACCTGCTGGGCACCTGGTACAGTTCGTCGGCTGGACCTGTGCAGGAGACCGGAGATGCTGGGCAGGCGGAGGAGCTGAGACTGTGAGAGGGTCGAGAAGGAGGAGGTCGAGGAAGGAGGCCGAGGAGGAGGAAGGCCGCGTGCACGCAGTGGAGAGGGATTGCGTCACGATTCGTGGGCGCAACACGTATTGCAGGTATGCAGCTGTAGACTACAGTGAGTGTTAGAGCCTAGGACCGCTGTTTGCTACTGTAAGTAGGTAATGAATAACAACGGTGTTAAAAATACCGATGCAAGGTAATCCGTACAGATTACATAAACCATGATATCCTCCTCTCGAGTCAACTACCCTATATATGTATCCTGGATAAAAAATAAGAGAGAAGCAATGGACATCATAGGATAGATACTCTTGATCATGACGAGGGACCAATGGAATAGGCCCATCTTGGCAAGGATACATCTTCAAGCGACGAGGACGAATACCTCGTTGCCGTCTCTCCCGCAATTGACAGGGTATAGAGTGAATAGGTGCATATATATATATAAGTGGGTTCCCGAAAAAAACAAGATGGGAGGAGCGTCGTCATCCTGGGCCGTCTTCACCCGTATAATATAATGATATTCGTACAGAGTAATCTGTACAGAGAGAGGTAGAGAGAGGGAGGGAGAGGCCTCCTTGTGAATATCACGTCTCAATCTCTCTGTACCTTGACCGAATTGGCCCATCATGACACCACACGTGCATCATCCAACTCTTTCCTCCATCTTTTCTTCTTCTAGTTTTCTTCTTCTGCTCTTCTTCCCAACCAGTGTTTTCTGAGCTTTGACCTGGATACTATTCACTACCCCCATGACCCTCTCTCTTCTGATTCGATATCAATCAGAAGGATACCGGCACGTGCATCTCCAGACTCTCTACGATGCCAAACTCGTGAGTGCTCGCTCGCACTCTGTAGCCTTGCACTCTGTAGATTTGCGATACTGAGTCCCGTCAAACCTATCCCGATGCGAGCTGAGAAGAGTGATATGAGGTTGGGTTGGAAGAAAAAATACGATTAACATGCTGTCCCTCTATCCCCTTCTTCTTCTTCTTCTTCTTCTTAGTAATACACGCACGCACGCACGCACGTGATCTGTCCATCTAGAATACGGAGTACGGAGTAATAGTACTCCGAGGGAAGAAAGATATGTAGAGTAATCAAGATGATCAGACCCAGAGAGGCAAATTGCGATGGAAACAAGGAGGGAGGATGGGACTTGTAAGAAGATGAAATTAAAGAAAAGGAAAGAAAAAAAAAAAGAAAAAGTTGATTACTAGTCTTTTAGACTATCCATCCACCCCACGAACGCGTCAGGAACGACGGAAACGGCTAGCTGGACGACGAGTTGCTGGGAGTCCCAGCAGCACTAGTAGTATTACGGTCTTCTACTAGTACCCGTATCCTCATCATTTATTTAACCATGACCCCCTACTCGTAATGCTACTGCAATGCCAGGACTCTGGTTAGACGGCCTAGCGGTGCCTTTCTTCTCCTCTCTCCCTCAGGAGTCGACTTGGCTTCGACGTGTGGTGCGGTGGATTGTCGCGGTGGTGCAGTAGGCAGTAGTAGTAGACTGGATCTTGAGCAGAGATTTTTTATATATATAGGTTAAATCATGTATATTAACATAGCATTACCGTTATTCCTTTTTTTTTCTTCCCTTTTTTTATTTTATTGTATATATGTAAAAGGCATAATCTACGAGAAATCAACCATGATTCGTACTCGTACGCGTAGACGCTCTTCTGAACGATGCATGGGATATTGCTAGGAGATTCTCGGGATCGGAGATGAGAACCCCGGACCCCTCTCCCCCTATGGGTGCAGTTGGTGATGTAAGGGTCGTCGTCACCCGGGCCTCCTCTCTTCTCTTGCACCTCTGACCTCTACGAGTATTACTCGCAACACACCATGCTCGTAATCCGTATACTCCTGTACGGTCCTCTACCAGTACGCATTCATTCATACTCGCGCACTACGTACCCCTTGATGAAAATTCTTCCACATCGTGGTACAGTGGTACAGTTACGAGTATATATGCATCTACTATGCATCTACTCGTGATGCCATCAAGCATCAATGACTAGGCCAGGCACAAACTTGTCGTAATGTCAACCTCGTAAATGAAAAAAAGAGACAGACATGCAGTTTCACTCACAGCTCAATAATCCCATCAGCAACACGGACTCGTACGTATTCACGCAGGTACCCGAACGTCCTTGTGCTCGTAGCATCACACCCACACACCCCCCCTCCTCCCTTTTCCCCCTCCTCCCGTGTCTCTCTCTCTCTCTCTCTCTCTCTCTCTCTCTCTCTCTCTCCCTCCAACTCTTTCTCTTCTGTATCTGTATCTGCTCCTGCTTGTCGCCATGTGGGTATCGTGAATGTCTGGACTATTACCTTGGGTCTCTACTCGTAGTGCTGCTGGTGGTAGTGCTCGTCAGTCGTAGCAGTACAAGTCGTAGCAGTACAAGTCGTAGCAGTACAAGTCGTAGCCGTACAGGTACATGGTGTAGTCGTAAACTCGCAGCCATGCTCCCAAGAGGAACGGGATGATGTCTATTGCCCGTACAGGTACGAGTATGGATACGCAAGAGTCGCATCGCCATCGTGGTTGATGGGTTAACACTCCGTACAGAAGAGTCCACCGTGCTCCGTACAGAGCAGAGTGGATATACGTAATGCTGCTCATACATGTACAAAAGTAAAAACATCATACGCGGCAATGTCAACACACCAACGCAGGTCATGACTCTCTCTCTCCTCCGTCGGTTCCTCTGTCGGTATCCTCAAAGTCTTGGAGCTCACCACCTGCAATTTCCTGAAATGGAGACGGAACGAGAGAGGCCAGAGTTTAACAAACTTGGTCCATTGTCCGGATGCGTACTTTTTTCTTTTTCTTTCTGATCTAGTATAGAATCCTGCGTCGTAGCGCTATAGTGATAACTCCGTACCTTGGGTGCCAGTAGTCGCATACTTGTACGAGTAGGCTAAAAGATAGTATCGATCGAATGGTGCCGGGCGTGAGGGAAGGGAGGGGAAGGGGGGGGGGCATTGACCCACAGCGTGCCTGAGTATGTCTCTGAATTTCTTTACGTGTCTGTCTACCTTGTATCGAGTCTAAACAAGACAGATGATGATAAAACATGTCGGTGCGAGCTGACCCTCGTTGGATTTGATTTTAATTTTTTTTTTTTCAATTTTCAATTTATTATTATTATTATCTATTTTCAAATTTCTACTTTTAATATTTCTCTCTCTCTCTCTTCGAAACAACCGAAGATGCCGGGCTGTCATCGTCACAGCGTCACGCAGTAAGCGGGGGGGGGGGGGGGGGGGGTTGAAGTGGAGGAGGGGAACAGGATAGCCCTCTTCCCTTGTCGGTTTCAAACGTTGCAGTCTGTCTGCACGTAATAACGGTTGGATGTTGGCTTATCTTCCTCTCTCCTTTTCTCCCTCTCTTCTCTTCGGCTATCTTCCTTGTCTGTTCTGCTGAGGCTTGGCTCACGTAGACGGACCGGGGTGGTGAATAACGATGCTACGTGTGAGTAGGGTGTGATGTGATTGATGATGGCCTGTGGGTGTGATGGAGGAGGAAGGGGAGGGGGCGGAGGAGGGGGGGAGGGAAATCCGTACAGTATACGTACCGTACCCGTACCCTGCTCCGTACGTGTAGACGGAATAGTGGATCCCGCACCGATTGATCCCAGCTGATGGCAGGGATCCGATGACAGGCCCAAACTCCTGGAAGCTACGGCACACTAAACCGCCTATAAAATGGAGACTTGGTAGGTCATCACAGGCTATGAGCCGTCCGTTACCCTGAGGTCCCCGCCGTGGTCCGTACAAGGACGGAAACACTTGGACGTCAAGGGACAGAACGGGCAGAACAGACACACACAAAAAAAAAAGAGGATAGACGGGCAGATAGACAGGCGGACAGTACAGAGAATGATCGGCACATGCTTGGTCTCTCTGCCCTGCCTGTCCTTGGCACCCCCTCCGTTACATGGCATATTACGCCGCATGTCACCTCAGTCAGTTCGAGGGATAATCATACCCTTCAGCATCTGACGTCGACATTGACATTGATCGAAAAAAGACTGGGAGGCAGAGGACCGAGAATTGAGAGAAAGGAAGGCGGTACCGATACGAGAGTTGGTATAAAAGAAGGGGGAGGCAAAAAAAAAAAAAAAAAAGGAAGCCGACTATTAATACATTTACGAGCCCTCCTACAGAGAGAGTACGGAGTACGGATAGCAGGTACAGATTACAGATTACAGGTAGAGGTAGACGTGATCCAGACTACGAATATCCATTCGCACAGCCCGCAGAGAAACGAGAGAAACGAGAGAAACAAGAGAAACAAGAGACCAGAGACGGTGGAGCTCGATCAAGGTGGGGAGGGGCGAGCTGGTCTTGCTTCTGCTGCTCCTTCCCTGCCCTTATCCCTGCTCTACTGCCAGTTGCCCCGGGCAGTTCCTTCCCTCTTGCGCAGTCCACACAGTCACTCTTGGCTTTCTTCCTCTCCACCCTTCCTCCTTCTTTCCTCCTCCTCCTCTCTCGTTGCGGGCACAGTCTTTCACCCTCTCAACCGCCCTCTCCCGTGTCAGGTTCGGTGGTATGGTGTTCAGTCCACTCTACCGCTACTCGAGTGCTACCGGTGGTGGGTGGTGGTGGTAATGATGGTGCGGATTAGTAGAGTACGAGCAGCAGCGGTCGACGTGATCCGCAGCGCAGCGCAGCTCATCACGTCTTCCAGAGTAATGAGATATCCGTCATCTCCTGATCAAAATAGAATACGAGCATCCGGCCCGTACATCGTACAGTAGCAGTACGAGTACGGTACCCGCATGCATGTCCCACTGCTAGTCTGTCGTAGTCTCGTAGACCTCGTAGCTGCCCTCGTAGTCTTGTCGTAGACCAGTCAACAGTTCCCTTCCCACTCGCATCCAGCTGGACCCATTGCACCTGCCAATATTATACTACATACATGTACGGGTAGCCCATAGTACCAACCACCACTCCGTACTCGCAATACCTGCCCGTACTTTCCACTTCCCTCTTCTCTTCCCTCCCACCCCCCTCCTCTTCCTCCTCCTCCTTCATCATCATCATTCCCCCCTTCCCTGTACAGGTATCTCGATATAACAATACCACCCCTCTTCTTTGTACTGTATAATCTGTACTCCTTTGTACTGCCCGTACTGCTTGTACTGGGTGAGATACTTCTACCAGTACAGATCAATACTGCTAGCGATACTACTACCAGTATGACTGAGTACTCGCCCGTACCGATATGATACTTGCACCGCTGCCCTAGCCTCTTTCCCTCTCTAGCCTGATCCCACCGATCCCTCCTCTCCAGCCTCTTCTCCTCTTCCCTCCCGAGATCCCTTCCTCTCCCCCTTCTTTCCCTCCTCTCTTGCAGTTCATCTCTACCATTTCCCCTACGAGATTCTGTATCTCGGTCCTCTTGGACCTACGTCGGGCACTTTTCTTCTTCTTTTTTCTTCTTCTCTCTAATCTGCTCTTGCCTTTTCACCTTGTCGGTGTATCCATTCCTCTTTAGAGCCTGGCCCTTTTTTTTTTTTCTTCCACTGCTCTTATCTCACAGTGGAAGGAAGAAGAAAGAAACATAATTCGACTCAGATTCAGTCATATCTCATTCCAGCGACGACATACCATCGGCACCACGAGTAACTGCTGCTACCTTCCGCTTACCCGCACGCCCTCTCTTCTCTCACTCCGGGGCCGTTGCACCCGACCGTGAGAAACGACGAGAGGCAGCAGGCCTTCTCAACATTAGCTCACACCATCGGTACCATCGATATAATATATCCCCACCGAATCTGCACTGTTTGGGCCGATAGCATACCAACAACAGCAACAATAACAACAACAACAACATTGTACACAGATCCACCCCATCTCCCCGTCCCTCCATCCCGTCCCTTCCGTCAGTCACGCGTTTCCTGAACATAGACACGGCATCTTGTCTTTTGGTCTCCTGCTCTGGCTTTTGGAGAATCCTTTCACCATACCGGGCTTTCCTTCTCGACCCTGACACACTCTCTCTTTCTGTGCTGCTGTTGCACCGCTCGCCCCTCGCCGACGCTGATTATCTGACGTTGACGCCCACCGACGGCGACGACGACGACGACGACGACGACGAGCCGTCCAAACGGCCAAGGCCATCGACTACCCAACACCGGCCCTCTATCAACCGACCTTCTCCTGGCTGATTGCCGACGCGACCGCTTAGAGAGCTTCTCTCTGTCCTTGTCTCGTTGGGGAGAAGCTGTCTGCGCCCCCGGCATATTACGCTGTCCGCTCTCATCGAGATTGCTTCCCAGGTCACGGTGCTAAGTCGGATATTCCTGGGCATGAATACGCCGCTGCAGGACTCCATCTCGACGAAATCCTAGCTACGCCTTCCTCGCGCTGCACACTCTACCCCGACTCACATCACCGCCACACATTCGCCATGGCTTCGTCGTCGCAAGCATGGGTCAGGCGTGCCGGCATCGCCGCCGTCATCATGGCCGCCTCTGTCGTCCTCGCTCCCGTCTACGCCGTAGACGTCAGTATATGTGCCTCGTTCAACACGGCCAGCACCGACAGGAGTGAGTGCTGTCCCGTCTGCCCTATTCCACCACTGTCTCGGCAGCCGAGACGCCTGACGACTGCTTACTGACCCTGCCCCAGACGTCAGCATCTACCAGAGCAACGGCCTCTGCACTAACTTTTGCAGCGCCGACTACGCCTACGCCATTACGCAGAAGAATGGCTGCTGGTGCTCCAATTACATACCTTCCGAGTCCAGCCAGGTCGACACCGACGACTGCGACACAGCATGTCCCGGCTACCCCGACGAAATGTGCGGTGGAAGCGACCTCTTTGGCTACCTTGAGCTGGACACCAACTCACCCTCGGGAACCAAGGGCCCTTCAGCAGCCTCGTCGACGACTTCTGAGGATCCCGAGACCTCTACCAGAGAGCCCGCTAAGACTTCCACTGTAAGTCCCGACCTGACCTCTCTGCCTTCCCTCGTCCCTTTCTTGGCTCTGCCTCCTTTCTCTTCTCTGCCCCTTTCCTCTCCGCTTGGCTTGGTTGGCTCCGAATCTCTTGCTCTTCTGCTTGGTCATCGTGCTTTGACTCGAACTCTTCTGTTCTTCCTTGACTTGACTCTTCTGCTCTCCTTGACTCTCTGCGACTCTTTTCTTGCTTCAGCTCGGCTTCAGTTTCATCGCCCTGTTTCTGCACCCTCTGGGCTGGTAAAATGATACCTCTCATCGCGGCCACTGGGCTGGCATGCTTGTCTTTGGTCTTGTACACAACATCGCGTTCTGTTCTTGCTGTTTTCAACCTTACCGGCGGCAACACTCGCGTTCACGACAGGAGACCCGTGACAGTGGCTAAAACAGCAAACTTTGCAGACGAGCACAGAAGAGTCAACGACAGAAGCGCCCTCGACAATGGAAGACACGGCAGAGCCAGCCTCGTCCACACCGATCCTAGCCACCACAACTGTACGGCTGATATCTACACCCTACTCTCCGCCACCCCTCTCCACCATCCCCACCTTGTCAAGATGACCATACCCCTTGCCCTCGACCCTGACACCGGCCTTGTTCACATTGACACACAAGTGTGTGCCTGGGAGCCTCTCAAGAAGCCGGGCTGAAGGGGAATCACGCCCTGCGCGCGTCTTCAGCCATGATGATCCCTGCGTGTATGTCTTGACCCCGACTGGGTAGCATCACTAACTCTGTACCAGACCTCCGATGAACCTGCGACTACGACTGCCATCCAGACCCTCACCTCCAATGGCGAGGTCAAGACGGTCACCGTCATGCCCACCTCAGACAGCGACCAGAGCAGCGATTCCTCCGACTCGGACAAGGACAAATCCGGCGGTGGCCTTGGCACCGGCGGCGTCGTCGGCATCGTTGTCGGTGTCGTCGGCGTCATCCTGATTGCCGCCGCCGCCGTCCTCTTCTGGCTCTTCAAGCGCCGCCGCGACCAGCAGGCCGGCTACAACAACGACCCCAGCGTCCACGGCTCCTCGATGCTGGGCTCTGCCCACCCCGAGATGAGCAGCTCGCCCACGTCGAACCGTAACAGCGTGCTGGCTATCGATCCGCGCATGGATCCCTTCAAGCAGGGCCTGTACATGCGCAACGGCAGCCAGGAGAGCATTGGCACTATCCGCGACGAGCATGACTATTCCAGGAGAATCCAGCCACCCAAGGTGCTACGGGCCACGAACCCGGATCCGGAGGATGCGAATTAGAAAGGTGTGCTTGACGAGCCATGAATTTCCTTCTCTCTTATTTTTTCTCTCGAACGGATACACTTTTACAAGTCCTTTTTATTTTTTTGATGTTCAAAGCGAGCCTTTTGGTAGGACCCCTTGGACAAGCTTAATGTATTTACGAAGATACCAGGGATGGCGTTTGCATGAAATGGTAACCGGGCAAATATTGAACCTGGACCCCCCCCACACCTGCACATATGGGCATATCGACTTATACTTTTGGGAGGAACAGGATATGGTGTGGAGGGTGTAGGAAATATGGAGCGGCATTTGTCTTTTTCTCTCTTGATCTTTTTATTTTATATATCGTCTCTGCTTCTTTCTGTTTTCTGGATCTGATTTCTAATATGTGTATACGTGTTTCCCCCCCTCCCCCTTCTTCTTTCGCCTCCTTTACGCCTTTTAGAAAAGCAAAGCAAAGCAGCATGCAGCGGTATATATATATATATTTACTTGGCCTTGCCGTATCCTTGCTTCCTGTGAATCATACGACTCTGTATAAGACTGAGTTGGTGGCTGCTGCATCTTGGGCTCTGGCAGCACTACGGGGGACTGTCCTCGCTCAGTTCATACGGTTCTTTGTGGAGTGATGGGGGTATAGAGAAGGATGAGATGTTATATATATACATCTATCTATCTATATATATACATCTATATATACATCCATCTATATATATATATACATCTATATATATATACATCTACATTTTATATGCGTCTAGAGCGACTCTACCAGGGCTAGGTGACTGTCCTCACTTATGCTCGCATTCAACAGGTAATAATAGATGAAACGACGGTTCATTTTTAATTATGATACAAAAAAAAAAAGGACGTAAGAAACACACACACACACACACGCAAAAAAAAAAAAAAAATAGGAAGAAAGAAAAAAAGGTAGAAAAAAAAAGAAAGGAAAAAGGGAAAAAATAATAATCAAACAAATCGGGGTTTTTTTTATAGATAACAAAAGCACTTCAACGCCTCTGCCTTTTATCCCTCTCGTGACCATTCGCATCCTCGCTCCTCCTCTTCCTACCACGGTAATCATCCCTCCTACTACTACCGTGGTGATCATCCTTGCCACCTGTTCTACCCAGCATGGGTTCCCTCCCTTGTCCGCCCTGAGCAGAATGTGGTGGACCCATTGACTCTGAGGACGGTAGCGGTGGCGGCGGCGGCGGCGGCGGCGCGCCGCGTCTTCTTGACGATTCGCGGTCTGCAGCTGCGCCCGAGCCCGACTCTGAAGCCCGACGGTCGCGGTAGTCGCGTTCCCGGTGGTGATCCTTGTTTGAGCTTCTGTCACGGCTAGACCGACGGGACGAACGACGATCCGAACGCGATTCGCGGTCCCGACTGCCCCGGGTGAAATCTTCGCTGGAAAGCGTTGGTGCTGCTGCTGCCGTGGGCGACCCGCCAGTCAGGATTTGGATGTCCGAGTTGCCTAGTGTTGAGCGTCCGCTGCGACGGCTGCTGCTGCCACCACTACTGCGAGCCGTTTCGGCCGGTCGGTTCGCCTGTAGCATGTTGTTTATACCTGCTAGTTGACGTTTGCTCCCGCCCGAGCGGCCGCGTTCCGTCGCCGTCTCCGGTGCAGACGGCGTGCTGGGGGCCGGACGGGTGTCGTTGCTGCTGCGAGATGACCGGTCGGGTGCGCTCGAGGACGGCGGCGTGGGTGCGTTGCGGCTGTTGTCGCCGCCGCCGCCGCCGCCCAGCTGCGCAAGCCGGTCTGGGTGCACGCCTGCCGCTGGTGCCGCGTGTGCCTCGCTGGAGGTGTTGTTCAGGTTGCGCACGCGTTCCGGCTGCACAGCGTTGGCGGAGCTGGCCGGCGTGGATGGCCCGGGTGGTCCGGGCTCGTAGCCTCGCCGACTGCTTGCGCGTCCAGACGGTCCCGTCGGAGGCTGTCGCTCTGTAGGCTGGGGCGAGGGCATCCTCTGCGACGAAGAGCTTCCGAAGCCCGGTGCGTACCGTCCGCTGCTGTTGTCCGGTGGGCCGGGAGGCATGGGCCCGTGCGCACGGGCTCCGCGTCCTCGACCGCGAGGACCAGACGGGATCTCGCCTGTCGTCGCCGTCAACTGGATGGGGTTGAGGCGTCCGTAGTTCTGGTCCTCGTGTTGCCCAGCGCGGTGGTCATAGTCTGGTCCGTCTCTAGGAAAGGGAGGATCCCTAGCGCTGCCCTTGTCCGGCAGAGGTGCACCGCCGCGGTCGCCTTCCCTGTAGTTTCTGGGAGCGTGGGGAGACCGCTCGCGCGGCTGCCGACCTCCTGAGCGCCCGTCGGCTGGGTGAGGACGAGAAGGTGGCCTAGCGTGGTCCTGATCGCTTCCTTCCGGGTACCGGCCGCCAGACCGTCGAGGGGAGCTGGTTCGTGGTGTTCTGTCCCGGGCCATCTCCCTGGCCATCTCCCTCGGTCCGCGGCTAGGCGTGTTGTCGGCGCCCTCGCCAACAAGGCCTGGTCGGGCCGGGTTGACGTTGTCGGGCGTGTCGTTGTGCGGCGGCGGCCGACGGCCTCTCACGTTAGGAGATTCCGTGTCCCTGACCGCTGACCTTGGCGGGCGGTCCTGCCCTTCTTGCCGGAAGAGTGCCGCCCTCTCAGGGTTCATCGAGGGCTCCTGTCCAGCTGAGCCTGAATTCGCACCTGATGAGGGAGTACCGTGGTCGTTGGCGCGGTTGTCGCGCTGTGGCCGTTCCCTGCCTGCAGCAGCAGCGGGAGCAGCAGCGGGAGCGGGAGCAGCAGTGGGAGCGGGAGCAGCAGCGGGAGCAGCAGCGGGAGCAGCAGCGGAAGCAGAAGCGCTGGAGCGTGAGGCGTCGCGGTCGCCGCCTCCCTCGGGAGCTCCCCGGCGGTCAGAGTGATCACGATTCCTATCGTTCCACTCCACGTCACCGTGCCAGCCTTCGCGGGGATCGCGGTGGGGCTGCTGCTCACGACCGTCACGCGGATCACGGGTCTCGCGCTCGCGAGCATCCCGCGGACCACGAACGTCACGGCGGTCAGTGGTCCGTTGCTGGCCGTGGGGGTACCGTTCAGAATAGTGGCCCGGGATGGGGACATCGGGACGGATAGGGAGGTTGTGCGGCGGACGGTCGGGAAGCGTGCTAGACCGGGCTTCGGCCTTGCCCTGGCTTGCGGACGGGCCCTGCTTAGGTGTCGATGACCGCGTGGGTATGTTGATCGGTGCGCTTCCTTCCCTCGGACCGGTAGGCAACGACGTGACCGACTTGTGGGGGTGAGCGTCGGACGACGATGTCGTCTCCCCAGATCCCGCGGTCGTCTCCGTCGGCTTCGTCTCAACCGGCTTCGCCTTGGCACCGTCCGGGACTTCCCCATCTTCTTCGTCGGCAGCGGCCGCAGGCTTATCAGTGTCCGGCCTAGTTACGCAGTTAGGGCCATGTACATGGACAAGGGTATACGAGCGAGATGAGCATAGCGACTTACTTTGGCTTGAACTCGGGCGCCGTCGGCCGCAGGTCCGTCCTGTCTGCCACCTTATGGAACGCACCGCCCTTCGAAGACATGTCAGCAACGGAGGTAGTGGAAAGAACAGGGTCAAAGAATCGAGAAGCTTACTATGCTGGGTCTGAACGCCTGCACCATCATCCACTTGGCCTTCCTCCTCTGCAGCTCAGACAGAGCACCCTGGGCAGCCACGCTGAGATCCACACGGTGGGCCTCCTCGCTCTCGATGCCCGTCTTGGAAGCGGCCTCCTTGCGCGAAATCTCCTGCAGCTGGGTCGAGAACTGCTTGCCCATGAAGTCGATGACGGGAAACGAGTCGAGTATGGTGCGCAGGACAGTGATGGCGTTCCGGATATGCATCCATTCCGTACCCCCTAGGCAAGACTTGAGTGCCATGTTCAGGTTCTTGTGCCAGCTGAAGAGCAAGTTCTGGAACTCTGGGTGTTCGACAAACGTCTGGGGCTTGCCATTTTCGTCCGTCGTCAACGCGAAACCAAGGCGAGGCTGTTCTGCTGTGCCCTTGCCTTCCTTGTCGTAGGCACCGAGGCGCGGCTGCTGCTGCTGCTGATCCTTGGCAGGAGAAGTTGTCTTCTTGTTGTTGTTGGGATTGGCGGTGCTGTTGTCCGATAGAGAGACAGGCTCATTCTTGTGCCACCTCAGCAGATCCTCTAGGATGAGCTTGAAGAAGCGGCCCAGGTTCTCCACCTCTCGTACAGACGCCGCAAATATCAGGAGACGCAGACGATTGGCGTTGAACAGCCTGTCATACAGAGCCTTGAGCTTGAAACCTGGGGCATTCCACTCATGCAGCGACTTGATAAACTTGAAGGTGTACTCGGCATCAGCCGGCGAGATGAGCACTCGGGGGATGAAGCAGTGCTCCAGCAGCGTATCGGCAATGCTCTCGGGGCTCGCACGGGGCTCCGGGAATGCACTCTGGAACTGTTTCGACAGGTGGAACTTCCACTTGGCCTGGCGCAGCATGTGCTCGCCGCACTCCTCGGACAGATCGATTTGGAGCTGCATGAGCTCTTTCCTCTTCTCCATCTTGCGCTCCTGACCCTTCCTGCTCATGTCTGTCCTGTCGCGGGCAACGGCCGCCTCCTCCGACTTCAGACGGTTGGTCTCCTGCCGGTAAATCTTGTCTGGGCAGAACAGGTCGCCCAGCTGGAGGGCCCAGAAGGTGACGTAGACATCTGGGCTGATTTTGGCCCATATCTCAGGCGGCATGCTTGCCTGGACTGACTCGACGATGGGGTTGAGCGCTGCGCGGATGAGCGACGGGTCATCGTTCTTCTGCGATACGGTCAGCTCTTCGTTCACACTTCTGGGGCGGATGGGCGATGTATTGTGCATGTGTAGATAGAGATAGGGATAGATTAGTACGACTCACCTGAACTTCGGTGACCTCGGGCTCTCGCGCCGAAACGTCAGGTGTGCCTTCGGTCGGCGGGACATCGGACATGGCGACATCCCCATCCGGCGTGAGCTTCTCCGGCTGGTCCTTGGATTCGGTAGGCTCCTTTGTCTTCCAGGGGAGCATGCGGTGGGACAGGCTGGGCCTGCCGATGAGGAAGGCGAGACCCGCCTCTAGGCCAAAGGTGGTCATGAGTTCGGGGATAGACGGGACTATCTTCTCAAAGGTGGCGTGGTCGAGGTTGCTCCAGAGGAAGTCGAGGTACTGGGTAAGGATGCGGTGTGAGTCGTCAACAATGGATGAGAGGAGCTTGATGTGGGCCTCGCCATCGTCGACCTTGAAGAGCGCGGCCTGGCGGTACTGGGCGAGGTTGAGCAGGATCTGGGCGGCCAGCTCGGTGTCGGCGAGGGACCGGATAAGGCGCTGAGAGCTGCGGATGTTCTCGAAGCGCTTGTCCTGGCCCCGGATGAGGGTTTGCCGGCGGAGATACTCGCCTCCCGTCATGGCGAGCACCTGTTGGTCAGTGAAGTCGCCCGAGTCCACGATGCCGCCCATGGATGTGATGAACTCCCTGAGGATGATCAGGTCGGTCGAGTTGCCTCGGAGCAGCTGCTCGTTGACGTAGTTGAGCACCGGGACGGGCGTGAGCACCGAGTAGCGACGATACACCTTGCCGACGAAGCGGGACAGCGCCTGCAGCCACTTGCTCGTGGTGAGCGCGTGGTCGGCCTGGGTGCGGCTTCGCGACTTTCCGAGCGAGTTGAGCAGCGACCAGACGAGGACGTCGTACGACAAATTGGTGAAGTACTTGGCACATTCGACAAAGGCTTCGATCAGGTTGGGATACGACTCGAGCTGCTCAAACGCCACGCTGAAGACGATGCCGGGGGACGAGAAGGACGTCTTGGCCAAGCGCTTAGCCATCTCGCTCAGGTTGGTCAACGAGACACGCTTCATCGTGGCGCGCGTCTCGGCTTGTGCACGGGAGAAAGCCGACTTCATGGCGGGCAGACGCGAGATCTGGCCCTCGAACCACTCGGCGTAGAGGGCGAAACGGACCGTGGTCGGGTAGCGGCGAAGGATGTTCCAGACGGCATCGACAGCCGACGTGTTGGCCTTTGTGTGGCTCAGGGCGGGCAGGAGGAGGCGCTTGAGCAGCTCCCTCCAGCGCGTCATGTTGCTGTCCGACGAGTCCTGGTACAGGCTCTTGGCGCCGATGGTGGCAATCTTGGTGACCAGAGCGGCGTCCCGGCCAATGTTGACGCCCGAGATGTTGAGAAACGTATCGCATAGGGTGAAGAGGTCGTCGATGGTCTGGCACACGGGGACGTTGTCGGTCCATTCATCCCAGTAGTAACGGTAGTCCTGGGTCTCGTTGTGGTCCAGCTTGTCGGCAGTAGGCCAGCGAAGGACCTTCTTGGTAGTCATGCGAGTGAGTCGGACGCTGCCCTTGGGCAGGCCGGACTGGTCGTAATCGGCCACGTTCTTCATGGGACACTCGGTGGAGATGACGGCCACGGGTCGCGACTCGGCGTACAGCTTGCTCACACACACGTGCAAGATGCGGTGGATGCAGTCCAGGACCTCGGGAAACGCCTCGGGGATCCAGGGGAAGCGGCCGAGGATGAATAAGGATTCGGGAAGGGCGCCAATGGTGAGGAGCTGGATGAGGAGCGAAACTTTTTGCTCGTGCGGCTCGTCTCCCTTGGCGGTAGCCGCCGCCTCGGCAGCCTCCTGCTTCTTCTCTGCTTCGGTCTTCTTGACGGCCTCCTTACGCGGTGCGCTGACAGCGTTGGGGTTGTCGTCGTCACCTTGGGGCAGGACGCCAGCCATGAGAAGGGCGTTTGCCTGTCCGCCACCGCGAGCCTTCCTCTCGGCCTCTTCAATCTCCTCCATCTTCTTCTCGCGAACCTTTTCCATCTTGTCATCATCGGGAGAGAGGTGCGGGTAGAGATCGGGGAGGGAGATGAAGCCGATCTTGATCAACAGAGCCGCAAGGTAGAGAAGGTTGGCGGGCAGGACATCACTAGGGTCCCGGAGATTGGAATGGTAGAAGAGGAGCTTGAAGCCGAGGAGGTGGGCAGCCACATGGTTGCCGCTGGGGGGCAGGGATTTTGTAATGTCCATCCACTGCCTCTCGGCTTCTGCGCCGGGATCGGTAGGGTCGGCTCCGTTGGTGGCGCCATTCTCGATGGCAGACGCGGTGAGTTGCCTACCACCGAGCTCGAAGAAGGCGGTCAGGTGCACCTTGCGGGCGCGATCCCAGAATGCAACATCGCGGGCACGCTTGTTGCTGATATTGGCAGCCTCGTCCTCTTCCGTCGTTGTCCACTGAGGGTAGCCGGGGGTAGCCCAGGTGGGCAGACCGCCGACAAAGGGACACTCGGGCGACTTGGGAGCTGGACGCGGCCACCACGAGCTGACGCGGAGCAGTTTGACGAAGAACTTGAACTGCTTGACGAGGACTGCAGCCGACACGTCGAGCGTGACATCCAGGACCCTGCCAACATCGAGGTCAAAGGTTCCGATGAGGCCCTTGATGCGCTCGAAGATCTCCTGAGGCACGTCGGGGTGCAGGGCATCGCTGGTCATGTACAGTTCGGTGATGAGTTTCGAGTAGCCCTCGGTCTCCTCGCGGAGCAGGTTGTAGTTTGCCTGTCGGTAGAGGAGGTTTGTGGCCTGACGCACGCCGACGCGGATGAAGTGGTCCCTGACCAGGCCAAGCTGCTGTAGGACGGGGGCATCAAGGTACTGCCGTATCAGTGCCACCGACACGCCAGTCTCCAGCAGGAAGGTGCGCAGCGAGGGATGGAACTTGTTGGTGTTGGTATCGAGGATGAGGGCCAGTGAGTCAATTAGGAGGGCATGAGGGGCGAAGAAGGGACCCTTAGCCTTGTCCTCGGCATCGGGACCCAGTATCTCCTTGACACAGGCACCCGCGTCCTTGGCATCCATCCGCCTCTCAACGACGGCATGGATAAACTCTTGAACGATGGTAGAGAGCTCCGTGATGTCGAGATCTTGACGAGACTGGCATCCATGAGCAATGACCTCGTCGCGTCCGCCGGCGGCCCACTTGCTGAGCCTCTCCTCGGAGAGATGCTCGTAGTAACGGCCGGATAGGGTGGGAGGTTCTTGTGCCGTCGACGCTTGTACCGGTGCCGGTTGTCTCGTCGGTGCTTGGGGGGGGACGGGACGGCTTTCAGCTGTCGCGATTCTCGACTGCGGAGAAGGGGAGCCGTTGTGCATGTCGTAGACGCGTCGTCCGGCCTGGTTCGTAGGTGAGTCCGTATGATTGCCGTTGTTGGGGGCACCTCGCTGGATGCCTCGTCCACGGCCTCGGCCGGCGGGATCGTCTCTATCGTACTGAGCCATGGATGATGTATCACCAGGTCGGTGCGGTGAAGGTCGGCCAGCATCGCTCGGGGCCCGTTCAGGACGCTTTCGCTTCGGAGGCATGGCTCGCGAAAGTAGTCGCAGGTCCTTCTATTTCATTTGGGGAGTGGTTGATGGACGATTGATTGGACAAAGTCGTCGTGGGTCAAAGCTAGTGGTCTGGACCTTGTCAGCAGACAAAGACGACGAGAGATGAATAGGCCATGAATGACGAGCTAAGGAGTGGGCGTCGAACAAACAATGGGAGAGTCGATTGCCCTGCGGACGGGTGAGTGTTGCCGAGTCAGAGAGGACGGAGAAAAAGGACTGGTTGAAGAGATTGCTCGTCCGCAACCCTTGGTCATGAAGTTTGCAGGGATATAGCAAACAGAGATGATGCGACTGCGCAGCAAAGACAAAGAGAACAAAGAAAAAGGCCGAGAGAGGGGGGAAAAGGGGTATCCAGGCTGAACAATGGCTAGGGAGAGAATTAGGAATAGAAACGTAGAGAACAGAAGGCGACAAGTGCACGTCGTTGTCCTCCAAAAATGACGAAACGCGTAGGAGTGCAAAAGTCGAGAGTTTGATGCGCGCGTAGCAAACAGTCTAGCTTTCACGATGCCAGGCAAACATGAGGCTTGGCCCGATTACTGGGGAGTTCGTGATTACATAATGATGTGGCTAGAGGTACCACTATAACATGTAAAATGTCTTCCGTAGTGGTTCTGACCTCTAATAAGTGGCTGAACAGAGCCGTATGTGGCTCAGCTAAGCTGTGGCTTGTTTCTTGTTTTTGGCCGAACATGACTGACTCATGAACCACGCACGTCCGAAAATCGCCACGATAAGCGTCTTTTGCCGCAGAAACGAGATTTTGTTAAGAAAGGAAAAATAGCCATTGATGCTAATTCCAACTTTGGCTGTGATGAATCTTGGAGAGGTTTGTTTCAACCCGACTACTATATATATGTATATAGATTGCATTCGCTTGTGAGTTTTGGTTGTTTTCCCTCCCTCAACCTACAATCTACTGCTATTACCAGTAACACTCTACTAATACTAGCTGTATTTTTTACCCCACCACTCTTTGGCAAGTTTCTGCATCTTTCTTCGTCTTTGCCCCTCGGTACAACGGCATCGCTAAATCGGGCCACTCTTCGAAGTTCAACATACGATATTGCACACCAAAACAAGAGACACTTGACCGTCATGGCCTCAGAAACGGCCGCGAATGGCGTCTATAGATACGGTCAGTTCGCCCCTCCCCGGGTCACAGCCCGATATCGGGTGTTGCCAAGAGGGTCGAAAACGAAGGAGTGAAGGGGAGGGAGAGAGAGAGAGAGAGAGAGAGAGACGGTGACTGAATACCTGCAAGAAAGGACTCAATCGCAACCCGAGAACCCGTACGCTGCTCTCATTCCCGAGCAGCAAATTGCCATCATCCCCGACTTCACCCTCGAGTCCGGCGTGGTCCTGTACAATGTTCCCGTGGCCTACACGACGCGGGGCCAGCTGTCGGCCTCGGGTGACAACGCCATGGTCATCTGCCACGCTCTCACTGGTAGCGCCGACGTGAGCGACTGGTGGGGTCCTCTGCTAGGCGGGCCCGGCAAGGTCTTTGATGAGACGCGCTTCTTCATCGTCTGCATGAACAGCCTGGGCAGCCCCTACGGCACCGCCAGTCCCGTCACGGCCAAGGACGGTGACCCTTCTAAGGGGAACTACGGTCCCGAGTTTCCCCTCACCACCATCCGAGATGATGTCAAGTAAGATGTTCTCATCTCTGCACTCACCTCATCACAGAGCGAGAGGGAAAGAGATATAGGGAGAGAGAGAGGAGAGAGAGAGAGGAGAGAGAGATATATATATATACTGACCAAAAAAAGCCTTCACAAACTACTCCTCGACGACCTGGGCGTCAAACAAATCGCAGCCGTGGTCGGCGGCTCCCTAGGCGGCATGTTCGTCCTGGAATGGGCCTATCTGGGCAAGGAGTACGTGCGCAGCATCGTGCCCATCGCCACGTCTAGCCGCCACAGCGCCTGGGGCATCAGCTGGGGCGAGGCCCAGCGTCAGAGTATATACGCCGATCCCAAGTACGACGACGGGTACTACACCTTTGACGACCCGCCGACAACGGGGCTGGGCGCCGCCCGCATGTCCGCCCTCCTGACGTACCGCAGCCGCAACTCCTTCGAGTCCCGCTTCGGCCGCAACACGCCCGACCCGGCCAAGGTCCAGACCATAAGCGGCCGGCCCCGTCCCTCCCCCTCCACGCCATCCGAGGCCCACTTCAACATCCACAACGACGGTCACCACGTCAAGCGGTCCTCCACGTCCCGCTCCAGCAGCGCCGCCAGCCTCCCAGCCACCTCGGCGGCCGCCGCCGCTGCGACAGCTGCAGCTCTGGCCGAGCAGTCCTCCGACCCTCAATTCCACGGCCCCCCCCAGCAGAAGAAGGGTGCTGCTGCTGCTGCTGCTGTCAGCGCCGCCGGCGGTGGCAGCCTCACCGGAGGCGAATCCCTCCCCACGTCGACCTACTTCTCCGCCCAGTCGTACCTCCGCTACCAGGGCACCAAGTTCGTCAAGCGCTTCGACAGCAACTGCTACATCGCCATGACCCGCAAGCTGGACACCCACGACGTGTCGCGCAACCGCGCGTCCACCGTCGCCGACGCCCTCGGCATGATCGAACAGCCCACCCTCGTCCTGGGCATAGAATCCGACGGGCTCTTCACCTTTGCCGAGCAGCAGGAGATTGCCGAGCACGTCAAGGGCGCCAGGCTCGAGCGCATCGACAGCCCCGAGGGCCACGACGCCTTCCTCCTCCAGTTCGAGCAGGTCAACCGCTACGTCCTCGCCTTCCTAAAGGACGTCCTCCCCGATATCATGGGTAAGGGCGCCCAGGCCCCCGAGGCCGTCCCCGTCGGCAAGATTACAAAGTCGAGCGCCTTTGGCGAGGCAGAGGTTGAGGATATCACGGCTTGGTAGAAGATGTACAGCGGCTAATGGAACAAAACTTGGATGCCTTCAAATATAAGCACTATCAGCCAGTACGACACAAACTATACGACACAAGTTGTAGGGAACAAGTGATGAAGATGAGACAAGAAATGATGGCAGACGAAAGGGACTTACACAAACGAACAGAGCGTAGGAACCGGATCCCACGCCGCATGCCCATGCACCTGTTCCTTGCAACGCAAGATTGAGTGTGGCCCAGTCATCACCGTGCCATCATGCCACTGTCACTCTACGGGGCAGCCTACTTGCCGCAATGGCGAGGTGCGGGGACGAGCCCTCCCCCACTCGTCAATGTGTCATAGCCAGGCGCAATTTGCTACTACAGTAGATACAAATACATTTCGTGTACAAGGGGTAATGGTATCATTCATTGATCTTTGTTATCATCGACCCATCAGGTGACGGTTCGTGTCATTTTGAGCTCCCATCTACCCATTGTCTCGTAGAAGCGCCTACTTACGGAGGATGACCTTGTGAGCAGCACTCTTCTCGGCCTCGGTGTTCCAGATGTTGATGCTCCACTTGGGTTTGTCTGCGTAAAGTCAGCGACTGTCATGAAATGGACATGGAAGGAATGAAGCAGTGGTCGGAGAAAGAAAAAGAAGGCGACGGAGAAATATGCTTACAGCCAACGGGGACGTTGAAACGGTGAGGGTTCTCGCCAAGCTTGTCGAGGGCCTTGATGGCCTCGTCGTCGATCTCAATCTCCAGGAAGTTGCTGCGGATGCGCGAGGGCGTGACCGACTTGGGGATGACACTGCGGCCACCAATCTGAGACCAGGCGAGGATGACTTGAGCGGGTGTGACCTGGCCCTGGGCCTTGGAGAGGCGGTCGGCAATGGCCTTGAGCTCATCCGACGCGATGAGGAGAGGAGCGCCAATGGTGTTGTTGCCAAAGGCCGAGTATCCGGTGATGTGGATGCCCTTCTTGTCGGCGTACTCCAGGAGCTCGGTGCCGGGAAGGCGGGGGTGGCGCTCGATCTGGTTGACGGCGGGGACGACGCCAGTGTCGTTGATAATGGTCTCGAGCTATGCGGGTGTTAGAAGGGAGCGGGAAGAGTGGGGCCGATGCTGTGGGATCGTGCAGAGAGCGGATGACGACTTACGTGCTCAATGTCAAAGTTGGAGACACCAATGGCCTTGACCTTGGACTTGGGAAGGTCAATAAGAGCTGTAAGGACGACGACGTGTTAGCGTGATTGCTGTCATGAGATGGCGCAAGACATCACGAGGTCTATCGTACCCTTCCACGTGTCGGTCAGAGTAACACTGTCGTCAATCTCGACCTCGGAGTCATTCTTCTTGGGGAAGAGGCTGTCGTCGCTGGGGACGAAGGTGACGGGCCAGTGGATGAGGTAAAGCTGGAAATGCTGTTAACTCGAGGGTGTCTCTTTTCTTCTTCTTTTTTTTTTTCGAAGGGGGGAATGCTTGGGAGCACAAGGACAAAACATACGTCGAGGTAGTCGAGCTCGAGCTCGGCGAGGGTGTCGTCGAGGGCAGCAGCGACGCGGCTGGGGTGGTGGCTGTTGTTCCAGAGCTTGGAAGTGATGAAGATATCTTCACGCTTGAGGCCAGGAATCTCGGAAATGGCCTGCTTGATGCCCTGGGCAACCTCCTTCTGGTTCTGGTAGACCTTGGCCAGGTCGAGGTGGCGGTAACCGGCCTTGAGGGCCTCGTAGACGCCGGCACCGACCTCACCAGGGGCGGACTGCCAGGTACCGTATCCCAGAGTAGGGATCTTGGCACCGGTGTTGAGGGTGGCCGTCTTACCGAGAGACATGGTGGATGACGGTTTGTATGTATTGTGTTATGGACTGGGGTATCTGGTCTGTGGGTGGGGGGAAGGGAAGTATTGATGGGTGTGGTGATGGTTGGGAATATGGAGAAGGGAAGAAGATGGAGGAGGGGGATGAGGGGAAGAGAGAGAGGAGGAGGTTCCAGTTCACTTATAGGGGAAAGACACGGCGAGACAGGGCAGGAACGGCCGACAGCTTCGAGATGGCTGCCCCACCAAGTCGCGGGGGGAAGATGGTGAGGGGCGATGATACAATTGTGCGCTACGTTTTGTTCACCTGCCCCCCTGCTCTAACGCCTCGACTAGCATCGGTAGGACTACGCTGACGATTGCTATGGCATGTCCGGTCGAGATTTTACGGGGCTAGTGAGGGAGTTTCGGGGGTTTGGGCGAGAAAGAAGGAGATGGAAGCAGTCGCTCGCCGACGACGACACGCATTGCGAGTAGTAGAGAGGGAAAGCCGTCACGCACACAGCAAGGTGGGGTGAGGGGCATCCTTGGTGGACAGGTATCCGATATTCGACCGGGTCTCGCTTCATTGTGCCGCGAAGCGTCGTGGAGTGTTGCCGTTGAGATATCGATAAGCCATACTGTCGGTAGTGGTCACGTACTGATGGACGGAATAATTCTCTCGGGAGATTATTGTTCAGCTGCGCATATTCACAGAGGGAGAGGCCATATCCTGGTGGTGCTCCGCTGCTTCGCTGTTCGGAGAAGACATCCCATCTCACTGTCCAGCATCTGAGCTTTTCGACACGCTCCCCGCTTACGTAGGTGCGTGGCGATGGGGTTCCGGTGTGGAGCTTGATGGTGTAACAGCGAACACACACGTTGGCTGTTGGCATGTCGTGCGTTCTGAGCTCGATGATTGGAGCGGATCCGTTTGGGTGATTGACCAGTTCAGTTGTTGCTGTCGCTGAGCTACGTAGATTCCACGCGTGTGGTACCTGTGTCAGTGCGGCTGATGCCAACACCAGCAGTGAAGGTCAGCGGTGGAGGAGACGGCGGCATGCAGCGTTGTTATCTAAGCATCAGGGGGTAGACGAGTGCTCGTGGACTGCTACTACTACTGTTGGAATACTGAGCAAGTATCATCACGTCGACTCGTGGCAGGGGGATTACCTATAGTAGTATTACCGCTTACAGCACTCGACAGTACATGTAGCGAGGAGACGTGCTATCCTATCCGGTCGTCATCATGGGGTTCTGGAGCTGTTCGGCATGCTTGTGGCTGACGCTCGACCTGACGTGGCTAGTATAGGTAGATGGGGTTGGAGCTTCTTTACCTGCCACTCTGCGAGTACTGATCATTTCCATCACTGCTGTTGGCAAGATGATTTCCTCACATGTACTATTACCAATACTAATACGAGTATGTAATTTCGTCTTGGAATCTCCACACTGCCGTGTACAGCATATATAGGCACTGGGAACGTGAGTGGAGTATAGGTGCTACCGTGGTTCATATGTACATACACGTATATGTGTATGGCAGTTAGACGTTGTGCTCTGTACGTAAGCTGTCAGTCGACGAGGAGCCGATATCGTGTATTGATGGGATCCGTCTATGCGACCTATCTCGTTTAACATGTTCCTCGACAGCTGTGATGGTTGGCAAAGGCTGACAGCTCTTGGCAGCTGTTGGAAGCCCGCACACATTCTGCTTCTCGCCTTGTCAAATACTACGAGTATTGCAGGGCAATACCAATAGTAGTATTACTACTCCGTATATGGGCTCGGTTTCTTATAGATTGCCAGCCTACAAGCAAGTACTAGTACCATATGTACAGCTTCCGAGACGAGACTATCAAGGTGACAGTTATGCTTCGCCTCATTCTTTTTACTCGAGAGTATTGAAAACGTGTACAGATCAACATCATCCGAGATCAATAACGTAGCTCGAATGTATAATACTGTAATCTGTACACATGTACGAGTAGGTAGAGAGATTTCGACGGCATTTGCTGGTGCAACGCCACACCAGCAACACGGACCACCATGGCCCGATGGATAGTTCTACCGTGAGGCATTTTCCCCACGCAATACGGGGTAATACATAAAATAAGGTGTTGCCAGTTGGGCCATGGCGAAATCATAGCGTCACCTGTAGCCTGTAGCCTGTAGTCTGTAGCCTGTAGCCTGTAGCCTGTAGCCTGTAGCCTGTAGGGGGTATCCCCGCTCGTCTGCTACGAATAGAGGAAGGGGGGCCGAGCTTGGAGGGTGTGAGGAGGGGCTCCGCATCGGTTCTGACCAGCTTTGTGTACTATGACCATGGAAGAAGAATAGAACAATCTAATCTACATTATTACGTAGTCAATTATATATTATATGTGAGTACTCTATACCGTAATACGGCGTAATACTCTCCGCCCTCTCTTATTTCTTTTCGTCTAATCTGTATAATCTGTACTCCGTACTTATAGCCAAGCCGAATAAACCAATCATCCACACCACCGTCTCCTCTTTCGGAAGCAACAACTGTACAGCAAGACCTGTTACTTGACACTGGGAGCAGTCCGAACCCATATTACGTGTAGAGCCGATACAGAAGCAGATAGTCTCTATAGATAAACCTGAGAGCATCATTTTTTGCAAGGAGAGCCTGTTAAAATAATATTACCACTCATTCAGCACATGCCATAGAAGAGAAAAAAACAGGTGAAAAAGAAAAAGGAGAAAAAAAAAAGGGAAAAAGAGTACACATGTGGCAAGAGACAACGAATAATGAGCCCTGATTGGGTAGATGAAGCCGAACACGCCTACCCAAGTCCAGAACCAATCGAAGGGTTTTTTTAGACTCTGCATCGCTTCTACGGGCGGGATTAGACTTGTTGGTTGTTGGTACTGCCGCTTGTACTGCCGGATCGGCCATGCCGAGAGACAAAAAATCATTGATCAAAGTCGTCAGAGAGAGGGAAGAAGAAGAAAAGAAAAGGAGAAGAGACATGCCGCCTCTTCTCCTTCCTCTTGCCCTCTTCGCTCACTCCGACCCCCCCTCCTCGGAGACGGATGAACGTTGTTGTCTGTGTTGCACATGTGCTCTACCCTACCCTCCTTGCCTCCATCCCATCCTCCCCCCCCCCCTTCAGATAAGCAACATCAAACTCGTACTGGGTGTCTTTGATGAGGCGCAACGCTAAAATGTAACATGACCAAAAAGAAATATAGCATATGTTCAGATCTATGTACGGTGAGCATGGGGGAATCAAGCCTCTTTTTTTCGGCCTGACCACCCGCATTGGTTGAATCTACCAGGATCTGATAAAATTTGCACCAGGAGTCCTTTTGCAAACTTTGTTTCTCTGCGGAAAAGATTGAAAATTCATTCTGCTCCTCCTTGCTCCTCTTGCTTTTTATCAATCTGCGGCGAGATCCTTTTCATGCACGGGACCCCGTCTTTTGTCGTACCCGCCCCATTCCCTCTACATGTATTAATATATCTACTATATATTCATGTATACATGGTCAATCAGCCGTAAGCGCTCATTAGGGTGTCGTTAGCTTATTAGTATATAAGATATATATATAATGAAAAAATAGAAAAAGCGATTACACTCCCATGACACACTCCTTCCTTCCTTATTTCCCCTTCTTTATTCCCTTACCGTAGCTCCTTCCCTTTTTATTTTATTCTTATTTCCATCTCCCCCCTCCCTTGCATCCTTTCCTTCCTTCTTCTTCTCCGCTTCCTTCCTTCCTTCTTTTTTTTCTTCGTCTCCTTCTTCTCCTTCTTTCCTCCATCATACTTTTTTTTTTTAGTTCCCCATGAGCGCCACTCGTGGACTATAGTAGATCATCACCAGCCACTATTACCACTTTTCTTCCACCCCCAAGCCACACACACAGTAACAATGTCCAACCACGAAAAGAGACTTGATGGCGGGTCTCGTGTGGCGGATGCTCCTGCCGGGGCAGTTGGAGAAGAAGACGATAACAACATCAACAATGTCAATGTCAACGGTGGACGTGGTGGCCTGGCACCCGGTGCGACGGCGGCCGACGCCGTGCGCAACATCAAGTCCCCCGGTGTGCAGCGCATCGAAGCCATCTCGTCCGTCATCACGCGCGCGGACCGCGTAGGCATCTTCTTCGGCGTCTTCCTGGTGGCGTACGCATACGGTCTGGACGGCACGCTCCGCTACTCGTACCAGCCCACGGCCACGTCCGGCATGGGCCAGCACTCGCTCACGTCGACGGTGGCCGTCATGAGGGCCGTCATCGGCGCGGCGGCCCAGCCCACGGCCGGCAAGATCGCCGACGTCTTCGGCCGCGTCGAGGTGCTCATCGGCGCCACCCTATTCTACCTGCTCGGCACCATCGTGTCGGCTGTGGCCAAGGACGTCGTCACCCTCGCGGCCGGCACGGCCATCTACCAGGTCGGCTACACCGTCATCGTGCTCCTGGTCGAGGTTCTCATCGCCGACATCACGTCGACGCGCGCCCGTGTCTTCTTCTCCTACATCCCCGCCCTGCCCTTCATCATCAACACCTGGGTCAGCGGCAACATCGCCACCGACGTCCTCGCCGCCGCCGGATGGCGCTGGGGCTACGGCATGTGGGCCGTCATCTTCCCCGTCTGCACCATCCCGCTCATGGTCAGCCTGACCATCGTCTCGGTGCGCGCCCGCCGCCGGGGCCTCCTCGACAAGTACCGCTCTTCGCTACAGATCCTGGGCGCCCGCAACTTCTTGGCCGAGCTGTTCTGGGTCCTCGACGTCATCGGCATCGTCCTCCTCGTCGCCGCCTTCGCCCTCACCCTAATCCCCCTCACCCTCGCCGGCGGCCTGCACACCAAGTGGCGGACGGCTGGCATCATCGCCCCGCTCGTCATCGGCATCGCCTTGCTCCCCGTCTTCGTCTTCTGGGAGCTCCGCGCGCCCCACCCCCTCGTCCCCTTCGCCCTGATGAAGGACCGCGGCGTCTGGGCCCCCATCGGCATCGCCATCATGCTTAACTTCTCCTGGGCCATGCAGGGCGACTACCTCTACACCATCCTCCAGGTCTCCTTTGACTTCGACGTCACCACCGCCACCCGCATCACCAGCCTGTACTCCTTCGTCAGCGTCATCGTCGGCCCCCTCCTCGGCATCGTCGTCTACTTCCTCCGCCGCCTCAAGATCATGGTCATCCTCGGCACCTCCCTCTTCATGGTCGCCTTCGGCCTCCTCATCCACTTCCGCGGCGCCTCCTCCGACGGCGACGGCCTCTCCAGCGCAAAGGCCGGCATCATCGCCGCCGAGGTCGTCCTCGGCGTCGCCGGTGGCATGTTCCCCTACCCCTCCCAGGCCTCCCTGCAGGTCCAGCTCGACCACGAGAACCTCGCCGTCATGACTGGCGTCTTCCTCGGCGTCTACAATGTCGGCTCCGCCCTCGGAAACACCGTCTCCGGCGCCATGTGGACCCAGGTCCTCCCCAGCTACCTCGAGCAGCACATCTCCGACCCCGCCCTCGTCGCCGCCGTCTACAGCAGCCCCCTCACAGAGGCCGTCAAGTACGCCATGGGCACCCCCGAGCGCATCGCCATCGTCAATGCCTACCGCCAGATCCAGAGGATCCTCTGCATCACCGGTATCTGCCTCTGCGCTCCCCTCATCGCCTTCGCCCTTGCCCTTCGCAACCCCAGGCTGGACGGTCACCAGACCTTGGCCGAGAAGGACAGGTCGTCTGATGAGGAGGAGGAGGAGGATGCTGTTGCTGCTTGAAATTATCTGCATCAGTTTGGATGCCTTCTTTTTTTTTTCGAATCCTCCTCTTATTTTTATCACTATTTCTATTTTGGGTCTATGAGATTATAACGTGTGCAACGTATACATGCAAATTCTTCTTGTTATTAATACCACTGTCATTTCTTTCCAATATGGTGTCACGGCTACGACGGTTGCATCTCATGATGCTCACACACACACACACCCACACATACACACGCAAAAAAAGTACATTCCGTAGTAATACTACCTTGACAAACTCTTATTCCATAATACTACTCCAAGAATCAATTCTTCCACAGGAAAGAGGGTGATCAGAGAGAGGGGACAGTCCAGAGCAGTTGATCGTGACAGATACAGTTTCGGCCAGGAATTGCTGACAGGACCCTGTCGACCTAGACGCATTTAGAGACTTCGGTACCAATTTTCCTGCGGATCGCCCAAACACTCGCCGGCCGTGACAGTGGTGAGATTATTGTCGACAATCGATTTCAAAATGTGCTCCATGAGGCTGTACGCCGTCTGCTCCAGAGGATCGTGCTCGATCTGGAGGATCGACCTTCCGTCACGCCGGTAGAGCCGTTCAAGGCCCTCGTCCCACAAGTCCTTGGACATCTGTACTTTCTCGGGCGTGCCATTTTCGTAACCCCTCGTGTTGAGGTTGAAGTACGTAATGTGGTATCCCAAGTCGCCCAGAAATGCATTGATACCGTTATTGCTCATCGAGTGAGGGGGGCGCATGTACGTCGGGAAGAAGCCCAGCACGTCGGCTATGGCGATTTCGTTGAAGAGCATCTGATTGCGTAGCTGATCCCTGGTTATTTCAGTCAGGTTCTGGTGCGACCAGGTGTGACTGCCAATCTGATGGCCCTCGTCCACCATGCGCCGTAGCAGAGCGGGCCAGGGCTTCTTGGGGTCGTTGATGAAGCCTTTGTCGAGGTTGGTTCCGACGACGAAGAATGTTGCCTTGACATCATATCGCTGTCCAGTTTCGACCGGTTCATCAGCTCTCTCTCTCTCTCTTTCCCTTCATAGGGCCTCTGTCTCTGTCGGTGACGTATGTGAACCCACCTTGAGTAGATTGAGTATGTACTCGGTATACTCCCACGGCCCGTCATCAAACGTGAGAGCCACCACATCATTTATGGTGCAGTTGTATATCGGCTGGCCGTAGGGGACGTTGCCAACCTTGACTCGCTCCACGCCAGAGGTATCGGCGCCTCGTGGACGTGTGTTGGCATCGCAAGCAGGTCCGTAGCTGATCTGGCAAGTGGGCGCGCTGCAGAACCGGTGTCCTTTGCCGCACCAACTGCGCTGCGTCAGACATGATACCTCGTCTCCCCCAAAGATTCTCCCTCCACGGGTCCCTCCAAACCCACCCACCACCTCGTATGTAGATCAACGACTTACTTTCCACTCGAGCAGCATTGGCCTTCCGGGCAGGTACGGTCAAGAAGTGCTCCGCACTGCCGTGTGCTGATGGGTTCATCGGAGGCCACAGCTTGACGTATCACCGCCTCTTCTGACTGGGCCCGGACAAGCCCAAGGCCTGCAAGGAGAAGTGCAACCCAGCGCATGGTTTTGGATATCGGTATCGGGATGCTCTTTCAAAGAAGAAGACAATATATATAGAAGAAGAAGAAGAAGAAGAAGCGATGACTGTGGATCATCAAGAACAGAAGGATGATGTTTGCTCTTCAGGAGAAGGACGATAAGAAGACTTGGCGAGGGGAGGGTGGAGGGAGAAGGAGAGGGAAGGTCCCTCTTCTATATGCTACAACAGCGGCAACTACAGTAAGAAGAAAGGAAAGAGTTCCCCTCTCCGGCAGAGGACATTGTCTCATCCCGAACTCGTCGATCACAAGTCCTGAAGGGGAGGGAAGCTGTAACACAACACGGTTGCCATTATATAAGGTCATTCACCAAGCCTACACTGATCAGATCTTTGATGAATGAAGACAGATCCTTCCGAACAAGGGATCTAGTCTAACCTGGTCTGTATTGCTTTGACGGTGACAGAGTAAGCACGATCGCACATCGTGTCAGGGGATACGAGAAAAACGGCTCGACAATATACGAGCGAGTTGATCGTTAAGACGTAGGCCGTTGCTTCCCGGTATATGCCACTCTCAGTATTAGGTTTGTTGCTAACCTGCATATGCAAGTCTTTAGGGTGCCTCTGACGAAGAACAAAGAGCAGAGAGCGAATGGCTAAATCGGCCTTTACGAGAACATTCATACAACAAAACAAAACAGAAAAAGACACCGTCCTAGTATTAGAAGGGGGAGGGGGGGGACCTTTTTTTTTTTTATAATAAACACACAAGACGTTTTTTTTCCTCTCTCGGCTCTAGTCTACTACTCATCATCATCCTCTCCATCATCGTGACCATTCGTCACCTCGGCCTCATCCTCGTCCTCATCTTCGTCATCGGGTTTGATTTCCGTAGTGGCAGGGGCAGCAGCAGAGCCACCTTCGCTCTCAAGCTTGAGCCACGTATCCCACTCGGGGAAGAGGTCCTCATCCTCGTCGGGGACACCGATCAGCTTGGCGACGCGGCTCTTCTTGTTCTTCTCCAGGCTGTCCTTCCACTCCTTGACCAGCGATGCCGTCAGGCTGGGCTTGTACGTCTCCGAGAAGAGGACGGCCTCGGCCTGCCTGCCCGTCTTGGAGAGGAGCTCGGCGCAGCGTTCCACGTTGCCCAGGAGCCAGTTGCACGTAAAGGCAATGTTGTGCGCGCCCGACTCCTCGGCCTGCTTGGCTAGAGCCGCTAGACCGTCGCGGTCACCCGTCGACGAGTGTACTAGCAGCAGGGACCCTAGGTCCTTGGCGTGCGTGAAGCACTCGGCCGCCAGCGCTACGTCCCACCCGGCCAGCGCAGCGTCGCCCACCGTCTTCCATTTGTGCTCCACGTCGGCCTCGCGCGCCAGCTCAAGCGCGATATCCAGCTGGCTCAGCGCCAGCGCCAGCTCAAACTTGTGCTCCGGGTCCGTCACCACCTCGAGCGCCAGCTCCTTGTGGCCCTGGCCCTCGAGGAACCGTGCAATCTTGTTCATCTGGTCGTCTGGGATCGTCGGCAGCAGCTCCGCCGCCGTCTCCATGTCCTCGCGCAGAACCAGCGTCTGGTACTCCAGCACCGGCAGCGACAGGGAGAACGACGTCACGCCCACATCCTTGTCGGCAATGTAGATGCGCGAGTCCCTCTGGATGTATCCCAGGATGTACATGGGCTTGTCAAAATGAGACACCGTGTACGTCTGGTCGCCCACCAGGTAGTTGAGTCTGTTGGTGCTGTTGGTGTAGATGAAGCAGTCGCCCACCCATTCTCCCGTCCGGACACTACAGCATCGTCAGTACCTGGCATGATGATGAGAGGAAGCAAGGTGTTTGTCTTGTCTGCTAGGACTGCTGCTGCCGACTCACCTCTCGCTGATGTCAGTAATGACCTCGAATGCCGACTCGACACCATCCTCTTCGACCTGGCCAGCCTGAACGGCCTCGACGTAGTTCTCGCGCGAGAAGCGGAGCACGTAAAAGGTGTCCTCGCAAGCAATAGCCACCAGCTCGCCGCTATCGGACCAGTAGACCTAGAAAGAAGAGAGGGTCGCGTCAGTAATCCCGAAAGCCCATGGCCGGATGGTCCATCCCTTGCATATGCATACCTGCTTGGGCTCAACCTCTATCCTGCGGACCAGACCGCCAGTGGCCCAGTCGAAGAAGGACACGCCACCCTGGCCCGTGACGCCGAGCAGAACACCGCCGGTAAGGCCGTCGGCCTGGAAGCCGACGTCGAGGCCGCCGGGCTTCTCAACAAAGTTCTTGTAAACCTTGACGCTCATGGGCGACTCGCGGATGGCAAAGTCGTTGCTGTTCTCCTTGGAGGCCCAGACGAAGTCGAGGGCCGAACCAAAGGCCTTGTTGCGCCAGGCGAGGGCCGTGTAGATGATGTACTCGCCGTCGCCGCAGACGGAGACGAAGCGGCCGTTGGGCGAGTGGGTCAGTGTCTGGGGGTAGACCTCGCAGGTGCCGAGGTCCTTGGTAGGAAGGCTGATGGGCTCATTGTCCTTGATGGAGGCGTCTGGGTGAAGGAAGACTGGGTCAGTATCTCTATCTCTCCTTCTTCCTCCTGTGGAAAGAAAGCAGCGATCTGCTTGTTCGTAGTCGTCTCATCATACATACCTCCGCCCTTGATTATTGACGAGACAACCTCGTTGTGCCTTGCCCAGATGAGCTTGCCCGAGGCGTCCATGGAGACGGCAGGCTCCTCGCGACCGAGCTTGACGACGACGGCACCGTCATCGTAACCGACGGCGATGCCCTGCTTGCCCTTCTGGTACGAGACACACCAGGCACGCTCGAGGCTGTAGTTGAGGGACTGCTCGAAGCGGTAGGTGTTTGCGTGCCAGATGCGCAGCGTGCCGTCCTCGGATCCGGAGATGATGACGGGCAGCTCGGGGTGGTAGCAGGCAAAGGAGACGTTGTTGGTGTGGCCCTCGAGGGTGGCGATGAGCGACTTTGTCGTGTAGTCCCAGACCTTGACTGTGCGGTCGTCCGAGGTGGTGAGGATGTAGGGCTTGTCGGAGTGGGGGTAGTAGTCGACGTGGTTGACGCCCTTGGTCTCGTGGGCCTCGAGGGTGAAGTTGGCAGTGGGGGAGCCCAGGTTCCAGATCTTGACGGTACGGTCCAGGCAGGCCGAGGCAAAGGTGTTGGTGTCTTTGGGGTTGATGGCCAGACCCATGACATAGTGGCTGTGGCCCTCGAAGACCTGGACGCACTTCCAGCCGCGCTCCCAGTCCCACAGCTTGATGGACATGTCGTCGGAGGCCGTCAGGACGAAGGGCTGGGTCGGATGGACGGCGATGGCTCGGATGTAGTCGGGGTGAGCCTCGAACGAGGTGATCTTCTCGGCCGTGTTGTAGTTGTAGACGCGCAGCTGGAAGTCGTCAGAGCCGCAGACAATCCAGTTCTTGCGCGCGATGAAGCGGCCGGCTCGTACGGGCACGTCGGTGAGCTCGAACGTCTTGACAATCTGCTGCGTCTCATACGACCAGATGTATACATGGCCTGTTTATCAGACGTCGCCGTTATCGTCAGTCACGTCACACACGCACACTCCCCCTTCTTCTCCCCGTCTGGAGCCCCACTGGCATCATGATGATTGGGGGGTGGTCATACCGCTGTACAGAGTGGTGAGGATCCATGGTTCGTGGGGGTGGAAATCGATGCCCTTTACACGCTCACTACGAGCGTAGAGCTGGCGCTGTGTGGAGAGGATGAGCTGTCAGCGCTGCGAAGACGATGGTGAGGATAGTTGGTCGGTGTAGGCTGATTCGTGGCGGGGCACAGGAGGACAGATGTCGCAAAGGGAGCTACCCCCCCCCCCCCCGGGGTGAACTGCTTACCTTGACGTCCAACCTCATTATGGGCGTTGGTGGTGGGTGTGCGGTTCGATATAGGTCTGGGAGAGGAAGCGACAGGAACTGCCGGTCAATGGATGTACCGGGACAGAATAGGTCCAGGGGGTGTGTGCGAAGATGTTATGGCACACAGCCGCGACTTGGACAGCTTGTCCAGAGGTTTTCCAGGCACACAGAACTTGCTGGAAGCGAAAAGGCCGGGGTGGAAGGGGGGATGGTTGAAGAAGTAGGCTGCTGACCACACAATCAGGGACGAGGATTGTGAAGCTCAGGCCGCAGACACGGAGCAGTTGCGAGGCTTCGAGATTGGTAGGTGGCCTGCACTGGAGACTGGAGACTCCAAGACCGGGGACCAAGAGACAGCGATGGTGATGGTTGAGCAGCCCCTGCGAGGTCTGGGCAGTGATTGGTCAGAATGGGATCTGGTGCATTTGGCTTCTCTGGTGGCCACGGTGTTTGGATGTTGGCCTCGGGTTCAAGGCACCAACTGCCAACGCCACGCCACACGCCACACTCTACGTACTCCGTACTACAACGGAGTATATGTTACTGTAGAGCTGCTCAACCGAGTGGCTGAGCTAAGTGGCTCTGTACGAAGTGGCTCTGCGAAGTGGTCAAGATGCATCTATTCGTACAAGCGTCGATTTCTCCCCAATCCCTGTGATCTCTCAGAATTCTTCTCCTGATGATGAGACCGTTCTCGGGGTTCGAAGTATAGTAGCAATCAGTAAAGCTAAAGTATGCAGTGATGCATGCTCGTACTCCGTACTTCTCTGTTGCATACGCTGCTAGCCGTACGCACTCCCCAGGTCAGTAGAGGCTTGATAGAGCTCAACCGACCACAACAAGTGTCACCAGCCGTCCTGAACGCATGGAAACAAGAACTACGACATGATTGAAGCATGATGACGAGGTGCACGGTTCGACAGAAATACTCCTTTTCTCTATTTCGGACACTACCTAGGCTTCCGTCGGCGACAACACAACGAAGACCCGTAGAGGCTGATACAGTGGTCTCCGCCCATGTATGCGTCTTGGGTCGGTATGTGGGTGTGTCTGATTGCTTAATTGATCGGAAAGGATAGGAAATCTATCTATGAGGCTATTTACAGATGTGAGTGTGCGGCAGCCCCCTGGCTGCTTAGTCATGCAACTTGGGTACCACTGACACACCCGGCGATATAGGGTAAACTCCGTGTTTGATCAGAGAGCGGGAGGTTCTATCACAATGCTCAAACACGATATATCTGGGTCGTAATATCCGTGCAACCCCGTAAAACGATGGCTTGGTTCTATTGCCAATAGGGGGGCGTGCAAGATTACGAGTCCTCATGCACACATCTCCGCGTGCTGTCGTACCTTTTCTTCCTTTTGCTGCGTGGCCGTGCCGTGACGGACGGAGACTGTTGGTTACACCCTGCGCCTCCTCCTCCTGACCAGCCTGGCCCGTATCTGTACGACTGACACACACAATCCTATCAGCGGGGACATGCAACGAGGGAGTACGAGTATTTGCCTATCGTATGGAGTACGAGTAGAATACGGAGTACGGAGTGATATGGACGATGGACGTAAGACTCTTTCTTGTTGCGTGTCTATGGTTCTTAGCAGTGATAGAGGTAGATGTAATCTGTAATCGGTAATCTGTGATGCAGAGTACGAGGGGACGAGTACGTACACCACTGTACGGAGTGTCATTACATGGACGGCTCCAGCCACAGCGTACGCCTTCCGTACTCGCACGTTCCGAGGCAGCTCTGTTAGCCCCTAAACCTAGGGGTGTCCCGGGAACCGCCAGGGGGACATCCCACTGACCGATGTCATCATCCCATCTAACCTGTCCAGGCCTCCCTCCCTGATACGTGGTAACAGTAGCACTGATAGGTATTATTCTACGCCGTATCACAGACAGTATTACTGTGCTGGAGAGGCCCGTACAACACGCCCGTTTAAGTCCGTCAAAGTCCCCGTGGTAGCTGATGGCCCGTTGCTGGTACGCAGTGACGATATTTACCCCGTAATACTCCCTACCTGACTCCAGCACAGCACTAATCTGTACCTCTAGTGAGCAGTACTCGCACTATAGGTAATACTGTACGTACTATTATTAACTACGAGTAATACGCTGTATCTAATCCGTACTTTTGTTATTATTTCATCAATCCCAATTCATCCCTGCTTGCGCCCAGCCTGCTCCGCCTCCCCTTTGATCTTCCGGTGGCATCGAGTATTCACTTTTCTATCCTTCTCTCAGCATTCTCTTCCCCTCCTTCCATCTAACAAGAGAACGAATGTGACGTCTTCTATCGACAAAGAGGCCTTCAATCCATCTTGCTCGAACACCGTCTCTCCGCGTCCCCCCCCGACCGACTGAAGACACCCGCCTATAATCTCGAGGAGAAAAAAAAAAGGCCTGTTCCCTGCCAGGCTGCGGGGTTGCTCGACCACTAGCCAACCACCAACGTCGAAAGCGATCTCCCTCCCCATCGCAACACCGCATCTCTCCTGTGTGTGGCATTTGCTTGACAACGAACTGACCACCCATCTTCAAGACCCATCCAATCCCCTATACTCTCTCCCTCTCTCCCTCCTATCGTTATCCTCTCCCCTCTCCTCTCTCTCGTATCGACTCGGCCTGATCCACGTTGGCAGCAGCCGGCCTGTTGCTACGCTCTGGTGGATTAAGCGCACGTCAGAGCATTGTTGCCACTCATCCACAATCATCACCGCTTCTCTATCTACCTAGCTGCACCTGGAACCCCCCTTGGTTCTAACGTGGCCACGACTCTGAAACCATGTCCTGGAACCTCAGCAAAAGTATGTACCTCACCCCTTTTGGTCGCCCAGCCGATAACTCCCTCCCCCCTCTCTCTATCTGAGCTGACCCGGTGCTTCGCAGAGCTCAAGGAGACTCATCTTGGGCCCCTAAGTCCCTTTTCCCGCTCGACCTCGACTTCGACCATTACTACCGAAAAAGCCAAGGACGGCCGACCCAGTACCGAGGCCACGACACCGACTCACGAAAGTGCCATCGGTGAGCCAACCTCCCCCTTCCCCCTCCCCCTCCCCCTCCCCGGCTTCTATAATACTTCCCTCCCCCTCCCCCACCCCCTCTCATCTTATCCCATTTTCATTTCCATGACGCTCCCTCGTCTCCCTAGAACTCTAGCACTAACATCGTATGTACCCAAACAACAGCTGCTTCGGAAGCAATGACACAGGCCCCCGTCGTCAAGCCGCCGAAACCTGGTATCCTCGTGGTCACCCTTCACGAAGCCCAGGGCTTCTCGCTCCCTGAACAACACCGAAATGCATTTGCTTCGCAGCACCAAGGCTCGCTCTCGTCCAGCAATGCCCTCGGCGCCGGCTCCGTGCGGCCAGGCTCGTCCCAACGAACGACCGGTTCTTTCATCAACGGCGCCCACAGGCCGCACTCGTCGGCTGGAGGCTTCACCGGCATCCCCACCAACCACGGCCGCATCTCGGGCAAGTACATGCCCTACGCCCTGCTTGATTTTGACAAGCTGCAGGTCTTTGTCAACTCAGTCGACGGCAACCCGGAGAACCCGCTGTGGGCCGGCGGCAACACACAGTACAAGTTTGATGTGTCGCGCGTGACCGAGCTCGTCATCCACCTGTACATGCGAAACCCCACGGCTCCGCCGGGCTCGGGCCGTAGCCAGGACATCTTCCTGGGCGTGGCCCGCATCAACCCCCGCTTCGAGGAGCGCCAGACGCTGGCCGACGACCCCAAGGCCAGCAAGAAGGACCGCGAGAAGGCGGCGGCCGAGTGGCAGCAGCAGGGCTCGGGCCACAGCGGCGTCGAGTGGGTCGACGTGCAGTACGGTACCGGCAAGATCAAGGTGGGCGTCGAGTACGTCGAGACGCGGGCGGGCAAGCTCAAGATTGAGGACTTTGAGCTCCTCAAGGTGGTAGGCAAGGGCAGCTTCGGCAAGGTGATGCAGGTGCGCAAAAAGGACACGAACCGAATCTACGCGCTCAAGACGATCCGCAAGGCGCACATCATCTCGAGGTCCGAGGTGGCGCACACGCTGGCCGAGAGGTCGGTGCTGGCGCAGATCAACAACCCATTCATCGTGCCGCTCAAGTTCAGCTTCCAGTCGCCTGAGAAGCTGTACTTCGTCCTGGCCTTTGTCAACGGCGGCGAGCTCTTCCACCACCTGCAGAAGGAGCACCGGTTCGACGTCAACCGCTCACGCTTCTACACGGCAGAGCTGCTGTGCGCCCTCGAGTGCCTGCACGGTTTCAGCGTAATCTACCGCGACCTCAAGCCCGAGAACATCCTGCTCGACTACCAGGGCCACATTGCGCTGTGCGACTTTGGCCTGTGCAAGCTTGATATGAAGGACGAGGACCGCACAAATACGTTTTGCGGCACGCCCGAGTACCTCGCACCTGAGCTTCTCTTGGGCCACGGCTACAACAAGACGGTGGACTGGTGGACCTTGGGCGTTCTCCTGTACGAGATGCTGACGGGACTGCCACCCTTTTACGACGAGAACACCAATGAGATGTACCGCAAGATCCTGTCGGAGCCGCTGCACTTTTCGGACGTGGTGCCCCCGGCGGCCAAGGATCTCCTGACCAAGCTGCTCAACCGCAACCCGGAGCAGCGTCTGGGAGCCAACGGGTCGGCCGAGATCAAGGCTCACCCCTTCTTCCACGCCATCGACTGGAGGAAACTGCTCCAGCGCAAGTACGAGCCTACATTCAAGCCCAATGTGGTATGCCGTCCTCCCTCCTTCCCTCCTTCCCTCCTATACGCTGTCCATGCTCTTTCACTTCTTCTCCTCTCCTTCTCCTCCTTCCCCCCCCCTGCTACCCGACCAGGCTAACGGACGATAACTACAGGTTGACGCCCTCGATACGGCCAACTTTGACAGCGAATTCACGTCCGAGGCACCGACAGACTCTTACGTCGAGGGCCCGGTGCTGTCAGAGACGATGCAGAACCAGTTCCAGGGCTTCAGCTACAACAGGCCCATTGCTGGTCTAGGAGATGCCGGAGGCAGTGTTAAGGATCCATCGTTTGCCAGCAGCATTCAGGACAACCGGTAGCTGAGAGTTATGGGGGAAGTTGAAAGGTCTTTTTTTTCCAGTCTTTTTTGTTTTTTTTGTCCTTGTTTCATAGTTTGGACAACAGGCTGTGGGAGGAGGGGTCTCTCCCCCTCTCTCTCTTCGTTTGCAGAAATGGGGAGGAGGAGGGGAGAAACTCAGGGAAGCTTTTGGGGGCGTCTTGTCACCACTTTTTTTTTGCTTATTATTTTTTCCCCCTGTTCTCTTCTTTTTTTACCTCCTCTCTTTCGTTGTCCTTCCTTTCTTCTCAGTAGACTGTCAGACATGAAAGAAAAAAAACAATCCAGACAGCAAAAGGGAGAATCAGCTCCGTCTTTTTCTTCTTCTTTCCCTCTTCCACCCCACCGCCACTTTGCGTTCCACACTCGGGACTCTTTCCAGTCGTCTCCCCCCTTCGGTTGGACCCGTGCGAGAGTGTTCTGGGTTATTCTTGCTGTGGTCCGTGTAGTCTTCCATTTCACTCGTAGACTCGTTCTCGTCACTCACTTCGTTCGTTCTGTCCGCTCGCCTCGTCGTGACGGGAACCCCTCGCTCAAAGGGGATCTTACCACACGGTCGCTACGCTCCCTCACCTTCGCTCCGTACCCGTCGCTTCGGTATGAGGGCTATTCACAGTCTGACTTTGGCCTCCGGCGATTGCATGACAGGCGATAGTCGGACCGTTTACAGCAGACGGGGGTTACAGAAAGACTTTTACCAATACAATCTACAAGCACATACACTAACACGACATGTGCATCAAGTTACAAACTTGCTTCATCAAGAAGGCATGACGTGATATTAGACAATTCCATCTCTCAATACTACAGCGCTATAATCACGATCAAGAGAAATACGAACTCCATTACACTCCATACCCCGTCGCTATGACCTGAGAAACAGGTTACCATGACCGTGTAGTCAGACCCGCTGCATTCGCCAACATCTTCCTACATACTGCCACGTTACCCCGGCCTGGGATTCTCGGCTGGGAGAGAGGAGCGTAGAGCGTCGACCTCGACAGCTAGACGCCACCTTATACCAACCGCACTTGCTGCCCAAAAGATGTCCCAAGACAGACATACGTTAGCAATCACAAGGACAACCGTGCTAACTCCTCCGGCGTGAGAGGGGGCACCTTGTAGGACCTGTCCGGTCTCGATGCTGAGTAGAGGCTCCAAAGGACTGTCCGGCTTCACCGCCGATGCATTCTCTCGTGCAATCGATGCAATTTCGATCTCTGATATTCGCCAGCCTCCTGATCCCTCTCGACCTGGTCACGCTCTCCTGTGACATAGTGGCAGAGCCTTGTCACTAGGAGCCTCGATGTCATAGTAAATCAGATCATAGCTTAGGTAAGCGGGACTCGACCGTAAAACCGTCGAGTCCGGCGCAACGCAAGCATAGAACAAAAGAGCCTTGGCACCACTAAACAACTGACCTACTATCTGAATGTAAGTCAGAAGTGTTTGCGGTGTTCGTTCTCACAAACATATTGTGTGTTAAAAAACTACATCTAAATCCATCGTCACCCTCCACTAGGATGTGACATGAGAGCTTTTTTTACTCTTATTGTTCATGTGACTTTATAGGCGTTCTGTTTATTAATTCAAGGAATATCGAGGATATCTCTGATCGGATCGGAATATCTTATTCCGGTAGCTTATTCAGCTATCTTGTTCCGACACGCCAGCTCCTCCACACACACCCATTTTCACATCATGCTAGCTCTTTCTCATCATAACACTTTTCATGCTTCTGGTGCACTATATCGAGTGCACACGACATGGCAATCCTCTGCGAGAGCGTCGGTAATGGAGTTTTCCTGAGTAGCATCGCGGGAGGAGAAACACACAAGAGACCTTCTCTCTACAACACCCCCCCCCCCCCCCCCCCTTTTCCTCTATTTGCCCTATGCAGATATGTTTCAATCTTTTTCGGGGAATTTGTGGATGGTGCCTGCATTGGGTCATTGTCATATGTTATGGATGAGCGTATATCACCTGCTACGGTGGCGGTGCTAGTGTTATGCAGTGTCTAGGGCAGGTGTGCTGTCGACCACGGAGTCTAGGGCGGCTATTTCGTTTATTGTCCCCGGGCCGTGGTCTTGACTCGTACTCGTAGAGCGGCAGCTGTCCCTTTCCTTCTCCAGACCCCGGGAAGAAGAGGCATTTATGAGATTGGAATGAGGTATGTGATGGATGATGGATGGGCTGGATAGGAGAAATGATATTGTTGTGATTGCCATGTTGGACTTCAAGTATAAGGACATGTATTCAGCTTTTGATAATTATAATAATAAATATATATATGTGTGCATATCTGTATTTTGTTGTATTTTGTATATATATCTTGTATTTATGGTAAATGTAATATAGTGTGTGTATACATGTGTGTATGTGTACTACCTGGTATGGGAGAAACACGAAAAAGAAGGGAAAAGGTAGAAAGGTCTCTAGGTCTACGAGTGCATGATGGAGTCTCAGAGGCGAGAGAAAGCAGAGTCTTCCTCCGTTCCGGGAAGACGGTGGGGCAGGGGAAAAAAAAGACGGTAAGGTGGGGCCGAAGTACACCGGATGGGGTAATTATCGGACAGGACAGGACAGGAGATCCCCGGGGGGGGGGGGGGGGAGGAAAATGAAAAGGAGAGGAATGAAGGGAGAATGGAAAGGATCTGAAAAAAAAAAAAAAGGAAGGTATCGTGAGTAACGTGATTGCAGATCCAGAGTGTGAGCCCAGATGGTTTTGACGAGGGGGGGGGTTGCGCCAGACGCGGCTACAATGGAAAATCGGGGGCAATAGCGGGGCTGCATTTATGATAAGGCAGAATGACGCGCACCGGGGAGTTGGAGTCAAGTTTGAGTGGGGGGTCGTAGAGGGGGGCGAAAAAGGGGACGCTCACTTAGGAGGAGCAGACAAAAGCATGCGGACAAAAGGAACCTATCATTTATATGAGTATATGTATATATAAATGTAAATATATATTCATATTAATTATTTCCATCTCTTCCAAACACTGGATGGGAAGAGAGATTGTCACGAGGTGGACAGTGTCCCCCGTCTTTCAGTGGTGTGGCAGCCTAAACGGCAGGGGCGGCTTGGGGGCTCGGGAGGGGAGAGGGCTCGGGAGGGGAGAGGCCCGGGGAGGGGGGGGGGGCGGAAGGGGGGAGAGTTCATAGGGTTGGGGTTGTTGCTGATACTAGTAGGTCAGGTAATACATGTAAATAATAGGTTCAAGGTTTAAAGGAAAAATCAAGTTCATCATAATTGAGGCAGCTCACGATGAATGGGTTTGTGCTGGAAAAAAAAATTGAGAGAGAAAAAAAAAAATCCGTGTCCACCATGGTGGCTGTGCCTAGATGGGGGAGGGGGAAGATGTCCCGAGTCAGGCCGAGCGAGTTTGGCGCGCGAGGCGGGCAGTATCTCGCATATCGACGACGATATTACTACATTACTGCGCGCAGTCAACTCCGTACTTGACGCCACGATGCATTGATTTATTATGCCATCTGTCTGGGGTATGCGTTATTACTACCCCAGAGGTCTCATTCTTCTTCTTCCTCTTCCAAGTCTGGCGCGACAACCCGGTGTATCCGGAGATGTCGGTTAGGTCGATGTTGAGATTGAGAGATATTACGGGGTTGAAAGATGATGAGAAGAAGAAGAGGCAAAAGAATTAAGAAAAAAAAATTGAAGAACGAAGAAAACAAGAAAAAAAAAAGGAAAAACAAGAAAAGCAAGGAAAAAAAAGGAGCGTAGTGACGTTATACCAAAAGGGAAAAAAAAAGAAGAAAAAAACAAGAGGCGAAAAAGACTTTACCAAATATCGTGAGATTGGCCAAGGATGGTTGGTTGCTTTCTTCATTGAATGGGAGAAGCCAACAGACAACCCAACCCGGCGGCAATATAGGGAGTACATCTCAATACATGTACAGAGCAGTCATACGTTATAGAATTATAGTGTGCGGGGACCCCGTGGTCAGTGACGTTTAGGACATTCTGCGCTGTGACTGGTTCGTACGAGTGTGTCCGACCAACGTATTACGTCGTCCCGCCATTGTGGTTCTTGACTGGCTTGACTGGCTTGCTTGGCTCGCTTGGCTTGCTTGGCTTGCTTGGCTCGCTTGGCTTGCTTGGCTCGCCTTTCTTCCTCTGCTTTGCTTGCTCTGCTTGCTCTGCTTGCTCTGCTTGCTTACCAGTTGCTTGACTGGCTATAGCAAGACTCTCAACCGAGAGTGGTGCTGCTTACTGGTAGAGTATGGAGTGATATAGAGTCAAGTCTAGAGTCCAGAGTCCAGAGTCCAGGGTCTAGAGCGTCTGGTGTTACGGATAGCATGACGAGCTAGCAGGATACGTACTAGTATCCGTAGCACTACTACTTACTAATACTCGTAGCTGAGTCTCGCTAGCAACTTGATGGATAAACTTTTCGACTACGAGTCGAGACGTCATGCGGACTTGGCAATGCTGGCAACTACCGAGCCGAGAGAAAGAGAGAGATAGAGAGAGATGGGGGGGTGAGAAAAAGGTGATGCTACCTACGTAAAGGAAGGATGGAATATTGTCATACATGCTCCGTATACTCCGCACGTACAGATTCCACGGATACATGTCCAGGACGCGCATCGAAATTCGTCACTCCCAACATTGATTGCTGCCGGCTCTCCATTGCTCCCCAGCGCATGTACCCGTACTTTCCCCATCACTTCCCAAGTTCCACGTAACGATACTCCCCCTTACTCCTTATCCTACGGAGTACAGAGCACAGACATGGAAATACATGGAAACGGAATACCTCGCCCCTCCATCGGCCCCTCAATGTCGTCACCCAACAGTCCATTACGGTCACCGTTCTAACCGGCACTAAACCTCGCTCGGAACTTCATACCTGTCCTCCCATTCGTACAAACCTAATACGGTGCGCCCCACATGCCCTTTTCCCTCCGACTTCCCAGAAACTCGAGGCAAACGCTCTGCGTACGGATCCACCCTCTCCTCCGTCATCACACCCTGGTTGGTCAGTATTGGTCAGTATCCTTGCGTCCCGCTCCCACCCGGAGAGATCGTGAGAGGACAGCCCATCCGCTAACACGCTATAACGGAAGGTAACGATCACGATCCCATCGCTCCTGCCTCTCTGACTTATTTAAACACATCGTCATCCCCTCTGAATGACTGATTCTCTCTCTCTTCTCCCTCCGTGTCCCCCCTCTTCTCTCCATAATCCTTACATCATCATCGATAAAACTCTCTCTTCTTCCTTCTACCCTCACAACATCTTTTAAAAAGTACAGTTCACTTCCCTTTTATATCTTGATTCATTATTCTCTCTACGCCTCGACTATCTTTACTGCTGTCAACGGAGAATACCCAACTACTCGTACATCACACACTTGCATACATCTATCGCACATCTATCACCAGAGCCAACAACAACACCATCGTCAACATGGCCAACACAACCAACACTGGAAAGAAGGCTGTCCACTTTGGTGCCGGCAACATCGGTAAGTCACACACACACACACACATACACACGCACACACATATACATACATATATACATATATATATATATATATATACACGAGTTCATCATGTCTGACCCAACCACCCCCACACAGGCCGTGGCTTTGTTGCCTGCTTCCTTCACAACTCGGGCTATGAGATCGTCTTTGCCGACATCAATGAGGAACGCACAAAATACATCAACGACACCCCGTCGTATCGTGTCATCGAGGTCGGATCCGACGGCACGTCGGAAAACATCGTCACAAACTTCCGTGCCGTCAACTCGTGCACACACGAGGAGGACCTGCTCGAGGAGATCCGCACTGCCGACATTGTCACCTGCGCCGTCGGTCCCAAGATCCTGAGCTGCATCGCTCCCCTCATCGCCAAGGGCATCGACCGTCGGTCCAACGACGAGACGCCTCTGCACGTCATCGCCTGCGAGAACGCCATCGGCGCCACCGATACGCTCGCCGGATACATCAGGGAGAACACCCCCTCGGACCGGCTCGAGGATCACCACATGCGTGCCCGCTACGCCAACTCGGCCATCGATCGCATCGTGCCCGCTCAGGACCCCGGCGCCGGCCTCGACGTCAAGCTCGAACGGTTCTTCGAGTGGGTCGTCGAGAAGGGTCCGTTTGAGGACATTGGCATCCCCGAGATCGAAGGCATCAACTGGGTCGATGACCTGTGCCCCTTCATCGAGCGAAAGCTCTACACGGTCAACACGGGCCACGCCACGGCCGCCTACCACGGCTACAACCGTCGCAGGCGCACGGTATACGATGCCCTGCAGGACAAGCACATCATCGCCCAGGTCCGCGGCGCCCTCAACGAGACCAAGAGGCTCATCGTCTCCAAGCACGCCATCGATGAGGAGCAGCAGTCGGCCTACGTCGAGAAGATTCTCAAGCGCATCGGCAACCCTCATCTGGAGGATGCCGTCGACCGCGTCGGCCGCGCCCCCATGCGTAAGCTGTCGCGCAAGGAGCGCTTCGTCGGCCCGGCCGCCGAACTGGCCGAGAAGGGCGAGTCGATCGAGTACCTCCTCAACGGTATCGAGATGGCCTTCCGCTTCCAGGACGTCGGCGAGGATGAGGAGTCGAGGGAGCTGTCCCAGATCATGTCGGAGAAGACGCCCGAAGAGGTCGTCTCTATGGTGTGCGGCGTCCAGGCTTCGGAGAAGATCTATCCGCGACTCGTCGACGTGGTGAAGCGTGTCCAGGACGACAGCCGCGACGATTGAGTAGCTTGACGAACAAAATGCCGTCTTCTTTTTCTTTCTTTTTCCTTTTTTTTTTTTGAGAGAGAGAGATGTGATGGCTCTTTGCAATGTTGCAAAAAAAAAAAAGAGAAGGGGGAGAGTGGATTTTGTTTTACTCACTCTCCAGGCGTTTTGATTTCTCACTTTTTTACTTTTTCTCTTATACGTGACATACACAGCGACATGGCGTTGAGGGTTTTTCAAACTCGTATATACAGTTTCTTTCTTTCCTCTTCACATTTTTCCCCCGTCTTATTTCATATTTGGCTTTATAGCGTTTTTTTCTGTATATACCACGAGTTACATTTCAGATGACAAATGATGAGGATATGTATGAGCTGTATAACGAGATGTTTTCCAACTCTGCGTGCTATGCTCTGCCAGTTTTTCTCTTTTCTACTCTGCTCTAATAACTGTCTGCTCTGAACTATATATACTACAAACACACCCCTCATCTCTTCTGTCTTCTCTTTCTTTCCCTGCCAAGAGGAGAGGGAGAAAAAAAGGGAAAACACCTCTAGGGTATGTCCCATATCCCCAGTAGGGTATTTTTTTTCCTTTCCCTCCCTTTCCTTTCCCCTTTTTCCCTTTTCCTCATCGAGTCAACTGCCTATCCACCTAAGCGTTGTCCTATTACTTGATTACGTAGAGCTGCAGCGGTGTATGGCATATTAATAACCAGCCAAGTATGATGACATCGTGTGACTGGCCAAATATAGATGTGTGGTTACAACGCATAAAAGGGGAAGAAGAGGATGATGATGATTTTTCAAGGTATCATGACCGAAAGAAGAAAAAGGAAAGAGAAAAAAAAAGGTCTTGTAAGAGGAAAGCCAAAAGGGGATGACGCATAGTCGCACGCATCGTACTTTGGGTTACCCAATAGCAGGTAAAATGAAGGAAGACCCGAACCAACATGCTGCCTAGATTTTACACGAACCAATGGAAATCGGGTAGATTTGAGGATGAACTGGTTCTATTCTAAGCAATGATGACAAGTTTTGTGTGTGCGTGTGTGCGTGTGTGCGTGTGCTTTCGGCAATGAAATAATCATTCGACAATTGGGGGGGGGGGGGGGGG